TTTTTCTAGTTCTGCTTTTATATTTCCTATGTCTTCGTTTACAGTCATCTACTCTTCCCATAGGTTCATTGAGCATCCTTCCATCCAGCGTTTTGAACTCTGTGTCTAGTACAATAGATTGCGTGTTTAGTTTTTTTCTGGAGTTTTGTTCTGTCCTTTCACTTGGGCCATGTTTCTTTGTCTCCTCATTTTGGCAGCCTCCCTGTGTTTGTTTTTATGTGTTAAGTAGAGCTGCTCTGTCTCCCTGGCTTGGTACCGTGGCATTGTGTAATAGGTGTTCTGTTGGGTCCAGTGGCACAGCCTCCCTCCCTGTACTTGACTGTCGGTGAGTGATCAACGAACCCTCTAGGGGACTCACCCCTTGTGTGGGCTGTGTACACACTCCTGTTGTAGTTTTGCCTTGATTGCTGTTGGCACATCAGTGGGGAAGATCTATTCCCCAGGCTGATCGGCTGTAAGGGTGGCCTTGACCACCGACCACCAGCCTCCAGTCACTGGAGAACCAGCTGTGCAGGGGCCCACCTGGCAGAGCAGGACTCACCTCAGTGGGGCTCTGGTGCCCCTGAGTCTGCTCCTGAAGTGTTTTGCTTCTGGGGGTGGTTGCGGGTGGTGCTTCCACGTGGTCCGAACCTGCCCACTGGGTGCACTGGCGCTGGGGCCTCCTGGGAAGTGCAGTCCAAGGTCAGCCACCGCCTGTGTTCTGTCCAGGATAAGCCACAAAGTGATCTGCATCTGGCTGCTACTTTTGCTGGACTTGTGCCCAGATGAGGCCGAGCTGCAAACCAGGGCTGTCAGCTGCTAGTGCCGGTCCTGGCGCCACTTAGCAGAGCTTTGGGTGCTCCTTGAGGCCAGATGCTGCTTGTTTGAGAAATTTTGGGAAAATCTGAAGCATGGACCAAAACAGGCCATTCATAAGGAAAAGCCACTGGAAACAGTTTGGGTGGGCCGTCGGGTTGGGTGGGGCGGGGCCTGAGAGAGTCACGGGGCGGGGCCAACCAGGTGAGCCAGGGCGGCGGAGGCTCACACGTGGCGCCGGCCTGCTGGCTCTGGCGCGGGTTGAGAGGGGCTCAGCGAGGGAACAGGGGCCTCCGCCTGCACTTCTGTCCGGGAGAAAGCCGTCCCCCAGCTCCCGCCGGGACACTGAACCCCTATGGCTCTGTGAGTCTCTGGTGGCGTCGGGGCTGCGGGCCCAGCGCTGAAGCTCCGAGGGAGGGGGGCCGCGGGAGTCCAGGCCTTCAGAGGGGAGCGGCCCGGGCTCCGGCAGCCTCTCCCGCTCAGCCGCCGCCCCGCTGGGCCTCCCGGCCGGACGTGTGGGGACGTCTCCCCCGGCACTGGGGCCCTGGGGTGGGCCGCCGTGGGGCCGGGTCCCCTCGCTCCCGGGGGGGGGGGGCGCCCCCGCAGCTGAGATAGCTCTGCTGGTGTTCGTCTGCCGCGCATGCGTGCGTGTGGGGCCGGCCCGGCCTGCGTCTCGGTCCCTCTGCCCGTGTCGCCGAGGCCCCTGTGATTTCCTAGCGCTGGGGCTCTCGGTCAGCCAGGGCCAGGAGGTCCGTAGATCCGGGTGGCTGCGGTGGTGAGCGGCGGCGGGCTCCGCGCTGCCGCCCCGCCGGGAAGCCGCTCTCTGCTGAGTGCGTGTGGGGTGGGTCCTGGCGCCCACTCTCCAGTTTTTACCTTGAGATTTCTGTGGAGCGGGGACTTCCGGCAAGATGGAGGCTTAGGTGGACCCACCGTACCTCCGCGCACGGCCAAGATGAGAACAACAATTTAGAGCTAGAATAACACCCAGAACTGACAGAGAATTTATCTGAATGGAAGTGGGACAGCCAAGAAGTTTAAGTAGACCGGATCATCCAGACCGGTAGGAGGGGCTGAGAGGAGGAGTGCGCGCGCGGGGAGATGGGGAGAACTGGGTGCAAAAGGCAACCGGGAGCGCGCAAAGCCTTCTGGGGTGCGCGAGATCGCAGCGCAGCGGAGGGTCCTGAGTGCGCAGGCGGCGGCTGGCGGACCCAGTGAGGCGCATTGTGGACCAGGGTGGAGCGCGCAGCCCAGGATCCCAGAGAAGGGACTGAGATCCCAGGAGAAGGGAGCTACCGCCATTGTTCCCTCCTAATCCCGCCCCCACGTACAACGTCACAATCCAGCGACTGGGGTGCCCAGCCCAGGGGAGCACCTAAGGCTCCGCCCCTCTCCATAACAAGAGCGACCAGACCAGAAAAAAAAGGAGGAGGAGAAGCTTAGGAACCTCCAGGGCATCTTTAAATGTTCCAACATCCGGATTATAGGGGTACCAGAAAGGGAAGAGGAAGAGCAACAGATTGAGGACGTATTTGAACAAATAATAAAGGAGAACTTCCCCATTTTGGCAAAGGAAATAGACTTCCAGGAAATCCAGGAAGCTCAGACAGCCCCAAAGAAGTGGGACCCAAGAAGAAGCACACCAAGGCATATCATAATTACATTAGCCAAGGTAAAAATGAAGGAGAGAATCCTAGAAGCAGCAAGAGATAAGGGGACAGTCACCTACAAAGGAGTTCCCATCAGACTGTCAGCTGATTTCTCAAAAGAGACCTTACAGGCAAGAAGGGGCTGGAAAGAAGTATTCCAGTCATGAAAGGCAAGGACCTACATCCAAGATTCCTCTATCCAGCAAAGCTCTCATTTAGAATGGAAGGGCAGATAAAGTGCTTCTCAGATAAGGTCAAGTTAAAGGAGTTCATCATCACCAAACTCTTATTATATGAAATGTTAAAGGGACTTATCTAAGAAAAGAAGATAAGGAAAAGACATGTATAGTAAAAGGACAGCAAGCTCACAATTATTAACAACCACACCTAAAGCAAAACCAAAAGAAACTAAGCAAACAACCAGAACAGGAACAGAACCACAGAAATGGAGATCACATGGAGGGTTAGCAACAGGGGAGTGGGAGGAGGAGGGGGGGGGAAGGTACAGAGAATAAGTAGCATAGATGGTAGGTTGAAAATAGATAGGGGGAGGGTAAGAATAGTATGGGAAATGTAGAAGCTAAAGAAATTATAAATATGACACATGGACATGACTAAAGGGGGGGAATGTAGGTGGGAGAGGGTGTACAGGGTGGAGGGGAGTGAAGGGGGGAAAATGGGACAAGTGTAATAGCATAGTCAATAAAATATATTAAAAAAGAAAAAGAAAGAAATTTCTGTATAGCTTAGGGTGCTCTCCTGTGGTTAGTCATTGCACGATGGATTTTTCCCTTCTTTTACTTTTGGCGTCTTGTACCTGCATAGTTTACTGTGTTTTGGTAAGAATTCTATATTGAAATTTTAAACTGTCATTAGTCTTTTAACCTGATCGTGTATATCATACTTACTGTGTTAAGCAATGTTTTATGTGATATATGTATATGTAAATTTATTATAGCTTTTAATTTTTGTTTGGCTAATTTGTTTTTATTTCACTATATTCTTGAAAATTACGTTCCCTGAATGTAAACTTGAACTTTGCAGTCACACGCCTTTCCCACGTTGAAGATGATGTTTTGCTGTCTTTTGGATCGTACCGTTACCCCGGAGAAGTCGCTTGTGACTTGAGCTCGCATACTCGTCCTGTCAAGGGGGTATGCCTGCCTTAAGGTTTCGTTTGTTTCCTGGAGTTCTTATGAACGATATTTGGAATTCAGTTGTGTAGCTTCTTGAATTTGCGGACTGGCGTTCTCCAGTGTTCTCAGATGGGGCCTCGCCTCGTTGCTTCCTGCACTCCCACGAGTCACGAGTTAGACCTTCTGTCCTTCGTTTTTCTGTTCATTCCGTTGTTCTGTTTCTCTTTTCTGTATTTTTGGGTACTTTTGTCTGTGATGTTTCTTCCAGGTCACTAATTTTAATACCTTTTTATAATCTGCTAATAAACTCATCCATTGAGTTTTTAATTTCAGTTCTTTTTAAAATTTTTGTAAGTTCTGCTTTTTTGTTCAAATCTTTGTCTACTTTTTGTCATTTTTATTCCTTATACACTTTAGTGTTGTCTTTTATTTCTTTGAAACGGTAAATACAGATAATTTGTAATCTGGTCACTGACATCCGCAGTCATCGTGGTAGGTCAGTTCTCTGAGGTCTGGCCCTCCTGCCCCAGGTGCTTTGGTTATTTTTGACTTGGTGATACTCTTGGTCCTAGAAACACCGCAGTGGATGCTCTTTGAGGCACAGAATGAAAACACTGTCCAGGCCGGACTGGGAATTACTGATGCTAGGTGCCTGGGACACCACCGGCCGGCCGTCAGTGAGTTCGTGTGCTTAGATTTCTCTGGCCTAGTTGGGTAGTGTGAACCTCAGTACATAAGCAAGGCCATGGCCAACACTCATTAGCTCTTGTCCCTTGTATCAGTTATTACTTTACTTACTATCAAGATAGCTTTTTCTGCTGTTCCCTGGGCGGAGTCGGGGGTGATGGGGACATGGGCACATTTTGATTTCTGGTTTACTCTCTCCTTTGCGGGTGCTTATCTTTCGGGGGTTGGCATACTGTTCACATTAATGTCAGGAAGGTCTGTCACTTCCTGTTGTGCTTTGCCAGGTCTTGGCTTTTCTGCTCTCAGTGCCTTGCAGGAACACCACAGCTGACCTCTGGGTCTTTCGGGGGTACCGGTGCCCGTGGGCGTGGGTGGGCGTGCTGTACCGCTCCAGTGAGCCGTTTACCTGTGCGGGCTTCTGCACACTCTTAGATTTCGATCCACGCTGTTTGTGGTGCTTTAAAATATGCTCATTTTGGACATTTTTCTCTCGCACGTATAGTTTTTGTAGTTGGAGGGTTAGTGCAGATAAATTAGTTTACCACTAATGAAAACGAAAAAGATTAAAATTAAAAATTTGGGAAATGTTCAGTAAAATGCTTTTCATTAATTAGGTAAGTGAATTGCTGTAGTAGATAGTTACAAATTATTGGGTGGGCAGGTTAGTTTTCATGTTTATTATGAATGTTGTTTATATTTATTTTTTGGTTTGCATCTAACAGCTTCTTTGTTTCAGGGGTAAATATATGTCCATCATGGCTCATTCAAAGACGAGGACCAATGATGGAAAAATTACCTACCCTCCTGGTGTCAAGGAAATCTCAGATAAAATATCTAAAGAGGAGATGGTGAGACGGCTAAAGGTGAGTAAAGTTGGGTTATGGTTTCTGGATGTCCCTTAGGGGTGTGGGGCTCACAAGGTGCTGTATCTTGTTAAGGCGCCATGAGAAAGCAAATCCAGGCAGACAGTGGCCGAGAAAGGATCTCCGGGAGGGGGGGCAACAGAGAACTGTAGGGTTTCCGTGGCTGCTGTTAATGGGAGAGAATAGTCAGAAAGGTGAGGCTCAGAGCTCCTTGGGCCCCTGTACTTGGGTATAAAGAACAAATCCACAATCCTCAGTCATTTTTGCATGTGGAAAGTTGTCCCCTACTTCTGTCATTTATTTGATAAAAACAACTATTTTCAGAAATGTTTTAAGTTTTTGTACTTACTCAGGCTGTACTTTATTTTTTTATAAGTTATTTGAGAGGAGGTTAAGGAGCTTTAATGTAAGCTCTTTCCTCTGCTTCTGACCTGCAACAGTGAATCAAGATTGCTGGGGAACGCGTATAGATAAGGAAGATTATTCAGAATGGGCCCCTTTTCTCTGTGACCTGCATGGTCTCTGTGATTGTTAAAATGGTTAAAGGAACCAAGTGGCCAAGGAGAATGTCAGTCTGATTTATCAGTCAGTTCAGATGGGTTTTGGTGTTTTTTTTGGTTTCATGAATTACCTTATTGTTGTTAAATTACAGTTGTCTGCATTTTCCCTGCACCACTCCCCCCCACCCCTTCCAAACCCACCTCCCTCCCTTGCTTCCACCCTCCCCCTTGGTTTTGTCCATGTGTCCTTTATAGTAGTTCCTGAAAACCCTTCTGCCCACAGTTGTTTTCTATTTGAGTATGTTTTTTCCTTTACAGGTTATATCTGCTTAGTCACTTATATTGCTTGGTATAGTGTTATTTACCTATATTTCAAGACTGGAAGGAAGACTTGCCGTAATTACTTATTGAAGGCCCAGGAACTTTAAAGCAGTAGTTATTTTGTAGTTATTGCTGCATGGCTTATTTTCATCAGCAGTAAAGAACCCTAATACTACTATGAATTTCATGTAAAGTCTTAGTGTTATATATCTTTATGCATAAAATATTAGGGTGTCAAATATCAGATGTTTATTATTAAAAGGGATAGATATTTTTTAAGCAGATTCAATTTACCAGTATGAGTATTTTCTCTAGTTAGGAACTTCTGTATATTTTATTTAAAATAGTCAAGCTACGAGCCCTTTCTGTGTGTCAACATTCTCTTGACTTGATGATAGAATTTTTAGGGCAGTGGATCCGTTCATGTCCTCAGATTTGTCCCTGCCTCCGCAGTGACGGGCGCACAGCCGGTGGTCTGCTGAGAGCCTGGCAGTGAGCCCAGAGACCACCTGCAGGCGCTGACCTGCGCCTGGGGACTTTCGGGGGCCTCATTTCCTCAGACTGCTTTTTTCTTTTCGGGGACCCACATGAGCTCCTGATGCGTGTCTGGCACCAGCCTCGGCCGTAGGCAGCAGGGAGGGAGCCCCGTTACCGAGCCCCGAGCAAACCTGCTGGTCGGGTCTGAGACCGGTGCTCACACCTGGTGTTCGCAGCGCGCTCATCATTTTGTAGGTACTTTTGCCCAGCAGTGATCTGGTTAATATACTTTATCTCCTTTAAATTTTCTAATTTGTACTTCCCGCTCTTTTAGCAATCTTCTTAGAGAAATACGAACAAGATTTAGTGTGGGATAATGATAATTTTTTACATGTACAAGTACAGTTGTAAGTTTTATAAATTGCAACAATTTGTTAACATGTCAGGTGTCCTTGTTTATATCATTTCTAGAGTTTCCTATAACATTTCATTCAAAATATACTTAACCTCTCACTCTTGTGTGGCTAAATTATAGAGAAAGGAATAGTTCTTCGCATAGAGGTCTTTTTTCCCCTTCGACTCTCTTTGTAATACATTAGGCCCTCAAAGCGTGTATCTTAACAGCGATTAAATTGAAACGTTAGGAGAGTGGCCCTGGACGTGGTGGCCTGGAACTCACTGCAGTGCTAGGCTGGAAGGACAGTCTGCTGCTCGCCCTGGCCCCGGACCCAACGGGACCAAGGGTGTCCCCGGGAGCACGCGCCCCAGGGCTGCTCCGAGGGTCGGCCGACACGGTGCACGTGTGCCTCTCCCAAGTCCGGCTTGGCAGCGGAGTGGAAGCCCTTGCAGCTCGTCTCCAGGACCAAGTCCCAGACGTGGATACCTGGCGGCCAGCACTGCTGGATGATCAGTATTTGCAGCACCACCTAGTGGATGCCAGAGGGCCACTTTTCCTGCCCCTGCCAAGTCAGGCGCTTTTGTTAAGTCTCCTGTGAAGTGGGAATAGTACAGACCAAGGTTCATGGTAACTACTGAGACTGAGATTAGAGAAGACACTTCAAGAATTCAGACTATACTGTTCCTCCTCATTCTTGTTTTCACCCCACTTTTATGTAAACGTTTTTGAAAAAGGAACCATTTCTTCTCGGTTCCCTAGGCTCACGCTGTGCATGCCACCAAGTCTGGTGAATGAGCTATCCGTATCTTGTTCTCTGTTACTGTGGAGTAAGAAATACTTTGTTGGATGCTGTGGTAGCCTCTCGTGGTAGCTTTTTCACATATAAGGATGCATCTTCATCATACTTTCTGTTTCTGAATTCTTTTTTAGCTGAGTATATCAATCCCTGTATCTGGAGTGGTTTATGGTTCAAATGGAACAATAAATTGTCACTCTAGGTTTCTGGTGAAAGGTACACTTTTTCTCCTAATAAAAGGATTAGCTATATTATTTTAGAAGGATGCTGTTAAGGAGGACATACTCCATGTAGTTCAGTTGTAACACCGAGATCAAAAGCACTACATAAGGATAGTTTTAAACTTTTAAAATCTGGTTAACATGTATGATGGGTAAGTTAAAAATATTTTATTTACTCTTTTAAAAAAAGTTACCCTGTAGGTTTGGAAGGATCTTGTTCTCTCAGATCCTTTAGGGAGGAAAATGAAAACATTTATTGGAAGCTTAACCTTTGTAATTAATACGGCTTTTATTTCAAGTGACTTTTTTACATGAAGGATTTCATTAATTGATTATTGTGTTTGTGTATAGATGGTTGTCAAAACGTTCATGGACATGGACCAGGACTCGGAAGAAGAAAAGGAACTTTATCTAAACCTGGCTTTACATCTTGCTTCAGACTTCTTCCTCAAGCACCCGGACAAAGACGTCCGCCTGCTGGTGGCCTGCTGCCTCGCGGACATCTTCCGGATCTACGCCCCCGAGGCTCCGTACACGTCCCCCGACAAACTGAAGGCAAGCACTGAGGGCGGCGCTGCCGGGCTGCGGCCCTCCCCGAGTCTCTGGCTGGGGCGGGGCGGTGTCGAGGCGGTGTCTTCGGGTCCCCGGGCCTGGCTGCAGCCGTCTCTCGTTGGGCTGCTTCTGTGTCCTGTGGAGCTTCCAGCGCCACAAGCCCGGTCCGTGTGGTGCTTGCTTGTGTGGAACGCGTTCTGGTCTTCCGGCGCCTCTCTGCTCTTGATGTCATCCTTAGCTCTGTCTCGGTGTCACTGGGGGTGCTTCCTTCTCCCTTTCAAAAGGAAGTCTGTGTTCAAGACCATGTTTGTTATTTAAAAGGAGGTATCTAGTGTAAATCTGAATTTGTATGAGTCCTAATTCATTTAGTGGAAGGTGTGATGTACATTGCGTTGAAGAAAATAAAATAAACAAAACTGCAGTGAAAAGGTAGAAAAGACATTCCGTATTGGCTACAGCAGTCGTAAGTAAAGCCATATGCGTGGGAATTCTTTAAGAGATGAGAAAGGAGGTGGAAGACCATGCTTCGTCTGTCTGGTGGAAGGCATGCCGTGAGTATATTGAACGAAGCAAGTTCAGAAAGTCAGAAAAAACAATAATAAAAGATAATTATGGAAACTAAGGGTTAGAGAGTGAGCCCACAGGAAGATGATTCATCCTGAATGTGGAGAAATGGCAGGCACCTCGGGTTTATTTTATTTAACAGACACTGATGTTGGTTACGTGCCAGGAACAGGGTTTACAGTGGCGAACAGAGGACCTCAGGTTGGAGGTGGTAGGGAGCAGACTTTGTCATTGGAAAGCCGAATCGAATTGTAAGAGTTGAGAGTGTCCCCAGGCTTAAAATAGATGGGCGAGCTGGTCTGTGGGGTTGTGTGCCCCGGTGTCTTACTCTGGCTGCGAGCATCTCATTTTGACGCACCGAGCTGGTTTCAGGAGTGACCGCATCGGATGGGTGGGTGGGCGGCGGCCTTCCCTCACCAGGTGTCTTTCCGGCACTCGAGTGGAGAGGGGGGTGTGGCTTGAAGAGCGCTGCCCGCGATCTCCCCCGCCCCCTGGTTGGGTTTCCCAGTTTGCGTCACGGGAGCACGGGAGACCTGCGTCAAGGCTCTGGGTGACGGGAAGCCCTCCCCGAAGGACAGCCACAGGCCTGTTCTGTTTAGGACGGGACCAGCATGAGCAGAACGGGGAAGGGCTGGGGTTCAGTTAGAGCCTCTGCGTTACTGTGTGGCTGCGAAATTTAAGGTTAACTTGTTTTTTCTGGTCAGTTTTTGGGTCTTAATTTAAATACCTCTTTATTTTATTGAGGTAGTACGTATAAATTACTCACGTTGAGGCAGTTTTCTAAATATTTATGGGATGGTTCTAACTCTCTCTGCATCGGAGTTGTAGTTTTCTCTGCTGCAGAAGTAGCGAGAGAAAAGGGTCACACCTGGATCCACACCTGCCGCCGTCAGGTTGGCGTCGTCAGAAAGCCCTTCACGCGCTGGACTTCACGTGTAGCTCAGTGATGGCCGGAGAGATCGTCAGTCACGGTCTGGCCTCTGCGTCGCAAGGCAGGGTCAGCGCGGCGGCCAGTTAGCGCGGCCAGACCAGCAGGGCCCGTCCGCGGGGGACACGTTTTACACAGCACCGTGGGAGTGACCGTTCTCGGAGGGGGCGCTCCGTGGCGTGTTTCTTGCACATCTGTTTGGTCGTCTGCATATTACAGTTCTGCCCTTTTAAAAATAGGCTGTTTATCATTTTACTTCTAAGAGAAACATTTTTTCTCTTTTTATTTATTGATTAGCATGCTTCCTTTGCAGAATTAGCTTTTTTAATTTCAACCTTTTTCAAACTTTTCTAGAACATTATTTTCATAAAAATTTGACCCAAAGTGACATTGAACCTATTTCTGTCCAGGTACGAAGGAAGTTGTAGCAAAAAAGCAAAGCCAAGAGATAGGGGTAGACTGAAAAATGGTGGGGAAAAACAATTACATTAATTAGATAGGAAGCTTGACAAATTAACTTTAAAGGTGCTTTTAAAATTTCTAAGCTTCTGTGATCTCTTGTCTTTTGATTTGGTGGTTTTATTTTGGAATGTTACTGCTCCTAGACAGTGTTCTTGCTACACACTTACCACATTGAGTGCTGTTCCCTCCCGTAAAGTTGGCGTAAATTTCAGTCTGCTCAGTTTTCAGGTCTATTTTTTTTTAACTTGCTGAAAGGTGAAGTTTTCCTGGACAGTCCAATGATGGTGAATGAGTCACTGTTTTCCTGTGAAGGGTATGAAAATAATTAATTGGTGTTTTCCTACAATGATGTCCTTTTAAAAACTTACAGCCAAATATAGCTTTTCTGTTGCTTCTTTACAGTGTATCGTGATAGATACACGTGAGCGCGGAGCGTGCTTTAGGAGTGCAGGGGGTGTGTCGAAGGTGCGTTCGTAATGTGGTCAACCCTTTGTTTTCAAGGACATATTCATGTTCATCACGCGGCAGCTGAAGGGGCTCGAGGACACGAAGAGCCCGCAGTTCAATCGGTACTTCTACTTGCTCGAGGTAGGCGGCGCCGTGCGTCTCGGGACGGTGCTTTAAACTGTTGCTGTGCTTCTTGTGACTGTACGTTTTCACTGATTAAAATGTGTTTCTTTCCTCTCTTTTCCTCTTATTTTTAGAACATTGCCTGGGTCAAGTCATATAACATATGCTTTGAGTTGGAAGATAGCAATGAAATTTTTACACAGTTATACAGAACATTATTTTCAGTTATAAAGTAAGTTTATTTTATTAAGAATGTAACTTTTTTAAATACAAAGAATTTGTAATTTACAAGTTAATCTGGTTAACTCTGTTATGCATATTGTAAGGCTAAGAGTTGTAATTTAAGACTTCATCAGCTTTTTTTATAGATGCTTTAAAAACATTATAGAACTTAAATAGAACTTAATCACTTTGGTGATGTAAATAATAATGCAAGAGTGGCATTAAGGCTATCTTATACCTACTGTAAAATATATTTTGAATTGTATTTCAGTCTTTTATTTAAATTACATATTGCTGATCCCTTAATGCATGTGAATATTTGAATTATTTGTGCTCTTTAAAATTACTAAAATTACCTTCAATAAAACAATTTGATTTTCTGAATTTAAAACAAGTTGCAATTTTGATTTAATGACTTTTGCTTGTGAGACTGGTTAAAATTAAGGAAAAGTAATCATGGAAATGTAGTATAAAAATAGATTTTGGGTATTAAATAAGGTTTGGGGGTGAGAGAAGCTTTAAATGAGTATAAAGAATTTAATTTCATTAATATTTTAATATCATTTAAAAATAAAGTATAATACTTGTTAGTATCATGTTATGAGTAAATAATGAATCCTTTAGTTATACCCTAAATACCTTATTTTGAATTGCAGCAATGGCCACAATCAGAAAGTTCATATGCACATGGTAGACCTTATGAGTTCTATTATTTGTGAGGGTGATACAGTATCTCAGGAGCTTTTGGATACAGTTTTGGTAAATCTGGTACCTGCCCATAAGGTATGTATTAGTTTATACTGCAATATGTGTAAAGCCTGTTAATGTTAAGCCCCAGAATTTGTGCTTCTGGTTCTAAATGTAATTTACTCATTAACTTTAGTTTTGGAGAATGTTTCATTGGTTAATATTAATAAATATTAATTGTGTTTAATGTTGAAGAGATGTACTTATTAATCACAAATGAAAGTGATAAAATATCTGTAATAACTCAGTTTTGAATAATAAGATATGTTTCAAGAAGTGAGTTTACTGGCTACTTAAATGCTATTGCACAACTTTAGGTGCTGGGAGATGCATAACCAAATAAGACCTGGTATAGATGAAGAGGAGGGGTAAAGTTAGTTTGGGGACAGGGGATAAGATGATGACAGTGTTTCTTCCTTTGGTGTTGTTGATCAAGGAGAAGGGGTGTGTGTTTGTGTGTGTTCTTTGAAAATAACTTTCAACTAAGCAGTTGGAAACATTGTTCTGTGATTCACAAGGGTCAAGGTTAAAGAGGGGGCACGGGAAATACTGTATAAAGATCTGTGCAAACTTAAAACCTTTCTGGGAAGGTATAATCTAAGTTTATAGGAACACAGCATTCACATAAATAATGTTTCAATAAGAATGACCTGCTAATTCAAAATTTCCAAACATTTAAAATAATCTATCAGTGCCAAAACTCAGACACTGGGAAAAGCAAGATTAGGTCTAAAAATTCAGATAATTATTAGGTAAAAATAATAAAGTACCCTCAAAAGGATTAAAGATATAAAAATAAGAATTAGCAAAACATAGCTAGACATGTGAAAGGAGGTTAAAAAAATAGAAATGAAAAAATCGTCATTAAAATTCAAATCTTTATTGGATTATAAAAAGATAGAGAAATGAGAGATAGGTCTGTGGAAATCATATATTGGGTTACCCAAAAAGTCCGGTTGGTTTTTTCCATATGATGACTCTAGTGGTGTTTAACTGTCTTTAACATCATTTGAAACAATTTTGTTAGACTGTATTATGTTAGCTGTTACATCAGTGTGCATTAATAAAAAACTTAACCAAAATTGGTGAATTTTTGTGTAGCCATTTAAAAATATTGAAAATGGAAGAAAACATGCAACATTTTCAGCATATTATGCAATTATTTAAAAAAAATTAAAAATGCAACCGAAACTCAAATAAAAGATCTGTGCAGTGTACGGAGAACGTGCTGTGACTGACTGACTGTGTCGAGAGTGGTTGTGAAGTTCCGTGCTGGAGATTTCTCACTGGACGGTGCCCCATGGTCAGGTAGACCGGTTGAAGTTGATAGTGATCAAATCGAGACATTATTGGAGAACAATCAACATTCTACCAAGCAGGAGATAGCCGACATCTCAAAATAGCCAAATCAAGCTATGAAAATCATTTGCACCAGCTGATGTTAATTGCTTTGATGTTTGGGTTCCATATAGATTAAGCAAAGAAAAAAAAAAAAACTTCTAGACCTTATTTCCACATGTAATTCTCTACTTAAACGTACCAAAAATGTTTTGTCTTTAAAACAAATTGTGATGGATGATGAAAAGTGGGTACTCTACAATAATGTTGGACCAAAAAGATAGTGGGCAAGTGAAGCGAACCCCCACCAACCACATGAAAGGCCAGTGTTTATTCAGAGAAGGTGATGTTGTGTATATGCTGGGACGGAAGGGAGTCCTCTCCTCTGAGCCCCTTCCGGAAAACCACATGATTGATTCCACCTGAAAGCAGCAGCGCTCGATGAAAAGCATCCAGAGTTAGTCAACACAAAGTGCGTAATCTTCCATCAGGATGCCGTGAGAGTGCGTGTTTCTTTGATGACCAGGCGTACACTGTTAAAGCCTGGCTGGAAAAGTAGGATTCATCCACCATACTCGCCAGACACTGCACCTTCAGATTTCCATTTATTTCGGTCTTTACAAAAATTATCTTAATGGAAAAAAATTGCAATTCCCTGGAGGACTGCAAAGGTACCTGGAACAGTTTGTTGCTCAAAGAGGTAAAGAGTTTTGGGAAGATGGAAGTATGAAGTTGCCTGAAAGATGGCAAAACGTAGTGGAACAAAATGGCGACTACATTGTTCAGTAAAGTTATTGGCAGGACGTGAAAACTGAACAAACTTTTTGGCCAACCCAGTAGATATGGTGAGATAAAGAAAACATTAAAGATACTAAGACATGAAAAATATGTGGAAAGGTCCAATATGTTTAATAGTAATTTCAGAATACCAAGTAGAGAGTGGAGAAGAGATATTAAAATAGAAATATGCTTAATATGTTCCAGAATTGATGAAGGTAATGAATTTATGGGTTAGGAAGCAAAAGGGTCATGAGCAGAATAAATAAAAACCCCAGTCCAGGCACACTTGGGGATAGTGTGGAATGCTAAAACAGTGTGTAAAGCACCTCGAGGGGAAAGGCATACTTTCTTACCCACGGAATGAAGGTTAAACTGCCGACTTTTTGGTAACAAGGATAGATGTCAGAACATAATGGAACTGTATTTTCACAGTGATAAGATAAAATCAGTTGTGGGGGGGTGTGCCTATCCAGTATGAGTGAAATTGAGACATTAAATGTTCATTTGTCAATAGATGTTTCCTGAAAGAACTACTTTGTGAGTACTCGACAGTGATGGGAATTGGATTTAAAAGGAGTGAGGATACAAGAAATAGTGGCAAAGAAATCCTCTAAATGCAAAAGTAGCAATCATGATTATAATGATTAATTAAGGAGGTATTAAGATGATCTTAAAACGCTGGGTACAAATAAACATAAAGTTGAAGGGAGTTCAGAGTGATGGGATCCTTGTGATGTCAGGAGTATAGATCTGTTGGTTAACTCTTAACTTAAAGAGGTATGTAAGTTAAAAATCTAAGGATTACAATAAAAGGAAGAACTACAATGAATGTAAATGGCCCAAATTTAGTACTTATGGCAGATGATCAGATCAGACTGAAAGTAATCTAACTGGTCGTTGTTAATAAGAGATCACGCAAAAATACCGTCACAAAAATGCTGGAAACAAAAGTATAGAAAAAAGACTGCCAGGCACATAGTAACTGAAAGGAAACTGAGGTAGCTTGTATTAGTATTAGGTATAAGAGTTTTTACTGGGTAAAGAAGGGATTTATGCAGTGGATTAGTTTGCAGGAAGACGTCTAACTTTTTATGTACATAGGCTCAAAATGTGTAAATCATAAATTGAAAAAAGAAACTCAGTTTGGTGGGTTTTTACACGTCTTAGTGATGATAAATCAAGCTGGCCAACAGTTTGTAGGAATATCGAGGATGTGAAACCCAAGACTAATAAGTCTATAGCAATCATACAGATTTTATCAAAAAAGAATCATAATGGCAATTATAGACTATTTAGAAATGATTAAAATGACCATACTAAAACTTGCAGCAACTTAAAATGTTTTTTTAAATTTAACTTTATAGCTAAGCGTCCATTCAGGAAGCTATAAAAATATCATCAGAATCTACAGAGTGTAGGAGGAAGAAAACAGTGGAGAAAGCACAGCAGTGACCGGAGCACACAGCGACGTGCTGCCGCAGACCAGAGTGGGTGGTCTGAGAGCGTGCCACGTAGACAGACCCTGCACAGGGCGAACCGGGAGAGGGCAGATGGTCGCAGCCAGCGCAGGGCAGGAGTGCATCACACACGGTTCATTCTTGTGTCGTTACTGTTCGCTGTGCTGTTCTTCACACGAACAGCTGTAAATCTCCCTTGTCCGCCCTGTGTGCAGCTTCACAGTGAGGTGGGGGACAGCCGACGGTACAAAGGTCAGAAGACAACTTCATGAACAGCACTTTTTGCTAACATATTTGGAAGTAAACAAATTCCTGAGAATTATAACGTGCCCAGTTTGTTTCGAGAGAGAAAATCCTAACCTTTAACCGATAAGATATTTTAATTTATTTTTAAAACTATCCATAAAACAAAACTTTTCTTTCCTAACAATGGTAGTAGTAGCAGCATCAGCAGTAGTGCTTAAACTGACCACAGAAGCACTTCAACTTAGCACCAGGAGACTTTTGCTAATCGTTTAAATGGCATATTCTATATTCAGCAAACTTTTCCAGATTATATAGAAAGAAGGAATATTCCACAACTCACTTTGAGTTTATAATCTTTATAGGGAAGCTAGACAGAATCACGCAACAAAGGAGAATCATAACCCCTTAAATAACAAAGGAGAATGTTCTTTAAAACATAACATAAATTCAATATAAAATAGCAGTAGTATCCAGAATAGTATAAAGTAATACTGATAAGCAGCAAAATGGCTTTGTTTTAGTATTAAAAGATGGGGTAACGTTAGAAAATGTTAGCAATAAACGAAGATATTTATGTAAATTAGTAGAGCAGAGAAAACACCAGTGGATGCAGAGAAGAACATTTGGTAAAGCTCAGTATAAAAGTACGGAAATTCTTAGCGGATGTGAAGCAGAAAGGACCTCCCTTCGACCGGTCAGGGTGTGTGAGCGGCACCGCACTCAGCGGTGAGGTTGGGGACACTGGGAAGACGCTGCTTCCGCTCAGAAAACAGGCAAGCGTGCTGGTGCTCAGCACCGTTAACTGGAAGTCTTCAGTGGAATAGGACGAAAGGAACAAATAAAAGGTAAAAGGATTAGAGAGATGAAACAAAACGGAAATTATTTGCAGATGGTAAGGCTGCCTGTGCTGAAAGCAGGGTGCAGAGTTTCCAGCATGAGAAGATTCTTCAATGTTGCTAGATATAAGATCAATGTATAAAAATCTGTTAGTATCACTTCAAAAATGTTCACTTGTTGCCTTAAATAAAGACTTGAACTGCTTAGAAATTTAAAAAAATGTGCGTGCATTTTATGTTGAAAGTCATTGAATTTGACTGGAGAGTACAAAAGACTTAAACCTGTTGTGCTTTATTATTTACGGTTTGGGGACCTCGGCGTCATACTGCTGTCAGCTCTCTGCACATGAATGGATAATCCAATCAAAATAGAAACGGAAAATGTCTGTGTGCGTTTGTCTGCAGTTTGACACACTGATTTAAAATTCACATGGAAGAGCCAATGGCCAGTAGTACCCAAACAACTTTGAATAGGAGTGAGAAAGCAGGGACTCACCTACCTGGTGTTAAGACAGTGTTCCCTTCGGACAGTGGTGGACAAAGAGGCGTGGCAGCGATGGGGAATTCACAAATGGAGGCGCGGCTGTAGGGAAACCTGAGTGTGTGGGTGTTACATGTCACGGGAGGGGATAATGGTCCATTTAATGAATGGTTTTAGGGTCATTGAATATTCATATGGGAAATAATATTAGATTCTTATTTTATACCATACCTAAAAAATAAATTACAGGTAAAATAAAGATTTAAACCTAAAAAAGCAAGTCTTTAAAATTTTAATCGAACTTGACGTGGGGTGGTGAACACAATGCAGTACACTGATGATATTTTATAGATCTGCACACCTGAAACCTCTATAACTTTATTAACCAATGTCATCCTATTAAATCAAATTACAAATTTATTTGAAAGCATAAAACACCTTAACCACAGTGTAGAAAAGAATTTCTTAAGAGAGAGAGAAAGCACCGGGAAAACAAGTGAAGATTGCATTGAGTTTGGGAGCTTCCGTGTGCTCCGCGATGCCCCGACCTGTGTTGGAGAGACAGGTGCAGACCAGGACATGTTGTGAGCCTAGCTGGCTGAGGTTTAAGTGCACAGAATTTATAGAAAAACTCTAAAAACAGAGGAGGAGGGGAAAATCAGATAAAATTTTGAAAAATAGAGATAGAATTTACAGAAAATAATTTCATGTATGTATGAGGAGTCGTGTGCAAGACATGTAATTCAGTGTCTGTGAATAGGGAATGAATAAGCTGTAGCATGTTATGTAGTAAAATACTAAATACCCATTCGAAATGAATGAAATAATACAAAACAAGCATCAATACAAATCTAAAAATTTGCTGAATGTGAGCTTCAACTTTTTAATTCATTTATCTATCTATATCTATCTTTCTATTTTTTCTTTATTTCCTGGCTTCTGTCATATGTTTAAACGAGAAGTTGTACTGATTCCATTTTAGATTTTTGGTCTTGAATCCTATTATCAAAATCTGTTCAGAAATACATATTCTTTAATATACTTTTTCTCGCACCCTTTTTCTTTTCATTCCTTGTTGTGTTTGTTGTTGTATACTTGAACTTAACCGTGCTCTGAGATGTGCTGGAGTAGGTCTACTCCCCACAGCTGCTCTGAACACTTGTCTTTCCCCTCCTGTGGACATCCCTGTGCGGCCACACTGCCACCCCCACCCCAGTTCCTGCCCACACGGGACCCCAGTTCCCCTTCCTAGGGTGTTGCAGTTCTTCGGGGCCTGAAGGGAAACAGCCTGTATTTATCCTTGGCTGAGCTGATTTGACCTTGGGTCTCGATTTAGAATGACTGTCTCCTCTTGAATCTACCATACATTTATTGACCTTTTTATATGGTTTACATTATGTTTTAAATAAAATAAGAAGAACATATATAATTACCCTTGCTTGGAAGAGATGTCAGGCATTAGACCAGTTAGTCTTAAGAGAAAAAAAGTGATTTTGCCTTCTCTTTTTTGAGTCTGAGACAGTTTCTCATTCATTTGTTTGAGTGACTTTCTGCTTTTGTTTTTTCAGTGGCTTTTTGAATACAGGTAATATTTTGTTTTTCATAGAGAAATATAACACAGATAATATTTTTATTTTTCAGAACTTAAACAAGCAAGCATATGATTTGGCAAAGGCTTTACTGAAGAGGACAGCGCAAGCTATTGAACCATATATTACCAATGTAAGTCTTACTTATTAGATTAGTTGTCTGAAGAATTAGCCAAAATTTTAAAGACTTCTGGAAGCAAATTTTGGAAAGTAGTATGTACTTGTAATTTTGTGTTGTGTTTAATCATTAAGTAATGTATTTTCTTTCTTCTTATTTAAAATGTTTTTTGGTTAATATTTTGTAGAAGGTTAACTCTCAACTTGCTTAGTCATTCATTTGCTACTTTCAGATTGCCTAGGAACTAAAACAGCTTTTATTTTGGTTAGCAAGATACACTGTTTTCTACTGTTAGAAATGTAATTAGGTAAAACGTGGGACTTTTTATTATTCAGAGAAATTGTTTATGTATGTACGAATGGCACAGGTTGGGCAAAAGTGGGCCGTCTTGCTCTGCCTGGGGTAGACCCTTTAAAGCTGCCTTTTCTTAGAAAAGGAAAGAGCTGCAGTGAAATGAGCCCTTTCAAAATTGTTCCAGTTCTACTTGATGTACAGTTGACATCCTCATGTTTGTTTTTAGGAGACGTGATTTCAGCAGACGAGCTCACGTGTGGAAGGTGACCATGTGCTTATTCGGGGGCGGAGCCGGAACCGCTCTGCTCTAGCTGGCACCGTTCCCGCCCCGCCCCGCCCCGCCCCAGGGTCCCCGCGGGAGCCAGGCCAGCACGGGGCCTCGGCCTCCCTGGGCAGAGAGAGGCCCTGCCTCCCTGCCTGCTCTCCGCTCCCACCCACCTTCCCACACTTACTGGGTTGGCCCTTTCTTAAAGTTCCTTTGTTTTTTTCCATGCGATGGCTCTAGTGGCGCTTAGTTGTCTTTAACTTCATTCAAAACAATTTTGTTCTATTGTGACAGCTGTCATATCAGCATGCATTTAAAAAATTATCAAAATTGGTGAATTTTTTGTGTAGCCATTCTAATATCGAAGATGGAAGAAGATACCCAACATTTTTGGCATATTATGCTTTATTATTTCAAGAACGGTAAAAATGCAGCTGAAACCCAGATTTGTGCAGTGTGTGGGGAGGTGCTGTGGCTGACTGAACGTGTCAGAAGTGGCTTGTGAGATGGGGTGAGGGGGACCCCCCTCTGGATGGTGCTCCCCGGTCGGGCAGACCGGGCGAAGCTGACGGCGACCAAGTCTTGACTGAGAGTTGAGAGTAGCCAATGTTATGCCACATGAGAGGTAGCCTACATATTAAAAATATCCAAATCAGTAGTTATTGGTGAACGTGAATAATGCGTGTTGTAGTTTAAGAAAAAAACCTTACTTTATGGCCACCCCAATACATTGTTTAAATCTGTTCTGGAAAAACTGAGAAAGCTTCTTGGAATTACATATATACTTAATTTTCCTGAAATTTATTGATGGAGAATTTTTCATATATTGAATAAAAATTAATTCAGTGTATAAAATACATCATGAAAAGGTATGCTTTGAAAAGTGATGTGCTTTATTTAGAAAACAGTACCTTGGTAAATCTCGATTTTCGTTTTTGGTTTATACATTGTTTTAGAGGGTGAGCTTTCAGAAACTGGAGAATCAAATTACATAATCTATCTTAATAGCTCAAAGATTGGCAGGGAATTCTGAGTGTTGATTTCTGTAAGTTTTGTGAGTCTCGGGTATTGGCTGGAGTAAACTGGTTAGATTGAATGGATTGAGTTTTTTCCTTGATGGGTTTACTGGCACTTGCAGTGACCTGAGCCTGCTGTCTCCATGGCCCATTAGATACACTGGGTGAGCTCCTCCTGGTGGTTATTTATTTAATTGACATTGCCAATCCCATGCTTTGTAGGAGAACACAACTTCTTGGATGCCTTCTTCTGGCGTGAAAAGAAGAGAATACTATACCATGCTAATATTTTTTTATGGGATTGGGAAATAAAAGGGCAAGAAAGTTCAAGATAGAATGGTGGTGTTTGTTGGCGCCACGTTCTTTACTGTTGTCACAACATTTGTGCATGCTTCAAAATATTGACACTAAAAGTTAAAGATAAAAGGGCCAAGGTAGGGCTTAAGTGATCCCAGATAAATCCAGGTAAAAAGGGTGTTCCCATCACTGACGTCTAAGTTCCTGTCCCCCCCTCCCCCCGCCCTACACACACACACACGCACACTTGCTGTGGCAGCTTCACCAGAAGCTGAGCGGGAGGCGCAGCCTTGGTAGACTGGTCCCAGCACGCATGCAGCTAAGCGCTTGTTCCCGTACTTTGCTGTTTCCTTGTTTCTCCTGTCCTCTTCTCCCTCTCCTTACCTGCGGCTTAGCTGAGACGTTAGTAAGAATTACCGTTTTTCTCCTCCTTTACTCCTTTATGAGCCTTATTTTTGTGCCTCACACCTGTACATGTGAAATTACTTTCTAATGAACTTAAGTGTCTTGTAAAATAAAATTTAGCACCGATAAAAGGTATTCTCGGCCTTTTGAACTTGTACATGTAATAGCCATTATTCATTTATCTTCCTAGTAGAAAATTAGCAAAAATAGAGGTAGGATACCGTGGTAATAATAACCCTGCTTTATTCCTTGTTTTTAAATTGGTGTCTTTTTCACTCTTATGCATGGACACATTGAAGTTTGTTCTTTAGTTTACGTTTTTAGATTTTATTTATTTATTTTAAGACGGGGAGGGGAGGGAGAAAGAGCGGGAGAGAAGCCTCACTGTGTGCGGTTGCCTCTCATGCGCCCCCAGCCGGTGGCCTGGCCACAGCCCAGGCCTGGGCCCCGACGTGACACATAGTGATTCCTACATGTAAGAGACTTACGACACCGCTATGGTGTTGTAGGTTATTTTTTCAGATAGAATTTGTTGTAACTTGACAATTCAGAAAACTAGAAACTGTATATATATTTTTTAAAGTTAAAACAGTATCAAACAAAAAGTACATAGTGACAGTTCATAAAATTTCCTGCATGGATCACTTCTTGGTAATACTATTTTCCACCAGATCATTTTAATCAGAAGGTTCAGAAAATAGCACAAAATTCTTTTGTTGTATTGAAAAAAATTTTTCAGATCTACCTTGATGTAGGTAAAGTTTGATTAAATTGCTTAATCTTCCTCAGCCTCAGTTTTTGCATCTGTAAATAGGGTTAATAATGCTTGGGTGCGATGCTAGAGAATGCGAAAACGCTTCTGTAATTAAAATTGAATGCTTAACTCGAAGGTAGAATTTATTACTGACCTTTAACTCATACTCCTTCCACTAGGAGGTAATTGTTATAAAATAATTTAATTTCTAGTATGAATATTAGTTACCCATTTATAAATGAAAAATTAACTTTTTGGATGGACCTACTTAATCAAATCTGTTTTCACTTCCTCCCTAAACTGTGGGCCCTCGTGTGGGCCTTGGGTGTTTATGTCTGTGAGACAGCACCTGTCACACGGTCCTTGCTCGTTTGCTGGGGACGTGTCGGTCACGTACTCTGCAGGCGCGGCGCTAGGCTCTTGGCACACGGCGGAGGCGGCTGACTCGGCCCTTGCCTTTACGGAGGTGATGCAAGTGTTACTGTTTTTGATGGAATTTGTAAGAAGTTAAACCTGGGAATGATTTTTTCTTTTAATTTGCAAGTGAGTTTTCCCTAGACTGATAGAAGAGGATGGTTTGATCATCAAGGTGGTCATATTGGAAAAATTAGTTTTTTGTTAAGGAAAAGTAGATTTATCATTTTTAAACAGGAGGAGATTTGTGAATTTAAACAATGAAGCCACTTTATTTTCAACCTAAATGAGAATTTAATGTTTGATGTCATGAAATCCTTTGCCACAAAATTGATAAACAAGGAGGGAAAACAAGTTATTTTTAAAATCAATAAAGAAAGCATAGTAAAACAGAATCTGAACAACCCAAGAACTGGAAGGAAGCGGGAGAGACACAGAACCATGAGGTCCTTGGCCTGCACTCGGCATGTGGAAAGCCTCTTCAGACCACGGGGCCCACGGGGCCCACGGGGCGAGTAGGGCAGCCAGCGAGGTGCGAAGTCCTTGCCTCCTCCTTCAAGGAGACAAGCTGCCGTCAAGACTGCGCGGTGAACACCCTGGGTTAATCTTTAAATGCAGAGGAACTTGCCCATTGTGCCATGTGTCTTTGCTAGTTAGAGCAGTGCTGTGGTCTGAATGTGGGAATTAGAGATGGCTGCTTATGGAAACGAAGTTGTGGAAATTTGAATTTTCTCTGTGCGTGTGCTTTTAATTGGATTTTAATTAGTGCTATAAACCTTGTATATTATTTATTTCACCTATGAGAACATAAAAGAAGACAAAAAGGATTATAAAGAAGTTTTGCGTTATAAATGTAACGTTCCATATTTTAAAAATGGAATTGGCTCTTACTGTAAAGGTGTTAAGGCTTTGTCTCTGCTGTTCTCTCATACGTGATAAGGTGAGCAAGAAGTGATCCCTTATCCCTGAGCAATTTATCTGGTAGAAGATTAAGACAACTAATCCAGGGTACAGTATAGCAAGCATTGTGAGGGAGGATCAAGTGTGTTGGGCAGTAGGGTGCTTATCAGTATGCTAATTGATGGGCCAGTATGAGTTACCAGTTTTTAATTGTGTACAAGGTAGATTCCGTGCTTTATCTTTTCATAGAGTTCATGCTGGTTCCCCACCTGCTGTTAGAAAATATCTTGATACGTGTAGTTTGACTTTGTGTAAAATAATAATGAATTTAAATGCATAATAGTTAAGATTTTAGAAAATCCATTTTGCCTGTGGAGTTTCTATTAATGGTACCATTTCTGTTTCAAAAGTTTTTTAACCAGGTTCTGATGCTGGGGAAGACATCCATCAGCGACCTGTCGGAGCACGTCTTCGACTTGATCCTGGAGCTCTATAACATTGACAGTCACCTGCTGCTCTCCGTGCTACCCCAGCTGGAGTTTAAACTAAAGGTAACATCTGGAAATGGCGCGCTCCTGTGAATTGAGTTGGCAGAGGGTTCCTTCTTGTCCTGGCTTCATCTGAGTGTGACCGATGCAGTGGTGCATTTCCGTGGTGTGTTCATGCTTGTGCCTTGCCTGTTTGTGGGTCTCCAGGGCCCGCCATGGCTCCTGACAGGTAGTGGCAGCTTAACTAATGATTGAGAAGGATGGTGTTTTCCAAATAAAGTCTCACTTTCCCGGTCATAGCTATACATTGAACTTAATGTTTTCCAGACACAGTGCATAGCGGTTCCCCAGACCCCTTGTTCAGGCCCTGACAGCAGCGTGGGGTCCGTCCTCCCCGTGTGCACTTCGTGTGCACTTCTCGCACACTCGCCTCGGGGGTGCGGGCACTGCTGTTCAGTTACGGCCACAGCCTTGAGTGTCCCTCGTATGTTGGGGATGTGCTTTTCTCTTTCACGTTACCATGGGAGGAGTAAACAAAGCCGGTGCACCCCAGTGGTGAACCCCAGTGCACCACCCAGAAGAGTTCTTAAATCATTTGTGTTATATTGGTGGTTTCTAAAAATTTTGATTTGCTTTTTTCAAAATAACAAAATCAGCAGTCCACGTTGGCAGTGGGATAACCCTTGTGTTACTCGTGGGCATCTTTCCGTCTGTTTCTCGGGGGGGCCGTCGGCTCGCCTGCCTCCCTGCCCTGCTCCCCCCGGGCAGTCGGTGGTTTCGGTGAGGCGGAGTCGGGCACACCTGTGACTATGTGTCGGTCTGATTTTCTCTAATAAAAACATTGAGTACCCTAAGAAAGATAAAAATAAGAATTGTCATCCCTGCTTTCAGCAAATTTAACATCTAGTATGAAAGGAAGAGGGAAAATAACCCAGACCTAATGAGGCCAGACACTATAAATGTCACGAAGATACAGACAGCTCACAGTTGGAGCAGAGGGAGCACCGTGCAGAAGCGCGCGGAGGCAGGAAGGTGCCGGGGGCTCGTGGGGCGCAAGGGGTGCGCAGTTGGTGGTAACGTGGGGTCAGTTGAAATCGTTCCCGGCCGAATGGTGGAACCTGCAGCGGTGGGGCCTTAACAAACAGTAAATGTTCAGGCATTAAACCAACCAGTTGATCAGAGTATCTGGCATAGGGTTTAGGTATCGGTTGCCTTTTTACTTTGTTTTGGAGTGTCTTGTGTGCATGCTTTTTAAAAAAAATATAACCTTAAAGGTCATTCTAATGTTTGGCTGGGGTTGACAAGTATCTCTGTGGAAGGAAAACGAGAGAGGTATTAGAGATAAATGAGGTAGGTCATATTATGGGAGCTCTTAAGGCATGGCCAAGGCATTGGTTTAAAAATTTTTAAGAAATTGTGCGATGCTGTCCATCACCCCTTGAATATCAGTGCTCTTTAATATTCCCGGTGGTCACATTTTGTGTTCAGTTTCAGAGTTGTGCTGGCTGTCATTAATCATTGTCATCTGTTGGAGGTACCAAAATCTGTAGTGAAACTGAGTTCTTGTCCCCAGGCTACCCACGATACAGTGTAGAAAGCAGAAATTTTAGTTTTTGCATGTGCAAGGCACTTCATACTGTGAGGCTCCGTCACGAACCCAGTGTGCGAACATGAGCTAGGTGCTCTGTCGGGCGCCTTCGGCGCGTACTTGTTTCTGCAGACAGCTGAACCGGCGCAGCCGCGTGGAATTCTCTCCGTCCCGAGGGCTCGGCCTCTGTCGGCCTCTGTTCTTACGAGCCCCAGCCACTCTGTCGAGTGTCCTACGTAGGTTTCAGGAACATTAGTTTTTGGATTTGACTCTGAACGAAAATAAGCCTTGATTGTAAGGGAGGCGGGACTTCTAACATTTGTTCAAACTTTAGAAGGTGTTTTCACGGAGGGAGTACTGCTTTCCTGTAACCTGAGATGAGGGGCGCGGTGGGGGTGCAGTTTATAAAGGGTCTGGGGAGCATCCTGATGTATGGTGTTTCAGCCGGGGCTCGTGGACGGTTTTGCGCGCAGCTGGAGGGCGCAGAGCTGTGAGAACGCTGCTCTGGACGGGCCTCCCCGCGGCCTCAAAGCTGCGGCACTTTCGTTTCAGAGCAACGACAACGAGGAGCGGCTGCAGGTGGTCAGGCTGCTGGCGAAGATGTTCGGGGCGAAGGACTCGGAACTGGCTTCTCAAAACAAGCCCCTCTGGCAGTGTTACTTGGGCAGGTATATGGTTTCGGTGTCCTGTTGAAAGTACCGTGTGTGTACACCTCCGTGCATCGATGTGTTGACAACACCACATCCACAGTTAAATCGTTCTCTGGAATCATAAAAAAATGAAGTATTCTGTGTTGGAATTTTTGAATGCTCGTAATGATTGGTTATATTTGTAATTTTCCTTTTCTTTTCATCTTTTCTTTGGTAATTTTTATTTTTTTAAATGTATTTTATTGAGTATGCTATTACAGTTGTCCCATCTTTTACTCCCCTTTATTCCCCTCCGCCCTGCACACCCCCTCCCACCAGCATTTCCCCACCTTAGTTCATGTCCGTGGGTCACGTGTTTAAGTTCTTTGGCTTCTCTATTTCCTATACTATTCTTAACCTCCTCCTGTCTATTTTCTACCTCCCATTTATGAGATGCATTTCTGTACCTTTGCCCTCATTTTCTGTACCTTTGCCCTCATTCCTCCTCCTCCCACTCCCCTGCTGATAACCCTCCATGTGATCTCCATTTCTGTGGTGCTGTTCCTATTCTGGTCGTTTGCTTAGTTTGTTTTTGTTTTTCTTTAGGTTCGTTTGTTGTTAGTTGTGAGTTTGTTGTCATTTTACTGTTTGTATTTTTGATCTTCTTCTCTTTCTTAGATAAGTCCCTTTAACATTTCATGTAATAAGGGCTTTTTGATGATAAACTCCTTTAACTTGACCTTATCTGGGAAGCGCTTTATCTGCCCTACTGTTCCAAAAGATAGCTTTGCTGGATAGAGTCATCTTGAATCTAGGTCCTTGCCTTTCACGACTTCGAATACTTTCCAGCCCCTTCTTGCCTGCAAGGTTTCTTTTGAGAAATGAGCTGGTAGCCTTATGGGAACTCCTTTGTAGGTAACTCATTTTATAAGTGTAATTACATTATGACACTCAATTTAAAATCTGTTTTATATAATGTAACAAAATTACAATTTTTACACAAAGATACTCAGTATATCTTTAAATCAGGACTTGGGTTTCCCAACTTTATTTTATAGCTTGTTTGGAAGAAAATGCCTAATTTAAATTTGTTACTTTTTTATTACTTTGCATTTTTTTCTTTTAGTATCAGTGACATAAAAGTCTGTGCAGAGCCGTGTAACCAGTGGCTTGATTTCAGTGGGTGTGTCGTGCCTGTGGTGGTCAGATGGGTAGGGCCAATGTGGGCGTGGCTTCCAGGTCGCGCCCAGGGGTGGGTGTGGGGTTTGCGTGAGGTCCGCCGACCGTTTGCGAGTGCGCGTGTTCGAGAACGAGCACTTCGAGGGAAGGCTCTCTTCCCACACTCATGTGGGGTTCATGTGATACATGTGGGAACTGCATGCACACACTGTACTGTCATTAAACATGTATTGGAAAGTATAACATTTTAGGAAAAATTTTGTCACTTTAACTTTTGTATTTAAGCCAAATATGTATTGTTCCTTGAAAATACAGAATTCTCATGGACATTGTCCTAGTTTGATAAGGAGGTTTCAAAGCATTTGTACACAAACAGTATGTCACAAACTTGGATAAATTGTCTGATTCCACTGAGAATTATCCTACATAGATTTTTCTTTTAATCAAAGAAATAGGTGTAAGTGCTAATTAAACGCATTTGTTTCTCTGATTTTAAAGATGACTCTGCCTTTTTATTTTATCAGGTTTAATGACATTCACGTACCAATACGCCTGGAATGTGTGAAATTTGCTAGCCACTGTCTCATGAACCATCCTGATTTAGCAAAGGACTTAACAGGTACTGTGTACCCATAACAACAGATACTTCTGGATGCTCGGAGAAAAAAATTGGTTTTGTGTATTGGGGAGAAAAAACAACCTTTTTGTTATTATAGGTAACATCTTGTTTCAGTTTGTCATCATTAGAGTTTCTCTCTGAAGCTGGAATTTTTTTACCTGCTGGTGCTGACTTAGGCTAGAAGTGCCTATAAAATGTTGGTTATACCGGAAATAAGATTAATTTCATAGTTTAAGGACATTGAATAAAAGAATTTCAGGCATTTCAATTTGAACACGTCTTATCTTTGAGTAAATTATAAACCTTTAACATTTTCCAATATTTTGAGAACTTGAGTGAGAGTCATTAATATGTAAATTAATTTAACTATCCTAAAATGAATTTAAGTTTTTTGAAATACATATAAGGCAGTTCAGAATTTTATATTGATGTAGTAATGAGAATATCACGTATTTGACTATTACTGTTCTGTTAAGTTTTTTAAAAGTTTGGAATAGTTCAGAAAATACAGGTAAATATATAGCTACTGTGTATTTCTCAGAAATAGCATTTTGATGTGTTTGCTTAGAGATTTAAAGAAGGAAAATAAATTTTAGATATTCTTAAAATGCCCCTCACAAACTACCCTCCTCCTTACTTCTCCAGAGGGTGACCACTGTACTGAACTTGGTTTGCGTCCTGTTAATGTTTTTCTGTCTAGGCCACAGGTGTACCGCTCCATAAATTATGTATAGTATTGTCATGTGACTTAAAAGCTTTATTTAAATATCATTTGAATTTAATATAGTTGATCTTATTCCTGATACCTTATTTTTGTTCTATTTTTCATGCTTTTTTCTGTATTTCTCCCTCCTGCTTAATGAATTTCCTTCGGCTCATTTTCTCCCGCATGCACTTGGAGGCTAGGGCGGTGAAGCCTGTAAAGTTAGTCGGAGTCCTCTGGCTTCTTTCTGCTCAGTCGGGGGCCTTCGAAGCTGTAATTCCTAGCGCTGGCCTCATAAGTCACACTGTTGCTTGTTACTTACTTCCTCTTCTTTAAACTTTATCAACTTGTAGTAAACTTGTAACTGCTTTTCTATACAGTATTTGCTCACAGTTGCTTCCTAAATCTTCCTTCTGATGGAAATCAAAGTGTAGCTTTTGGTAATATTTTTAACAACAGATTGTCATAGTAACGCTTTCAGGTTTGTTAAATTCCTATCAGCTTTCAACAGTAGGTGTTTATCAGTTTCATCTTTTGACAGGGGTCGGGTGGGGGTGGATACCCTGCTTGGAACCCTCTGCCCACCCACTCACATCCGAAAGAGGACTGCTTGCGCGGGGGCTGCTTCACAGCACCAGGCGGGGGCGGTCTGCTCCCCCCTGTTCACCAGCCCCCCCCCCCCCCGCCTTCTCTCCCCTGCGGTGCGGTGCGCGCAGGCCGCTCAGGGCCTCTGTGCCGCTGTCTCCCTCCCTTTGTCCTCCTCCTCCTGGCTCCCCAGCGGCGTGCCTTCTGCTGCGGCCTCCTCCTCCGGCGTCTCGTGTCGTCCGCGCAGTGGCCTCTGAGAAAATGAGTGGCCGTGCTTTGCGCAGGTTTTCTTCTTCCTGTGGAATGTTTCAGCTCACTTGTTTTTCCCACTTTATATTTGCTTTTCCATTCCCCACATCAGAGGCTTTTTGTAAATGCTTGACAGTCTGGCTATTTGCTCATAATGAGGAGTCGGGGGGCTAAGTAGAGAGCGGGCCAGCAAGCTCCGCAGGGGCCGATGGGGTTGTGGACTCCGGCCTGTACGCTAGGACAGCTGGTGCGGGCTGTCCTCGGAGAGCCTGTGGATGATTCCCCTGGAACTACTCAGACGCCCCAGGGGAGGGCGTCCTATCAGGAGTTTAAAAGTCTAGTTGCTAGTGCCCGAGATTCTTATATTCTGAGTGTATTTATTTTTTATTATTGAGTAGCATTTTATTGTTACAGATGCACCATAATTTGTGGATTCATGTTTTCCTCTTCCTGGATGTGTGGGTTGTTTTGGTTTGGGGTAATTGTGACCACGATTACTGTGAGTATTCTTGTACTGGTGTTTCTGTGGACTGACGTTTTTATTCCTCTTTGGAACCATTTAGGAGTGGAATTGCTGGTCATAGGATAAATACGTGTTTAACTTTATAAGAAATGACTAAGTTTTCCATTTTGCTTGTACTGTTTTCCACTTAACATCAGAAATGTTTGAGAGTTTCAGTTGTAATGTGTATCTTACCAACACTTCGTGTTGTCAGCCTTTTTTGTCTCAGCCGTCCTCGTGGGTCTTGCTCTTTGGTGGTCTTCATTGGCCTTTTCCTAGCGACTAATGAGATGGGGCATCATTCTGTGTGCGTATTGATGCGTTATGTTTTGTGTGAAGGGTCTGTTTCAGTTTTGAACCCATTTTTTAAATCTTGTTTATTATTTTTGTTGTTGAATTACAGTTATTTTATATGTATTCTAGATTTCTTTTTAAAGTATAAAAAATTTTAAGCACTTTTCCATAGTCAGAACTTCAAAGCAGAGTTGTTATTGGCTAAGTAGTAGGTGTTTCAGTTTTTTATAGCTATCTAAAAAATACTTTAGATATGAGTTATTTCACCACTTACCTTATTAGTCCTTCCAATTACTTTGAATGTGTCTGTCGCTGTGAGAAACATCCAGACTGGTAGTGAATTTGCATAAGAGTGTGTGTGAACCAAACCGACAGCACAGGTGGGGCACACGGTCTCACACGCTCCTGAGGGGAACGGTTCTGCAGCTTCTGTTACACGGTGGAGGCTGGGGAACCTGAGGAAGATCATGAAGGGGTGAGGGAGCAGTTTGGGAGTTGGCTTACAGGGTGGTTAACAAGATTACGTGCTCTCTTGAGGGTTAGTATCCTTAATACTAAGGATATTACTGTTTTTAGTTTTTTAAAATTTTATTATTTTATTCAATCTTTTTATTTTTTAATTTTACTTTAATTGTTGTTCAAGTACAGTTTTCTGCCCTTTACTCCCACCTCAGCCCACCTCCCCTTATTCAATCTTTATTGTATTTTTTCCCATTACCATTTAGTACCCTTATCACCCCATCTCCACACTGTCGTCCTTTTCCCTGAGCCCTTTTTCCTTTTTGCTTGATCCCTCCACCCCCTAACCTACCCCCCCTTAGCTGTCATCTTGCTCTCTGAGCCTGTCCCCATTTTCCTTGTTAGTTTAGTTTGTTCATTAGACTCCACATACAAATGAAATCATACGGTATTTGTCTTTCCTGACTAGCTCATTTCTCTTAATATAATGTTCTCCAGGTTCATCAAGACTGTTGCAAAGGGTAACAGTCTTCTTTTCCTTCTTTTTTAATGCCAAGTAGAGTTCTATTATGTACATGTGTCCCAGATGTTTTATCCACTCATGTACTGATGGACGCTTGGGCTCCTTCCATATCGTGGCCATTGTCAATAACGCAGCACTGAACCCAGGGGTGCTTATGTTCTTTCGAATTAGTGTTTTGGGTTTGTTCAGATATATTTCAAGAAGCGGGATAGCTGGGTCCAAAGGGTATGTATTACTCCTGGTATTTCCAAGGTGTGTAAACCTGGGTGCACAAGGACAGTAGACATGGCTGGCTTAAAGCCCTTCCTTAAAGAAGTTATGTGCCTGGGCCTAACTGCCCACCATGACCTGCTTGCTGAGTGAGGAATTATGATCAGATCACCTGGAGGGGTTCCTTTACACAGAACCTCCTTTTTTGGTCTACTGTTTGCTTTAGCTGAAGACAGGACAGTTGTCCCTCAGTGTCCACGGCAGTGATTCCAGGACTCCCTCACCTCCACCATGCAGATACTAAATCTGAGCACGGTTAAGCCTCTTACATAACGTGGTTTAGTTTTGCATGTAATTATATATGAAAATATATACTATATACACTCTACCCTATACTTGAAATCATCTCTAGGTTATTTATAATACCTAATACAATATAAATTCTATGTAAGTGTTACCTGCATTGATTAGAGAATAATGACAAGAAAAAAAGCTACATATTTAGTATAGACACAGCCATTGTAGGCCTAGTGGCATAGTACACTTCATCAACTTAACTTAAAAAATTACTAATTTTTTAGAGAGAGAGAAACACTGATTCATTGTTCCATTCATTGGTTTGATTCTTCTTTGTGTCCTGACCAGGGCATGAACCTGCAGCCTTGGTGTATCTGGACGAGGCTCTGACCAACTGAGCTACCGGCCAGGGCTGAATATTTTATTTCTAAAATTAATATTCAGTTGTGTGACTTGTTTCTTAAGCCCAGTGCATGATTACTGAAGGTGGTTCGTTTTTCTTTCAGCGTTCCCAGGGCCAGGTCTGAAGTCCCCTGCTTAGCTTTGAGACCCTCCTGTAGGCACTCGTGGTTTTTAACCGTTTCACCTCCTCCGTCTTCCCGTTGGCCTTTCTCAGTTCGGTTACGTGGACTTGCCTGTGGTCCTGCCTGTAACCCTGTTTCCTGATGTCTGGGACCTCAGTTTCGTTCTCTCGGTCACCTCGCGGAAGGTTTCACTGATTAAAGAAGAGAAACTTGAACACTGTAGTCTTTCCTCGTAGGAACACTTGTCTTGAATATTTTAACATTTAAACAGAAAACAAAGGTGAAATACTTAATGTCAGCATGCTGCCTGGTTCATGTACATGGTTGGTTTAATCAGAGGGTAGGACCCCTGGGAGCAGCCACCCTGCAGCTGCCGATGGGGGGGGTTTGCAGGTGGGTTGGGAGCAGAGTGTTGTGTCCGGGTGGGAGGACTGACCTTCCTTTCTTTGTTCCTCCCTCCCGCCCGCCCCCCCCCGGGAACCCTGGGCGCTCTCCTTGGGTTTGCCGCTGTTATGCCCTGCTTTCAAGGTCCTCACTCGGTTTTAAAGCGCATGTCAATTTTGAGAGTTCCATTGTGATCGAGTACAATTTGATCTTTCAGAGTATCTCAAAGTGAGATCGCACGACCCTGAGGAGGCTATTAGACACGATGTCATTGTGTCTATAGTCACAGCTGCTAAGAAGGATATTCTTCTGGTCAACGACCACCTGCTGAACTTCGTGCGAGAGAGGACTTTAGACAAACGGGTGAGTGGGGGGAACAATTGGTGTGAGTTTTCCTTGTGACTATTTGAAGTTGAATAGTATTTTCTTTGAAAATATTGAGATTTAAATATAATTATCCCTTTTGGGGGGTAATAGGCATTTTAAAATGAAAAGGTTTTACTTTTTGCTACGTTAAATTTCATTACATTTTCTTGATTGTTTGTTGCCATCCTACAAGGGAGGTGTCTTTCAGCCGTAGGCAGATACTCAGCTCGTACGCTGGCTTTAGTGCTGGACTTCCCCAAAGGGCCTTTCACGCGGCTTCTCGCTCGTCGCTGGCCCTCTTTCTCCTTCACGCGGGCGCGGGCCTGGAGCCCCTTCCCTGGTCGGACTGTCACTTCACGGGACGGGGAAAGGAAAGACGCCTTTGGTTCGGCGGAACTGCACCGGAGGTGCTCCAGCCGGGGTGCCGGGACCCCAGGCGTTCCTTCCCGAAGGGCCTCTGGGGTCTTTGCTAGTGAGCTGGGCCTGGAGAGCAGGCCTGGGGGGCTTCGTGGGCGGGGTCGTGGGCTCCTTTCACGGAGTGCTCACACCCCTCTCCTGCCCGTGCCTAGCCTTCCTTCCGTGGTGTGGACCTGAGGGACTTATACTTCAGGGTAATTTTGGTGAAGGATAAAAAAAAAATGATGTTTTTAAGGGTTAATTAGTAAAGAAAGAGCTGTGAATACTTTGACTAAGTAACTTCAGTATTTCAGTAGTTGCTTATAAGGCTTGATGGCACCATCTCCATAATGTGCTTCTCTCTGATCGTGCTGACGGTGCATGCAGAGGAGGTGGGGGGTGCGCGGTCCTCCCTCCAGATCTGTGGGTGTCAGAACAACCTGTTTTAACTGACAAATTTAGACTATCTTTACTGGCTGTTTCATTGGGGTATTGGACAGTGAAAAGGCCAAAGGGCATAAAGAAGGAAAAGGAGAGTTGTATCGTGGTGGGAAAACAGCCTGCAGAGTGACTTGGAGTTGAGACAAGTGTGTTTTGTTGGGGTCTTGGTTCACGTATATTTTTTATTATCGTGTCATGTTCATTTTAGGGCGGCTTGGTTCAATCATATAAGTATTGAGTGCCAAAAATAATTGAATATATCTATATTTTTGGTAGTATTAGAATGTACTCTATCTTTAATTTCTCCTAAAAACAGCAGTTTGGGGGATTAGAGTTAGAGATAAGACAGAGAATTAAGAGATGAAATTTTTACAAACAAATTGAATTGATTTTATGAGTAAGACTTCTAAAGTCTTTTATTTCAATACCTATGTAGTGGATGGATAAGACTATTTTTAATCTGCAATTTAAGGAAAACAAGGGAAGACTATTGCTATGAATGATATTCTGCAAAGGAAAAATGAATAATCTGTACAGATTCATGATGTTCTTAGCATTACTAACATCCTGCTGACTATGACTGTAGTGTTGTGTTTATGTAAAATGAAAGAATAAACTCATTCTAAAATAAGCCGTTTTAGACATACTGTAGTATAGCCAATATGTATTTATTTTATTTTAAAGATTTTATTTATTGTTAAAGAGGGGAAGGGAGGGAGAAGGAGAGGGAGAGAAACATCAGTGTGTGGTTGCCTCTCACGCACCCCCACCAGGGACCTGGCCCGCAACCCTGGGATGTGCCCAGACTGGGAGTCCACCCGGTGACCCCTTGATTCCCAGGCCAGCACCCGGTGCACTGAGCCACACCAGCCAGGGCCAGTATGTATTTAAGTGGTTGAATATATTTCTCTTATACTTGAACTTGATTTCTAGCTATATAAAGTGAAACACTCAAGTATCTTTACAGTGTTTGATAAAGCCAATATCATGTATACTTTTAATGTAAGTATGCTTAATGTACACCATAATTTGGAAAAAATTATAAGGGAAAAGTTACAGTTTATCAGTCAACTCTTTCTTTGCCTTTAAAAATTGGCAGCATGTGTCCCTAGCAGTTCCGAGTGACGTTATGCAGATTGCAGTGGACTTTTATTTTTAGGGTAGGTGATGGGTTTAAGACGCCAAAGCATTAAAATTCTTTGTGCATGTTGATACATTTGTACTTCACATAGTAGGTGTATTTAAATGGTAGTTGTGTTTTTTATCTTTTCATTATTAATTGATATCTACTAACTTAGGTTTCATGAAAATAAATTGTGTGAAGTTTATTACAAACTAGAAACCTAGACTTTCCTGAATTAACGTAATGGAGGCATTTTCATGTTACAAGTAAACGCCTGTGTTTCTGTTTCAAGTGGAGAGTGCGCAAAGAAGCCATGATGGGCCTCGCCCAGATTTATAAGAAGTACGCTCTGCAGTCAGCGGCTGGGAAGGATGCTGCGAAACAGATTTCCTGGATCAAGGACAAATTGCTGCACATATATTATCAAAATAGTATTGATGATCGGTAAGTTAAGGGTACTGTATATAAAATTTTGGGTGGTTATATAACTGTTGTTGATCTGCTTTTTGGGCAAACTATTTTCTTTATAATTTTAAGCTCTTTCCTCAGTTTTAATGGTGAAGTAAAGGTACAGAGTGACTAGTTTTCTTCCCTTCAAAGCCATGCATGAAGCAGTAGTGTGCATATAATTTTACGGATGGATACAGCTTTTATGTTCGTTTTTGTGTATTATTTTAGATCAGAATAATAGTTAAAAGTAGGAATGTATGTAATTATAATTTACATTTTGTTTCATAGGTAATTGTGTTAGAAGGAATACAATTATTTTTCAAATAAATTTTTTTCAAGTAAGATTTAAATGAAAATAAACCCTTTGGATTATAGACATTTTAAATAAAAATGATGTCTACTCAGAGTTAAAACATACAGTTCATAAGTTTGTGTATGTATGCATCTGAATATGATCTTTCAGTTTTTCTATTCCAGTGTAAGGTTCGACTGTGTGTGTATCCTAACCATTGAATAGTTAGGAGACCTTTAAATCCTACGGACTGAGTGTCTCAGGTTAACGTTACACTCTAAGCAATTTCATAGTTATTGTCTTAGGAGAATTGAAGTCTTTAGACTTCTGAGTGTGCAGCACCAATGCGTGAAGGTTTGCATTATGATTTAATAGAACCTTCTTTGTACTTTTTAGCAAGATATTTTTCATCATAGACACTAGGAAACTTCAAAATATCTTAAAAATTTTGTTACAGTTTTAGCTTACAGATGTTTAGAATTTGTCATTTTGAAGGACCTGGTGTGGTTTTTCCCAATACTTTATTTTTTAGGTAAGAAAGTTGACTTCTTGATATGTAACGTGCCTAAAGTAATGCAGAAGTAGTTAGCTGGGTACAGTGCTGTTTCCAGTACATCCAGCTAAATTCCTTTTTGCCCCGTTATTTTCTTTTTTAAAGTGCAGTTTGCATTCAGCACCTTGCTGTAGTAGTTTCGGGTGTGCAGCGTGCTGGTTCAACATCACACTGTACAGAGGGCCCCTCGGTATTTCAGCACCCACCTGGCGTGACACAGTTACTGCAGTATCCTTGGCGGCCCGTTTTCGCAGGAGGACGTCTTTGATTTGTGACTTTCGTCTCCACTCAGAAAGCAGCACTGTCTTTCATATGCTTTTCTTACGTGTTTTGAAATTTTATATACAAATGTAATGCATACTTTAGAGACCAAGGCAGTGAGTGCCTCCTCTGTGTTCTTGCGCAGATTGCTCGTGGAGCGGATCTTCGCCCAGTACATGGTCCCCCATAACTTGGAGACTGCGGAGCGGATGAAGTGCTTGTACTACCTGTACGCCACGCTGGACCTAAACGCTGTGAAGTACGTCTCCCCAGTCGGGTTGTTCTTCCCGTCTGTTCAGTGTGATGAGTTCTGTGGAGGGAAATAACTTTTTAAATAGTGACAATTTATGTAATGTAAACTTTGTTTGAATGGCCCGTCAGTGAAATATACCGCAGTTTTGTTTTTTGTTTTTGTGTGTTTTGTTTTTTTTTTCAGAATGTACTGCTTTCAACATGATTAACGTGGATTTCTGTAAACAATTAAAAATGGGAATTCCTTTTTAATTTAGGCTATAGTGATAATAGTTTATAATAAGTTGTAGAATTCCATGAGATTTCATCTTTAAATCAGTAGGAGAATGATAGGTAAAATCACTTGTGCTTTAAGTGAAGGCAAGTTTCAGCATGCAGGCCCCTCAGAAGTTGTAGGTAATAAGGTGTAGGACGAGATAGAATTCACTGACTTTGAAGCTCAGAAGTATTTCACAGATGACTACTTTACCTTTGAAAATTAATGTTTTTAATTACATAACTCTTGGCTGTTAGTTTCCAATCCTCTGGTTATAGTCATATGTCTTTTAAAGATTACATTCACTTCCACACCCTGACCTACAGGCGTATTTTAGTTAATGATTGATCTTACCTAGTTTTTTTATTTTTTTATTTTTATTTTTTATTTTTTTTTTGGTTTGAGAGAGAGACAAACATCGGCTTGTTCACTCAGTACACAGTCATTGGGCGCTTCCTCTCTGCGCCCTGACCTGGATGGAACCCACAGCCCCCACCGGCAGGGGCGACCCTCCGGGCGGATGAGCTGTCCGCCGTCCGCCGGGGCCGGCTCGCTTCCCTGCGCTCACACACGAGAAGAACCGCCACCGCTGATGCGTTCTGTCGATGCCGCTGTCTCCGCAAATGTCATGTTTTATTTCATGCCTCTTTTCTTCACACGTCATCAGTTGCTGAGTCCTGTGACTTTTACTCCTCTCTGTCATCTCCTTTTGTAATATGAACTCTAAAAAAAAGTAATATAGTTAGAATATTCTGGAAGGACTTTGCCCTTTGTTATTTAAATTTACATGTTTGTATTTTTCAGAGCATTGAATGAAATGTGGAAATGTCAAAATCTGCTCAGACACCAAGTAAAGGATTTGCTTGACTTAATTAAGCAACCCAAAGTAAGTTAAATCTAGTGAAAAGTTGTCCTTTGAGGTTAAGTTTTATCTTCACCATTGCTGCTGTGTGTGATGCAACTCTTTCTGAGTGGAACAGTTTTTGACTCTAAAAGCCCTGATTTCTAACTTAGAATACTGAAATGTTGAAGAAACTTACTGCATGGGAAAATTGAAATGTATCGTACCTGCAAAGGTGACACCTGGCAGGAAGAGAGTGTGCATCCGTGCGCTCAGAGCAGAGGGTCTGGCGGGCGGGTGGGCCGTCGCGTTAAATGGAAGAAAAGAGCGCTGGTGGCAGAGGACGGCTGTGCTTTGACCTGGCCGCGCCGCAGCGCTGCCGTTGTCTCTAGGGCCTTGTTGTTGTAGACAGTTTCCATGTGCAGGGTCAAGTACCTTGATGTTTTTACTGCAGTTAATACTATGGTACTTGAAATGTTCTTCTTGGTCTTCATGTACTTTTTGGACATTTAGAATGATTCTAGGTTTTTTGTTTGTTTTTTCCTAGAATAATGTAAGTATATGAAAAGTATAATTCATTGGAAAAGCTGTGTGCCTGGTCATTTTAAATTGCATCCAGGAAACACTGTATGGTGTCATTTTTCATTTCTTTTTCAGTCCACGGTTTGGACAGTCCCTCCTGCCCCTCATAATGTGCACCTCGTGTTCGTAGGGCAGATGTCAGGAGAGGGGAGTCAGTCATCTGAGGGGAGAAAATCTCCAGTTCTCCTAGGTGTACATTTGGCCATTTGCCACAAAAATCAATGAGTTAACACTGGCTGTTTGAGTGATTTATAGTAACCCACTCACTGTAAATACAGGAATTACCTAATATTCACTTTATACCAAGAACTCTAGTAGACATTATAGAGTTAGAGTTAAAAAAAATACGAAGCTGTGTTTAACTTTTGGGTGTTGATATTTCTTCCCACTTTGTTGGGAAGACTTAATACACTTGATCATTAGTGTGTATTTTTTGCCTTCTTCATTATTCAGTCTGATTAAAATTTTATTCTCACTTAGCTCTGTGTCCCTCAAAGTGACTCTAATTTCCAGGATTGTACTTTTGTTGGTGACGTTTCTTTTTCATGTGGATCAACTTCCCGAAATCCCAGCACCACCTCTTTTCTCCCAAATTCAAATACTTTAAGTTCCAGATTTTGGGGAATTAACTCCTATCCATACTCTGTTGTGCTTTGTCTCTCGCTCTCAGCGAGTGCCTCCTTAATAGGGAGGGTGTGTGTGTTTGTGTACTTGGTTTCTCTCCTCCTCCCAGAGTTTTTCTAGCTCTGTATCTTACTTACACTGTTGTCCAATGACAGTTTTTGAAAATAACATTAACCTGCTGCAACAAATAAGTAGCATTCTTTAAAATATCTTTTATACATGTGACTTTACAGAGTGCATTACATGCAGCACAGTGTAGTGAACACATTCATTCACTAGAATATTAGGAATACTATTACCTGGTATAGCAAATAACTAGCCCTCTTGGAAAAATTGTACTTAATTTTCAACTTTTTTTTTTTAAGATCTGAGTAATAATTTGAAAACCCACCTTTCAGGTTATCTTGTTCCTTTTCTAAATTTAGTTGCCCTGTTTTTTTTGTTGTTGTTGTTTTTTTGTTTTTGTTTTTTTTTTTTAGTAAAGAAGAAAAACAAGATACCTTTCTGTCCCAAAGGTTGCTGCTGCAGTCTGTTCTTTCTTTTTTCGTTTTGGAGGTGACGAACGTAGCAGGTGAAGGGAGAGGTGACCCTGTGGGGTGTGTGTCACTTCCGCCTCTCACCGAGTCAGTCCAGAGCTCAAACGCTGCGAGAGGAGGGGCCCGCAGAGGTGGGCCGGGCGTGGCCGGAGCGCCGCAGGCTGCGCTTGCGGAGTTTTCTGAAGAGTCTGAAGGTTGTAATAGTGGTTACTCTTCCTTTACTGATAATTTTAATTTTGTACTTTTTTCTGTGCTTCTCAGACGGATGCCAGTGTCAAGGCCATATTTTCAAAAGTGATGGTTATTACAAGTAAGTTATTTTAAATATTATATGTAAAATTTAAGGTTTAGTTGAAACATCTCTGATAATTTAAAGGTTTTCATGGAGCTCTGTTTTAGGCCCTGATAATAGAGAAAAAGACAAAAATGTTTTTGATATTTTTGACAGCTCAGTCTCAGCTTTCCCTTTTCCCCCTGATTTGTATTTACTTTGCATACAACACAGAATTCTTTTCTCGTGTGTTGATACAGGCAAGAGCTGGATAAAGGATTTATATAAATTTATTTTTGAGAAATAATTTAATTTAGTACTGCCTTGTCCGGTGTGGCTTAGTTAGTTTGGGGTCGTCCTATGAAGCAAAAGACACCAGTTTGATTCGTGATCAGGGCATGGGCCTGAATTGCAGGTTTGGTCACTGGTCGGGGTGCGTGTAAGAGGCAACAGATGGATGCTTCTCTCCCCCTTTTTCTCCCTCTCTCTCCTCTCTCTAAAAGTAAATAAAATCTTTTTTTAAAAATGTATTATATTAGGTGACTATTAAAAATGAGTCTGTGTTTTGGTGTTGCTTGCTCTAATGAAAATCTACCTGAAGCTAGTTCCATTTTGAGCCAAAATTTAGAATGAAAGATATACCTAATAATTACAAAAGGGCTTCTTTGAAAAAATATATTAATTTGCTGTTTTGCTCTTGGTGATTTCAGATAAAGTGTTAGTTGCACTGACCAGTAAAGACGGAAGGAGTGTGTAGCACGTGTCCGTTGTTTAGTGGAGGGCGAGACCGCGGTAGCTGTTTCAGCAGGGCCTTGGCTTTCTGCCGCCTCGGAGGCCGCTGCGACGTGCACTGAGGGGCGGGGGATGAGAACCACCTGGGGGGGGCAGCCCCTGCGGGACCGCCCACTGGGCGGTGACGAGGACAGGGCAGGTGGTTTTCCGAGATGCCAGCAGGTGTTCCACCGAGTGTGTGGAAGTAACGCCAAGATGCTGAAGACCTGGCTCACTGGGTTTTAGGCTGAGTTGTAGGGTTTCAGCATGAGTAGGGCTTTAAGACCAAAATCTAGCTTAGTCCTGGGCAGTTAGATGTAAACTTGTTTTTGGTTGCTCTGGATAATTCCCAGCCCAGCAGGTGATACACTCTTCCTGCTTTTTTTTACAACTGTCTCTTGAGCACTGGTGTGGCTGCACCCCTGCAGGGTGTCACCTCCTGCGCTGTTTCTGTCCCCTGCCCGCATCCGTCTTCTCCCTGCAGTTGCAGCACTCCCCGAACTCTGCCCTGCGGAGTGCCGCTGTCCTTCACAGTCAGTAGCACTGTTAGGGAAGAGGCTTCCTAAGCGAGGCACCTTCTGCAGGACCAGTGTGAAGGGTCCGCCTTTCTCTCCTTCGTCCCTCCCTGCCTGCCTCCCTGCTTTCCCCCCCCCCGCTCCATCCCCGTCTCCCTCTTCGTTTGGTTTGTTAAGTGCTGGGCCTTCCTGGAGCCTTGACTGCCACGCCCGCGCCTCATGCAGGGGCTGCCCAGTGTTTTCCAGAATTACTGGAAAACACTACAGTAGACGTTTTCTACTACAGAACCACGAAAAGATTATCAGTGAAGTATTTGGGGGGCAGGGGAATTTGTTCTTAATACATTCAGCGATCTACCCAAGAATTAAAATGGAATTTCAAAGTCGTATATGAAATTGAAGAATACATTTACTATAATTATATTTTAAGATTGATTTGAATTTCTACTACTTTTATTAAAGTCCGTGGTCCTTAGGATAATTTTTGTTAGACATATCTATTTGGTTGTCTGGAACAGTTGTTAAGTAGCCAGAAAAAAAGATTCTGGGAGCGACACTTTATTAGCTGTGACAGGTGTTTTGGCACGTAGACATATTAGGAGAGCAGTGTAACGCTCAGTATGGACTCCACAAGGACTCGCCCTTCTCGCACAGTAATGGCACATCTGCAGTGACCCCTGGGACGTGCTGCTCAGCGTGCGCCGGTGCCGGGCAGCACGCCTGTGTGTGTCATTGGGTGGTTCAGTAATGAACAGCGGGGTACGAGAAACTCCTATCTTAAAGGTACACTGCCTGGTCTCTTGTTGGGAGTTAAAGTGAACAGTGTGTATGCAGCAAGCTCGGGGGCTAATAAAGTGGACACTGGTCAGGGCGACATTTAATGCCCGTCATTATTGCAAGGAGTTGTTTAGAAAGAGCCAGTTCAGTCTTTTCCCACGTAGACTAAATTAGGATTATTAATCAGTAATAAAAATAATGAAAATTTAATCCTTTTATTTGAGAAATTTCTAAATTCTATTTTAATTGAACTTCATTTTAATTAAAGGAAATTTGCCAGATCCCGGTAAGGCTCAGGATTTCATGAAGAAATTCACACAGGTGTTGGAAGATGACGAGAAAATAAGAAAACAGTTGGAAGTGCTTGTCAGTCCGACGTGCTCCTGCAGACAGGCTGAGGGCTGTGTGGTAAGGAGACAGCCTAAAAGAGCTGACGTTTGAAGGAACCCCACGCCTTTGTGTGTCCCCTTCTGTGAACTGCTTTGTATTCCTCATGTAAAGTTCAGAAAAAGTCACAAAAAATGACAGTACAGTTACACCCCAGTCCCCGTGTAGAGACTGTTGCTGTTTTATGCACGCACGCGCGCGCGCACACACACACACACACACACACACAGAGCTCTTGGTGCGTCGTGCTCACACTCATCAGTCTTGCGCAGCACTGGGTGATGAGAGCGCTGGAGCACACCGTCGGACGTGGTGTGTCGTGCTCTGTTGGGCAGTTCGCTGTCAGCACATTGAGGTTTTTTCCCAGCTTTTGATTAAAGAACAGTTCAATATCTTTACGGTTAAATATAATTTTACAGTCTTACTATTTCTTAAGGATAAATTTAGTATTGGCCAGTTTCACTATTGGAAACAAAACTCAAACAAAAACATAAGTTATTTTTATAGGATTTCTCTTTCTTGGTTGCTATTCATTTGACCCTTTTTTCTCTCTGGGTGTATTAGCCTTTCATATTCCTTTTGTTCATGTTTCTTTTCTGTTTTTAATCTTTGCCTGTTTACCTGGAATAGCTGTCTTATATCTTACTGATTTGTTAGTCTGTCATGGCAGTGGATAGTAATTAAGCGACAAGTAATTTTCTGTCAGTTGTAGTTTGCCCTTTCATTTTCTGATGTCCCTTATATACTATAGTTTTTTTATTTAAATCACAGTTTGCATTCAGTTTTTTTTTTTAATTAGTTTCAGGTATAAAGTGTAGCCATAATTTTTTTTTTTTTAATTTAGCTGAGTCTATCAGCATTTTCTTCAAGGATTTTGTCTTTGGTGTCCTGCTTACAAAATTCCATTCTGTATGACAGAGTCAGGTTGAATGTCAGTTTCTATTATTCTCTTGCCCCTGTATCTTCCAAGGGGCTTTAAAAATAAATCCTTGGCTCCCTCTCAAGTTGACAAAATGGGAATCTTCACAGTGAGACTCACAGATCTGGAGCTCAGCTCGTTCCCCTAATAATTGCATTTGCTAAGTTTAGTTTCGAAGTCCTGCAACTCTCGGTTTCATTCTTCAGTATTTGTTTGTATCTTTTTAAAATACTTTTGGTGTAAGGTTTTTACTGTCACTCTGTTTTCATTCTAAATGTCTGTTCAGTTATTTCAATATAATATACTGAATAATCTAACTTTTCCCTACTTGAAATGTTACCTTTCTCATATGCTAAATTCTTAACCTTGTCTATTTTTTGAATTTGTTCGATTTCTGTTGCTTCATTTATTCTAGCACCAGTACTACACGGTATTAATTACGGTAGGTTCTTAACATTTTAATGGAATTATTTAAACATACCTTTGTAATACTGTTTAAAAATCTACATTACAGCGTGAAATTACTAAGAAGTTGGGCAACCCCAAACAGCCTACAAATCCTTTCCTGGAAATGATCAAGTTTCTCTTGGAGAGGATAGCTCCTGTGCACATAGATACTGAATCGATCAGGTATTTGTATGTAAAATACGAAATTTTTATATCTGTGTGTCATTCATGCTCTAGTCGGGCAGTCACCGCCGATCACCTCCTGTCCCAAGGCACTCACCTGTGCAGCCTGATGTGTGCGCGCCGTGGCCTGATCTGCACGTGTGCACGAGTGTGTGTGTCTGTTAGTGAGTGCGTGCATTCATCTGTATATCTTTGGTTTTATTTATTTTAATTTTGAATACTGCTTTATTTTGTGTGAGAAATTATGAATCCAAGCCTCATTTTTATCTCTTACGAGTGTACCGAGAGTTCCTCCTTGCATTAGCTTGTGTGCATTGGGTGATACAAGCAAACCACAGTGTCTGCTCAGGAAGAAGAAACTGGATGAGCGTGCTGTGAAGAAACATGTGATGCGTTTCCACAGATACTTGAGAACTGAAGATGTTATTTTTAAAACCACCATCCTTTAAAGTTTCAGCTTTGATATTACTGTGATATCTTGGAGAGCACTTTCTTTTTATTGTTCAACTGTTTCCTAAAATGTTTCAATTGGCTAAAAAATGAACTAATTATTATATATGTGTGTGTGTATGTGGCATACTGATTTATTAGTCGTCAGTAATATCTTTCAGAAGCACATTAGAATCCAAAATAAATAATGCTAATGGTACCTCCTGCGCCCAGTGCATCCCCTTTGGGGACTTCTGTTGGGCGTAAAGGGGACAGGGTGCAGCTCTGGGCCCGCACTCCCTTGCCCGCCCCTCCCTGGCGTGGGATGTGGGACCTAGGGAGGCCCAGCTTGGGATATCTGTGAGTCACTTCGCACTCCTCTTGTGTCAGTTTTCATCTGAAGAAGGGGTTCTATAGTTCAGGGAAAAACAGCCAAACAAAACTGTAACTCTCCTCATTAGTGTGAGGAACAATCTGAATCAGACTGAATTTCGCTGGTTAATTAATTATGTGCCTACTCCCTTGAAGGCATTGCCTGTCAGATACTGGCAAAGCACATTCGCACTTCCTGCTGTTTTCACCAGCCTTCTGTCGAGCAACGTAATGAAGAGTCTCAATCAGGAGGTGGTATCATAGTTCCGTGCAGTCAGTGCAGTGGCGTCAGACGACTGGAAGACGTCTCCCGGGGCAGCATCAGCCCCTGGGAGGAAGACCGGGGGAGACTTTGTTTCCGCAGAGAAGGGACGGGGAGTGTTCTAGGAGGGGAGAGCGGGTCCGGCCAAGCTCTGCCTGGACCGAAAAGGACAAGGTGTAGCCGTGCGTGCCATCCGTTTAAACTGCAGCACAGAGAGGCGGTCCCTGAGCACACCTGGGGTCAGAGGGCAGACAGCATCTAAAACCTGACTTCAGAGCTTTCACCGGATGTTTCGGTCCGTGCAGAACCTCGGGCGGAGGCTGCAGGGCAGGCAGGGGCGAGAGCCACGCCGCTGAGGCCTCGTTGTGCTGTCTAGATGAAGGGAGTGGGGCGGAAAGGAAAGAGGGTTTTTCTCTCTCTAAAACAGAGGGTTCTAAAAGAACCACCTAGAAAACTAGGTCACCTCACTGAAGACGGGGCGTAAAGATAAGGAAGAGTCCGCGGTACCAGAGTTCAGGCCTGAACGACGAAGAGAACAGACTCGTGACCCTTGAGCACAGTGCAGGGGCTGGCCTTCCAGGAGGTGAGAGCGGCTGCGCTGCCTCCGTGGAGGCGGCCCGAGTTTCCGTGCAGCAACGGGGCGGGGCGGGCGAGGGCGACGCCGACTGGGGGTCACCTCTTGGGGCCAGGGGTGCACAGAGAGAAGCGGGAGGATCCAGGGGTCATGGGTCGACCCTCCGTTAGGAAAACGTAAGAAAATGAGGTTATTGCAGCCGTTTTCAACCCTTTTTTATCTCGTGGCACACACAAACTAATTACAGAAGTTCTGCACACCGGCAAAATACAGCTTTTGCTGATCTAACAAAAAAAAAACCAGGTATAGTTTTGATTCATTCACACTTGATGGCTGTTGTGTTGGCTGTTGTCATTTTTCTGTCCGCCAGTCTGAGAGGAAAGACGTCAGTGCTTCTGACCTCTGCATGTTTTACGGATCCTTGCGGCACACTGGTAGAAAATGGCTGGGTTTTTGCGATGTTTTCAAAGTTAAGATGAAGAAAGTTTTCAGAAATAATTTGTACTACAAACAGGGAGAGGGAGAGGTGAGGAATGAAACGGGCCTTTGGCATTAGTGGTCGCGGTTGGGTCCTGGAGGTGGAGAAGGCGGGGGGCCTTAAATGACGGCAGCAGGTAGAAGCAGCGCGTGTGTGCGGGGCGCCTGCGATGGCTCGGACAGTTCGCGTGTCGGAGCTCACTACTTCCTGACAGCCTTAGACGAGAGATGCCGTTACGCCCATTGTACAGATAAGGCGCAGTGAGTTGGACAGATGCTGAGTAACTTCTCCACTGCTGGGAGGGGGGTGACACTGGCCCCAGGAGTCTGGCTCCAGGGCCCTGGCGAAGCCACCCACACTCGGGGGGTGTCCGGTCCACCTCGCTCTTCCCACCAGTGGCTGTTACTATTTCCAGTCTTTGCTGTTTTTTAGGTAAATAGGTAGGTATTCTTTTTTTTTTTTTTTTTAATTTTAATTGTTCAAGTACAGTTTCCTGCGTTTTACCCCCATCCCAGCCCACCCTCCCCTCCCCCCCCCCAGCCCTCCGGGTAGGGACTCTTTTAAAATAACGCACCTTACTCATAAAGTTGAACATTTTCTCCCCTGTGTATTTCTTGGCTATTTGAAGTTTATATTTTTCTGTGACGGGCTTGGAAGAATGGTCTTCTTCTTATTAATTATAAGAATGCTTTATAATACTTCCGGCGAAGATGGAGGCATAGGTAGACACACTGTGCCTCCTTGAAAAATCAAGATAGGGACAACAATTTAGAAACAGAATAACAACCAAAACTGTCAGAAAATTGATTTGAATGGAAGTCAACAAGGAGTTAAAGTAGACCCATTCATCCAGACTGGTAGGGGCGGAGTCGAGCGGCCGGCTGGGATAGTGGCGCTGAGAGCAGAGAACTCTGGGACTGGCGCTTAAGGCATCCGGGGCGCACAAGACCGCAGCGGGCAGACCCAGCGAGGCAGCGATTGTGAAGCAAGGCCCTGCGTGCAACCCAGGATCCCTGCGCTGGGAAACAGAGCCTCGGGACGCTGATTGAAAACCCCTGTGGGGGTGGAGAGAGAGACTCCTGGCCTCACAGGAGAGGTCCTTGGAGGGTCCCTTGGTGTGCAGAAGCCCACCCACATGGGGGTTGGCACCAGAGAGGCCCAGTTTGCTCGGGGGAAGTGGTGGAAGGGACTGAGGTTCCACAGAGAGCGGAGCAAGGGACCATTGTTCGCTCACAGACCCTGCCTTCACATACAGCGTCACAACCCAGCGACTGGGGTGCCCGGCCCTGGTGAACACCTAAGGCTCCGCCCCTCGTTCCTTACAGGCTCCACCAGACCAAAGTGGGGACGGGTGGGAGTGGACGACGGAGATGGCTCAAACAGAATTGGAAGCCCCGCAACCAGTTTTTTAAGCGACTGAGAGATAGCCAACCTATCAGATGCACAGTTCAAAGCACTGGTGACCAGGATGCTCACAGAATTGGTTGATTTTGGTCGCAAATTAGATGAACAAGTGAAAGCTACAATAAGTGAAATGAAGAAAAATGCACAGGGAACCAATAGTGATGGAGTGAAAGCTCGGTCTCACACCAATGGAGTGGACCAGAAGGAAGGAAAAAACATACAACTGGAAAAGAATGAAGAACTAAGAATCCAAAAACACGAGGAGAGGCTTAGGAGCCTCCAGGACATCTTTAAATGATCCAACATCCGAATTATAGGGGTATCAGAAGGAGAAGAGGAAGAGCAACTAGTGGAAAACTTACTTGAACAAATAATAAAGGAGAACTTCCCCAGTCTGGCAAAGGAAATAGACTTCCAGGAAGTCCGGGAAGCTCAGAGAGTTCCAAAGAAGTTGGACCCAAGAAGGAACACACCAAGACACATCATAATTACATTAGCCAAGGTAAAAATGAAGGAGAGAATCCTAGAAGCAGCAAGAGATAAGGAGACAGTAACCTACAAAGGAGTTCCCATCAGACTGTCAGCTGATTTTCAGAAGAGACCTTGCAGGCAAGAAGGGGCTGGAAAGAAGTATTCCAAGTCATGAAAGGCAAGGACCTACATCCCAGATTGCTGTATTCAGCAAAGCTTTCATTTAGAATGGAAGGGCAAATAAAGTGCTTCCCAGATAAGGTCAAGTTACAGGAGTTCATCATCACCAAGCCCTTATTATATGAAGTGTTAAAGGGACTTATCTAAGAAAAGAAGATAAAAAACATGTATAGTAAAATGACAGCAAAGTCACAATTATTAACCACCACACCTAAAACAAAAAGAAACTAAGCCAGCAACTAGAACAGGAGCAGAATCACAGAAATGGACATCACAAGGAGGGTTAGCAACAGGGGAGTGGGAGGAGGAGAGAAGGAGAAAAGGTATAGAGAATAAGTAGCATGGATGGTAGGTAGAAAATAGACAGGGGGAGGGCAAGAACAGTATGAGAAATGTAGAAGCTAAAGAACTTGTAAGTATGACCATGGACATGAACTAAAGGGGAGGAATGTGGGTGGGAGAGGTTGTGCAGGTTGGAGGGGAATGAAAGGGGGAAATGGGACAACTGTAACAGCATAATCAGTAAAATATATTTAAAAAGAATGTTTTATAAAATAAGGCTATTAACCCAGTTTGATTGACTTTAGTAAATATTAAACTATATAAAGAAATCTACCAGTTGTCCTTGTTATTTCTGCTTTTGGTATTAAGTGGTTATGTTCCTGACATTAAATCTTCAATTGCTCTAGAATTTGTTGTAGTATAAGGTGGAGTTAGCGTCATCCTTTTAAGCATGTGCTAGCTAGTTGTATGAACTCCACTTACTGAAAAAATTGTGTTCCTTCCCATTTTATCTGAAATATTTCCTTATTACAGCATAAATTTTTATATGATTTGGACTCTTACTACATTTTCACCTAGGTTCCTTTGTGTTTTGAGGATTTTACTGTACATTTTTATCTCATTAACAAAGTTGTTTCATCCCTCCCCATTAAAATTCAGAGGTTATTCCCAGATGTTAATTTATTTTTCAGATGAGCCATAAAATGGGTTTGTTGAATCTTATCCCACACCAAGTTGTATTCCCTTGAGATATTTAGAGACTTAGTGAAAAATGTCTCTTGTATAATATTGCATTTCCATCTTAGGAAAATACTTGCCTTGATTTATTTGAATCTGTATGCAGCCTTCATCTAATTTTAGAGTTTATATTCTGTGCGTTTAAACCTTTTTCTGCCTACTTACTTTACATATTTGAGTTGTCTTTTGTAAGTAGATTTTTCCCCTCTATATTTTAGGTGACTTTGGCTGACATAGAAAAGCATTACTGATTATCTGAACTTAGTATTTTTTTCATCATTTTAGTTGATTTCTTCTGTTTTCTTGGTCAATGCTTCTATTGACAGACTTTTGTATGTGTAGCTCTTATCCTTAGGTTTTCAGCTCAGTTGTACCTTTTCAGAAATGTCTTTTCTAGCTGCTCTTGGTAGAAGAACTTCGCTTCTGGTCTTGGCCTTTTTTCTAGTCCTTACTGTTCCTTGATTGCCATATTATCTATTAGTTTGCTTTCTTTTTGGCGTTTCTTCACTAGAATGAGAGCTTTGTGCTCTTAAAATAATGCCTTTAATTTTGGATATGTGATATTTTTCATTCCTTTATGATGACATCTAGTTAAGAAAACTTTGGGGCTGTTGAAAATAATAGGGATAGGGTTCAGGCTGAAGGTTTTTATTTGGGATGGATAGAGCTATGAGAATTGATTCATTGGGAAAAATGGGTAGAAAAGGAGAGCAAATATCCTCAGAGACACCAACTGTTAAGGACATGATAAATATGAAAGGTTCCTGCAAGAGACACTACATTTGACTCCTAGCTTGACCTTAAAATTTGAGTACATAATATCTTTGTAGAAATACAGATCTAGTAAAGTTACTAGAGGCCATTGAATAATGAATTTTCCCATATATTGTTACATACTATGCCTTTAACCTGGTGTTTGTGGTTTTTTATTAAAAAAAATAAATAAAATAACCGCCCCGGCTGGCGTGGCTCAGTGGATTGACGGAGGGCTGGGAACCAAAGCATCGCAGGTTCGATTCCCAGTCAGGGCACATACCTGGGTTGCAGGCCACGGCCCCCAGCAACCGCACATTGATGTTTCTCTCTCTCTCTCTCTCTCTCTCTTTCTCCCTCCCTTCTGTCTCTAAAAATAAATAAATAAAATTTTTTAAAAAATACCAGTATGAATAATTATTTTAGGTAATTGATAATGCATTTACAAATGTTCGTCTTAAAGGTAACATAAGCTTGTTTTTAGAAGAAAATGGTAAAACATGTTTCCTTCTTGATCTACTGTAATGCCCCAGTGAGACAGTATTGCATGTCCGTTGCTGGGCATTCCTGCCCCTTTTAGTAGCAGCGGCAGCAGCGGCAGCAGCAGCAGGCCGTGGTGTGTCTGGCTCTCCCAGCGCGTCTGCCCCCCAGCAGTGCGCACCGAGGGGTGTGAAAGTGCGTAATGCTGTCACTCAGCCTTTGTGTCAGCACGGATTCTCTTCTCACTGGGCAAGTTACGGACTTTAGATGATTAGAAAACCTCTGTCATTCATGTGTTTGGGCATAAGCCTTCTGTGGAAAATACAGGAATAAAAATACAGGCGACATTAGTAGACAGCAAATGAAATAATATCTGACTCATTTGAACGGACAAAAGAAAATACAGGTTTTTCAAAGAAGCATCTCAAAATACTTCTTTGTTTTTGTTTTGCAGTAATGTTTGGAAAATCACATTTGTATATGGTTTGGATGGGGGCTATCTAGAAAATATTTAGGGTTTTGTTTAGACATTGGTAATAAGGTACAGTTAAAAATGACTCTCTTTTAAATCTTTCTTTAGTGCCCTCATTAAGCAAGTGAACAAATCGATTGACGGGACGGCGGACGACGAAGACGAGGGCGTGCCGACCGACCAGGCCATCAGGGCAGGCCTCGAACTGCTGAAGGTGAGCGTGCCCCTGGGGACTGCGGAGCCTCGGGGGGGATTTCCCCGTCATGTTCAGGGCTTGGGGTGGCCAAAGGGTTTGGTTTTTCCGTAAAATGGGTCTAGAAACACTTACTTGTCTTTAACCTCATTCGAAACAGTTTTGTTAGATGGTATTATGACAGCTGCCATATCAGTGTACATTTTCAAAAAAATTGTACCAAAATTGAATTTTTGTGTAGTCATGTTAAAATAGTGAAGATGGAAGACTGTACGCAGCATTTTTGGCATATTATGCTTTACTGAGAAAAGTGAAAAACACAACTGAAACACACATACAAAAAAGATCCGTACACTGTATGGGGAAGGTGCTGTGACTGATGAAACGTGTCAGAAGTGGTTTGCGAAGCTCTGTGCTGGAGATCGCTCACTGGACGATGCCCACGGTCAGGTGGACCGGTTGAAGTTGATACTGTCAAATCAGGACATTAACTAAGAGCAGTCAACTTTATGCTACATGGGAGATAGCCGACATACTCAAAATATGTAAGCCAGTAACATTCACGAGAATGGAAAATGTGTCCTTTATTTTATGGAGAAAACCATACAGACTTTTTGACCAACCCAATAATTGATTTGTAGGATTGTGGGGTTTTGTTTTGTTTTGTTTTTTTAAGTTCTCACCTGAGGAGATGTTGATTGATTTGAGAGAGAGAGAGACATGGATTGGTTGCCCCTCGTTTGTGCCCTGACCCACAAAAAAAGGGGTCACACCCACAGCCCTTTTGGTGTTCAGGGACAACATTCCAACTAACCTAGCCACCTGGCCAGGGCTAAATATTTTTAGTTTTAAATTGTGTATTATAGCCTGATATTAATTATATTAAAATGGTGGGTTCTAATTTGAAGGTTTCATTACTAAGGAGCAAGAAACGTGCTTGCCCTGTCCGGAAGGAGAGAAATTCTTTTTCAAACTGCATCTTATCTTTTGTTAGCTAATGTACTAGTGCTTTACACTGATCATAAAAATACTGGTTAATGTTGACAACTTTTAAATGTAAAATTATAAAGGACAACATTCATAAATCATACATAAATACTTCTTTTATTCCTTTTAATCTTTGATTTTTACAGAGTTCAGATCAGACTGAATGTACAATTTTATATCTTGACTATTCTTTCTTATTAAAATATAAGCTTTTTTGTCTTTAGTGTCTTCTAAGACTGTTTTTAAGAATGTAAAAAACATTGGGTTTCTGGCTGTCATTCGGTAGATGTGTGCTTTGGGGCACGTGACTTTGCCTTCGCGCCTCATCTGTGATGCAGGGTGACAGTGATGGTGCGTAGTCTGCTGACGACTGAATTAGATGGCGCACGGGAGTTGTGTAGTAAAGTGTCTGGCTTACAGTAAAAATAATTGTGTTTTGAAGTACTGATTCACTTTTGGAACGTCATAATGCTTCCATCTGTTTCTCTCTTGCTGGATATTTAGGTATTTTACATTTTATACCTGCTGCCACTACTAAGGCACACGTCCCTGACATCTTCCACTAAGGTTATTGAGAAATTTCCTAATCTTACAAGCAAAAATAAGCTTTTAACTTGCATAGTTGTTGCATAGGTGTACTAGCAAGGTACACCTTTCCTGTCAGTCCATTAGTGTTTTACCGATGAGGGGTTCATTATTTTTGTTCTCTGTCCATTTTCTGCTGATAGCTCAATCTTTTGTTTGTTTGTTTTTTACCTGATTTAAGTGAGCTTTTTAATTTCTTTTGCTGTTTCATAGGACATATTTGATGCACAAACATATTCTATTTGAGTGTAAAGTAAGCTGTAAAGCATGTTAGTAAAACGAGTGCCAGTGAAAAGAACACAGAGTGCTGATGCTCTGCCTCCCATCGGAGCTCCTCGAGGGCCCCGGCCCCGCCCCCACCCCCACTCCCACCCCCCACCTCCGCCTCCCAGTGTGGGGGTCTGTCGTGTGGCGCTGCTGCTGCTGCTGCTTCCCTTCGTGGTTCTGCCGCCCCGTCTGCCTGTGCATCTCCAAATAACTGCTTGTTTTGGCTATCGTACATAATGTATTTTTCTTCTTGCTTATTTTCCATTCCACATCTGAGTCCAGTTAAGCTTTAAAATAAGTCCCATGATTTTCAAAGAATTTTACTTGTTTTTGTTTCTTAAATCCTGAAACATAACCTATCTGAAATTTATTTTGAAACTTTTTTTGGGGGGATGGCCCAATTTGATTTTCTCCAAATAACTATTCAGTTTTACCAAGACTATTAAAAATCCCATCATTCTCATTTATCTTCTCTTGTTTTCTCTATAATTTATTATACTCTATATCATCTAAGTTTCTATATGTACTAGGGTCTACTTATTACCTTTCTTTTCTATTTTATGTTTCTTCTAATGTTAGTGCTATGCTGACCTGACTATTGTAACCTTATCACATCTTTTACTAGCTGGTGTTTTACTTCCCCAGATTACTTTTTCCCCCAAAATGTTATTAGCTAGTTACTCTAATGATCTTTATTTAGAGGAATAGAGATATTTTGTTAAATTCTTTTCTTGGTTCTTTTTTCTCCTACCCTCATTTCCCTTAAAAAAAAAATGAACCGAAATCCAAATTATTTTAAGTAAAATTATATTAACAATTTAATTTTGAAAAAATGAGTTCTTTGGATTATAGTCTTTTTTTTTTTTTTTTTAAATATGGAACGCTTCACGAATTTGCGTGTCATCCTTGCGCAGGGGCCATGCTAATCTTCTCTGTATCATTCCAATTTTAGTATATGTGCTGCCGAAGCGAGCACTGGATTATAGTCTTAAACAAGAATATTCCTGTTGCGTATTTGAGCATATTTTAAATGTTAAAGTGCTCTCATTTACTTTTTAGCATAATTACTTTTGTACTTGATTTATATTTCTACTACATAGTAGTTTAGATTTATACTGTAGAGATGAAGAGGGTTTACAGGTCATTTTTATGACTGATTTTTTAGGTGCTCTCATTTACGCACCCCATCTCGTTTCATTCTGCGGAGACATTTGAGTCCCTCCTGGCTTGTTTGAAAATGGACGATGAGAAAGTAGCAGAAGCTGCACTCCAGATCTTCAAAAACACAGGAAGCAAAATTGAAGAGGATTTCCCACACATCAGATCGTGAGTCGCGTTTATTCTGATAAATATTCTGGAAAATAGAAAAGTAGTTTACTGTTTCTTGAATTATGTAATAGAATAATTTATCCTTTGAGGAAATAATGGCTGGGTTATCTTAAGTGGATAGAGTTTGCTTTCGATCCTCATTTTCTGGGAGAAAGCACTTCTTGGTGTTTTAGAAGATTCATGAAAACGTGGGGTGCACGTGTCATTCCTTTCGGAAGCAGCAGCGTTCCTGAGACAGTTCAGTGGAGCCAGCCCGACAGTGAAGCAGGCCTGGGCTGCCGCGTGGCGCGGAGACGCCTGTCTCGGGACTTCAGGGCCCAGGGGGGCCGCAGGGGCCTTCCGCAGGGCTGGGTCGCCGGGGTTCCGGAATGAAACGGCGCTTTACGTGGCGCAGGGAGGCAGGGGACGTGGCTGTGTGTGTGATGTGTGTGCGTGCGTGTGCCAGTGTCCGTAAGAACTGGAATGTGTGTGTATTGTGGGACTCTCCAGTGGCGGTCGGTTGTTGGTCAGGGCTCTGCAGTACCTCAAACACTAAACCCTCCTCCGTGTGGACCCCGCTCACCGTGCTCTGTGCACTGCTCCCCCGCCCCCGGGGGGCACGCCTGGGGGGCGGCTGACATCTGAGGTCGCTCCCGGCGCCGTCCTCGGAACCACTGGTGCTGGTTTGGCCTCTGCCTCGTGACTTCTCGAGTCTTAGCCACTGGCTAGTTAGTGGCGGGAGCATTGCTTCCCAATGCAGACAGTCTGTTAGTGTCTCAGGTGTCTTTTTTACTATTCCTGTCTGTTCGTGGGGACTTAATTTTAGAAAGTATTGGTAAATAAGACAAAGGCATTTATTAAAGATGAGTGAAACATACCATAGTTTTGTGACAGTAGTCTCCTTGGGCAGAATAAGAAACTTTATGGTTTAGGACTGACTGCTTAATTTTTTAAGATTTTATTTATTATTTTTAGACAGGGAAGGGAGGGAGAAAGAGAGAGAAACATCAATGTGCGGTTGCTGGGGGCTGTGGCCTGCAACCCAGGCATGAACCCTGACTGGGAATTGAACCTGCGACACTTTGGTTCGCAGCTCGTGCTCAATCCACTGAGTTGCGCCAGCCAGGGGTCTGACTGCTTAATTTTTAAGGGAGCTTGAAGCGTGGACTTGCACTTGGCGTGGTGCTGTCACTCTTGTGTGCAGGTTGGCAGTCGGAGCATGGACCCCCCCACACACACACACACACACACACACTGCGTGTGTAAACTCTGTACGTAACTCTGTACCATTTACGGAATGCCTGGTATTGCACTACTTCACTTCGACCTTGTAACACTCACGAAAGTGTAGCACTTAGCGTCTTAGTCTTCCATGGGAGGGGTCGAGTGCTCTCTCGGGGTGAGTGTTTCTGGGTCATTCAGTCAGCAAGCAACAGAGTGGAGACTGAAATCTGGGCCTGTCTGTCGGCAGGGCCTGTGGTGCCATATGTATTTGGCACACTTTCTTGATTAGAACAGATTTTAGTGACATTTGTGTACTGGAGATTTTTGTCTTCATTCCACACTGTCTTTCCTGGTACCTGTGATATTAAAAAGTTGTTTGATTTTTCTATAGGAGAAGTGCAAGATGAAGGTAAACAGGTCGGCATTTTAGAACATGCGTGGGTATTTTAGAATCCATGCTGCTGTCATGGAACTGAAATGCGTGAAAAGTACTGGGTTTGCAGGTGGGGGGTGTCTCGCGTGTCTCTCCGAGGAGAGTCCGCCGCCGCTGAGCCCCTGCTGTTCGCACACACTGCCCTCGGGGAGGTGACTCACAGTGCGTGTCTCCAGGGGCTCAGACGGGTAGGCCACGTCTGTGTGTTCAATGATTAAATTGGGTGAGTTGATTTTGGAAAAAAAGGACAAAGTAAATATTTTATTACATTATTTTCTTTTGAATTTACCAAAATAATTTACAAGAACCGGCAGAAACGGTGTCTAAGCAGACGCTGCAACAAAAACACGCTAGCGCTAGGAGAGCTGGGTCCGGAGTGTCTGGTGCGGCTCTGTCTGCGCTGGCGCGGAGGGGAGGAGACTGAGGCACAGAGGGAAGGAGACCGAGACGCGGGCTGTTGGAGAGAACCGAGGAAAACCTCGGTCCAGCTGCACTGGGACTGAAGGCGAGCGTTCCCGGTCATGCTGGTTGTCTTTGGGCTGACCTGTTTTCCTTCAAAAGGAGGAGCAAGTCTCCTGTTAGAATCATGAAGCAGGGTTATTACCAACTTGCAGGAACAGAAGAAATTATGTGCTGACCCACTAAACAAAAATGATGGCAAGTTTGGTTTTCATTCTGACTCAGCCTGTCTTGGAGTCTGACCGCCCCCAGAGTCAGCTTGTGTGCAGATCCAGAGAGTCCCCTGGCAGCGTGGAGCAGAGCCATCGCTGGAGCGGGGCCTGGCTCTCGCCCTGGAGGAGTCTCGGCAGCCTTGGAGAGCGGAGACACGTGGATGGGCCCACGCCCGCCGGGCCCTCCTCCAGCCCCTGAGCCTGCTGACGGTGCGGGTGCAGCTGAGCTGGGAGCGGTGGTGGGGATCTTCAGGAGAGCTGTCCACTATTAGTCATCTGGGTGACACTGCCTGCATTTCTGTTTAAAAGGCGGAGCCACAGAGAACTCCAGTTATTCAAACGAGAATTAACAGAATACAAATTAACAAACATGAAACTTATGTAAATATTTCAGCATTAAAAAGCTGATAAGCACTATTTGGAAGAATTTCATTTTTCTAAGAAGAAAATTTAAACGGTTTTAAACTGCCAAGAAAGTTAAACTGCAAATGACATGTGGGCGGGGGTGGGGGAGAACAAAAGTGAGGTAATGTGTTAAAAAGGAAAGTGGCCGAGCTAAGGGTGAAGACGAGCAGAAGCACGTGGCTTATAGCACACAATTTGTGACGAGCAGCAAGGAGTAAACGGACAGTACAGAAAACGTGAGCGGGGAGCTAGAGATGAGCGCGAGGCAGTTGCACGGAGTGTGGGGGCAGTGGGCCCAGAAGTGAAGGCGGCGGAGGAGGAGGAGGAGGAGCTGCAGACTCTGAAAAGCAGTGGCTGGTTTCTGCAGAGAAGACAACAGTTATGCAAAGTGCAGACTCTTTTAAAAAAGTAATCGTAAACTTACTTAGAATGAATGAAAACATGAAGCTGGAAATGAAAAAAGCTCATGTTTTAGGAAAATTTCCTGATAGAGTTTGCTGCATTTTTAGGGATTACAGCAGTGATTTCACAAACATAAACATCAAGGGAAAAAGGAGGTCATGCACAGCCAAGGAGGAGTGAGGCTGACCAGGTTCTTCTCGACCGCATGAGATTTATTTCCAAAGCCAGTGATTCAACAGCTGGGGAGTTTGGGTGGACCAAAAAATGTAACTAAAGCATTTCCTAACCAGCCCAGCTGTGTTTCAGAGCCCACGAAGGGTGCTCCTTAGGGCGCAGGGATTCGGAAAATGTGCCGCCCCTTCTGTTGTGGGGCCACCCTGTTTACCGAGCTGTACTCCTTTTCCCTTTGCCTTCGGTTTTGCTTATGCTGCCAAATCCAGCTTCTGTGTTCTTGTGTCCGTATCTCTCATGTGTCTTTTCTCAACATTTTCCTCTTAGTATTTAAGTCTTAAGCGTGGCTATATCTGTTTGGAAACTTGGATGTTTTTAAAGGATGATATAAAATTGACCCAAGAAGAGGGAAGAAAAACATAATTATTTTTTAAAGTTTAGGAAAATTACTCTCTAATAAAAGTGCCAGTGAAGTTGTGTGTTGAAGAGGTTTTCTACAGGCAACCTGAAACCCTAATTCTCTTTCACTTATCCAGGAGATGGTGGCGGGGGGGGCATTCAGATTGCTCCTGAAGCCAAGATAACTAGCAGTAATGCTCAATTCCCCCAGAAGGAAACTAAGACAAAGCTTAACACACACTGATGCTGAAATTATAAATAAAATACTAGTGAAAAGAGAGTATGCTGCTGTAACATGAGAATGTATGACGGGGGACCCAAAAGACCCAAAATTTATTTAGAGAAAACTGTATTTATTCTCACATGTTGAAATGTCAGTCACCTTCAAAGTATTCTCCATTTGATGGAGTACACCAGTCAAGACATGTTTCCTACTGCTCAAAACAGGTACTGAACTCGTCAACTTGGATGCCTTTTAGTGCTTCTGCTGGGGGCTTTTGTTTGTTTGTTTCATCTCTTCCACATCAGCAAAACATTTTCCTTAGAGGACATTGTTCATCTGGGGGAAAAAAGTAACTGCAGGTGAGATCTGATGACTGGGGAGGGTGGGGCATGGGGGTCGTTCTGTTTTTGGCCAAAAGCTGAACACGCAGCTCCCTGTGGACAGATGTGCTTGTAAATCTCCCATCACGAAGTGGGCCAAGTGTTGAAAGAGTCTTTAAAAAAAAAAAAAGTTCACTAAAGCTGAATGCAGCCTCTCACAACAACACCAGCTGGTCCACTGATGGAGATGGGTTCCTAGAACACTCACCTAGTGGGGGAAGCCTGTACTACAAGGCTTCCAGAAAGATAATTTCAGGTTTTTGGGGTCCCCTCTTGTACTATGACCAAATGTGGTTCGTTCCAGGAATACAAGAGTGTTGCTATCAATAAGACTAATATTCGTGTTACAATTCATTATATAAGTGGGTAAAGGGGAAAGTCACACAATAGATCATTTTGATAGATGATGAAAGGGCTCTGGGTTTTGTGGGGGGGGGCTTAAGATTTTATTTATTTTTAGAGAAGGAATGGAGGGAGAAAGAGAGAGAAACATCAATATGCAGTTGCTGGGGGTCATGGCCTGCAACCCAGGCATGTGCCCTGACTGGGAATCGAACCTGCGACACTTTGGTTCGCAGCCCGTGCTCAATCCACTGAGCTACACCAGCCAGGGCCAGCTCTGGTTTGTTTTTTTTTAAAGTCCGTCTATTTACAGTAAACCCAATAAAATAGGACCAAGTGCCTCCATGACAAAAGAGGCAGTAGGCACCATCGTACAGGGAAACGGTAGACACATCCCAGGTGAAGTAGGGGACCGGGGGAGGAGACGCTGCAGCTGTCACAGTCTCATGTTGGCAGGGAGCACCAGCTGGTAGGTATAATTCTGTAAGGAGATGAAGGTGGGGCAGCCGTGGCTGTGGACCTGGCCGTGGCATGGCAGCTGTCCCAGAAGCAGGGCGTCACCCTGCGCAGAAGCACCCAAACCCTGGCCCAGTGTTCCCCTGTGGCATCAGCGGCGTTTCACACCAGCGTGGCACGGATCCCTCCGAACCCTGCTCGAGCGCGGAACGGGGACTCGCCGCCTCACCTTCGTTGTCTCCCGTTGCGTGGTTTCTGGTGGAGAGTGTCCGTTCATCCTCTGTTCCCCGGTGTGTTGTGTGTCTGTCTGCTGTTCCGAGGAATTTTCTCACTGATGTTTTTAGGAATTTGATAATCGTGCGTCTCGTAATAGTTTACTTTCTGTTTCTCCTGCTGGAGGTTTATAGTAAGTCTTGGGACTGTGAGTTTACTTTCATCGGGTTTGGGAAATTATTTCTTCCGACATTGTCTCCCTCTCCCCACCTCCTGGTTTCTGGGACTCCAGTTGCGCACATTTTATTTCTGACTGCTCGGGACCGGCTTGCGGGCCGCTGCCGCTCGGCGCTCCTCTCTCTCTGTCTGCTCGTTCCATTTTGCGTGTTGTGTCCTGCTCTGTCATCACGTTCACCGGTCTTTTTCTTCGGTGATGTACACGAGTGGGCAATAGCAGGTTTAGAGTTGTGAGTGCATAAAACAGTTTGTTCTTGAGAGTCTATCATTATTTTTTCATACAAACCATTATAAACCTACTTTTGCTCACTCCTGGATACTCTGCTTTAACTCCTACCAGTATATTTTTACTTTATGTATTGTTCATATTTAGTAGCTCCATTTAAGTCTTATTTATGTATTTTATTTCTGTGCTCATTGTGTTGACTGATGTTTTCTTCTGACCTTCTTGGGCTCATGGAACCTGTTTATAGTAGCTGTGTCAGCACCTTCGCGTGTTCCGTCAGCTGTGCCGTCTCTGCGCCTGTTTCTGCTGATTGACTTTCTCCCGGTGACGACGTGGTCCGTCCCCAGAACTCCGGCTCTTTCTCTCTGCAGCGCCCTCCTCCGGTGCCCTGCCCCAGAGAGGGGGCACCGCCCGTGGCCTCCCTGGACCCCTGGCCCCGCTCCCCTCCGCTCCCCGCGACCCGCAGCCTGTGCCTGGGCCCCTTCTTTCTGCACCGGGCCGGACGCCCCCTCCCTGCGGCGGGTGGGGGCGGGTCTGCGGCTCCCGCACTCCCCGTCTCTAGGGGCGGAACCCCTGCCCGGTGCGCGGAGCCTGGCTCGCGTGTGGGCGCGTGTTCTCCGTGTTCTCCGGTGTGCCGCCTGTCCGCGGGAGGGGAGGGAGCCCGCGCTCAGGGGACGGGTCTGAACCTGAGGCCGAAGTCCTCTCCGCGGCTGAGAGTTGTGTTCTTCTGAAAATAAGAAGAGGTGAAAACCTTTTCGTGCTCCACAGCGTAATTTGCGTTTGTGTTTTGAAGACCTTTCTATTCTTTATGTTCAGCCCATTTTCCATGATCTTGTTGGTCTTCCCACTCTCTGTCTCTGTCTGTGGGAGGACTTTGAAGGGCAGGGATAGTGATCCCCTCTCTCTGACGTGGGTGTACAGTTTCCACTCGCGTTGCCGTGTGTCTGTTTAACTTGTTCTCGGTGTCTTTTGTGCGACTGCGTCATTGCTGTGGCGTGTTGTTGAATCTCTGAGTCCGTGGTCCTGGGGCACCGGGCCGGTGCTGGCAGGGAGGAGGAAGGGGACGTCGCCTGCACTGTGATTATTCGGACAGTAGCTGAGCTCAGAGGCTCTGTTTCATCCAGTGTTTGTTGTGACTGTCTGTGTTGTGCGGTGATGAGATGAAGGAGTGTTCTTCCAGGTGCCTGCGCGACTCACTGCCCAGCTCCCTGAGAACCCGCTCCACTGTTGCTTCTCTGACGACCCTGTGTAAGCCTGTGACGCGCTCACAGACCCTCCCCACTCCTGTCCCTGCCCTCTTTCTCTTTGTTTTCCTCGATGGCCATTAATCACCATCTGACATAGCCCATATTTTGCTAATTTATGTGTTATCATTAGCCTTGTCCCCAGTATGCTGGTAGCATGAAGGCGAGGATTTGGGACTTTTAATGCTGTCTGGCACATGGAAAGCACTCGATTTGTGTTGGTCAGGTGATCAGATGTGCCTTTCCCCAGGTTGCGCTGGAGCCAGGTGGAGGAGGAGTTGAAGAAGCGTGGGGCAGAGGGGTCGGCAGGTCCCTTCTCAGCGGCCGCGTGTGGGAGGCGGCAGGGTAGTGGGAGCGGCTGCAGAGAGGGTCAGAGGGGAGGCTGGCGGGGTCAGCCTCCTCGTGTGTGCTTGCGCTTGTGAAAGGGAAATGCATTGGGATGATAGTTCTAGTGTAGATACTTAGAAAGCAGAACGATACACGGTTGAAAATGAGTCTGAGTGGACAGTGTAAGTACCTAGTGGAAGTCATGCTGATTTTTCTGATTTTTTTTGTTTTTCTCTCTTTTTTAGAGCTTTGCTTCCTGTTTTACACCACAAGTCTAAAAAAGGACCCCCCCGTCAAGCCAAATATGCTATTCATTGTATCCATGCAATATTTTCCAGTAAAGAGACCCAGTTTGCACAGATATTTGAGGTAAAGAGAAAAAGATTCTTTGTTTCATATGTTATAGTTACAAAAGAGGTACTAATAATTTTACAGAATGTTCTCATTTGGAGATACATCATTTTATAGTATACAGTAAGTCCTCACTCAACTTCATTGATAGGTTCTGAGAGTTTGAGTGAAATGACATCTAACAAAAACAGTTTTACCATAAACAAGAGTTAAGTTCCTGTGGCATCTCAACAACATGACATTGTGTGAGAACCTACTGTGTTTTCATATTTGAATCATATAACTAATGCTGACTAGTGGTTAAAATATGGCAGTATCTGACTATTCACATGTTTATGCTAACTCAGATTAAGATCAAACAATTGTATAATTTTTAATATGTATATATTATGTTATGCATTATATTTGGTGTATTTGGTATTAGGAAACAATAAGTAATTACATATAAAATTATACCTATTGATAGGTAATAGATGATTGTTTTGTCATTTTTCAGGTTTGAAAATTAGATTTCTACCTAAGAGATACTAATGAAATGGGGGGTTTTGTAAGTCAATACTGATTGGTAATATAAAGCAGATAGGGTTATACTGTCACACTCAATTATAATAAACTAATGACGGACCTAATTTTATGTCATATTAAAGTATATCTTTTCAGTGTGTATTTTATGTTATTTCTTCTAACTTATAATTTTAGTTCACGAGTCTTGAGTGAAATCAAAACAGTTTGGGAATATGTCGAAGCTATCTACATAAATACTTCGACTTGTGATCTTTGTCTTATAAACATTGACTCTAACGTCGTCATATTTTTATGTATTATGTTAAAGAACTGAAGGAGGAAGAGAAGTCGTATTTTTTTTCCAGTAAAATTATCTTTAATATGAAGGTTGAACAGTTATATTTAACAAAATGATAAATTGATCAATTATTCTACTTTAACTCAATGAGCTTTATATATAGTCATTAAAATGATACTCAGAGATTTTACAGATAGATAGGAAAGAGTGATTATAAAATTGAAAGGAAAACATGAACCAATAATTGCAAATGCCGTGTAATTACAATTAGGTACACATATATGCACTAAATAGAGACAGTAGATGTCTCTAGTTGTAGATGTTGTAGAACATACAATAATATAGTATTCGTTGTAGAGTGATAGGATGATAACTCTTTATAACTTTTAAAAATTATGAGAAGTTGTATTCTTTAACAACATTATCTGTAATGTGTTTTTGTATGTGAGAAGGACTTCAGTGAATTCATGTTGATGTATGGAAAGCTTTTGTTTTTTTTTTAACCTTTTCTTTTTAATGATGGGGAGAAGAGGACAATGCTAATAATAACTGGAATTTTTAGGATACTTGTATTTTCATTTTGATAATACCTATCATTTTATTTCATTTTTACAAGAACCTAACCTGCAGTCCTCCTAAGACAGGGTTGGCTGGCTTTCTGAGAAAAGGTCTCATAGAGATATGTGATCTTTATGAGGTTGCTGTTAGTCCAGGCTCTGGCCATCACTGGTGCTTTTTCAAGACTGATTTTATTATTTTATTGTGGAAAATTGTCACACTCATTATAATAAACTAATTGAAACTAATTTACATGATCATATTTTTGTTCGTAACACGAACAACAAGCTGGAGCTCGGATGTGCGATGGAAGTATTGAGGGAAGTCGGCAAGAAGTTAACTCGTTTAAATGCACTTTTGATTAAATGGAGCTTTATATTGTCCTGATACATCGGGAGAGTGCCGCTCTGTGCTGCTTTTCAAGCTTAGGTTTCTCGGTGTTCAGTGTGGGCGGGTAGGGCGTCTATTCAATCGGTCATTAAAATTTTCAGTAATATATTTACTTGCTTCACAATCAAAAGATGCAGAACAAATATCCAAATAGTGACAGAGTGGTAAGTTTTATGCTCCTCCCAACATCTGTGTCCCCAGCTACCCTGTTCCCTGTCTCAGAGGCAGCTGATGTCACAGTGTGTAATGTCCTCTTCTGGACCGATTTCGTCGGCACACAGATAATGCAGATACAGACATGCACGGCTTGTCCCTTCCCCTTCGGCCAATGATAGCATATTATAGTCTCTCTCCTGAGTATTTGATTTTAAGAATTAAAGTACCTTTGAGATACTCTGTATGTGAGTATAGGGAGCTCCCTTCTTTTGTCATAGCAAAATAGGTATTATTGGTTGGGTTTGGTATCAGAATAATAGTTTTATTAGTTATGGTATTTAATATGTGATGCTATAAAACTTCACAAGGAATGCATGTGACTATATAATAAAAGCTTATTCCTTGCTCCTGAAAAAGTCCAGTGGGGTGTTTGGGCTTCATTCCTGCCTCAGTGGCTCTGGCACACGCAGTCTTTCTGACCAGCAGCTGCCCGGTGAGGCCCCTGGACCCGTGGCTGTCAGCCAGCCAGCGAGCGAGGAGCAAGAACGTGCATCCGTGTGGGCACGACGTACCTCGCTCTCTCTGTGTCCTGCTCACCTGAACCGACTCACCTGTCCCTGCCTGACTGCCAAGGAAGCCGCGCCTCGAGGCACCCTGTGCCCGGGAAGTCGAGCAAAGACGAGTGTTGGTGAACCCGCTCAGTCTCGAACATGGTCTCCATGCTGAGATGTTTCTTTACCTGCCTCTAACTATGACCAGAGCGAAACCAAAAATACTTTCCTGTGATAGTATTTTCTAGACTTGAAGACCTACGGAAATTTAAATGTGAGCTTGAGTTATTAATTATGCCATGTAAGTGTGTAAGAACTTCGGTAGTTTAAGTTGAAAATGGAATGTGTGAGCAGTCACTTTGCATGTTGATAGAGTTGGATACGTTTCCCTTCCCTCATTCTCAGCCTCTGCATAAGAGCCTGGACCCAAGCAACCTGGAGCACCTCATAACGCCGCTGGTCACTATCGGCCACATCGCCCTCCTCGCCCCCGACCAGTTTGCTGCTCCTCTGAAGTCCTTGGTAGCTACTTTCATCGTGAAAGACCTTCTCATGAATGATCGGGTAATTTGCATTTTCTGTACTCGTGTCCTTCCGAGTGTTGTCTCCAGTACAACGGAGACATGAAATGACACAAATAGCACTTCCATTTGGCTGCCTTGTTTTAGGCTTTCCTGTCTTTTCAGCAGGCTGTCTCTCCATCGTGAGTGGAACAACATCGACACTTCTCCTTAGCTCATGCCTTCCTTGATAAGCACTAAATACCCCCGATTCTGTCCTCATCGGCCGCGCAGGGTTTAACTTTTGTGATGACGCCTCCTTTCCGGCGTGAAGCCCACAGGCGTGCTCACTGTGTGGCTGTTGGGACAGGAGCGGCCCCTTGCCCACACACGGCAGAGAACCGCCCCTGAGAGCCCCAGGAGGGGACCCCCGGGAAGAGTGAGGGGTTTTGTCCGTCTTCGGGGTGTGAGTGCAGTCGTCCCCCTCGTCCACAGCTGCGCCTCTGTGCTCCCCGTTGCCCACACTCGATGGCGTTCTGAGAACGTTGAATGGAACATTCCAGAAATAAGCAGTTCCCCAGTTTTAAGTAGCGCGGCATTCTTGGCAGTGGGAGGAGATACGGTGTGGTCCTTCTCTGCTCTGCCTGGGACGGTGTCCCCGCTCTGTCAGGTGTCTCCGTGCTGCACGTGCAGTTTCGTGGGGTCCTCGGGAAGATGGAGACAGTGACCATAGTCACACAACTTCTATTGTGGTATGTTATTACTCTTGTTCTGTGTTTATTGGTGATTAACATCTCACTGTGCTGTATGTGAAACTTTATCGTAGGTATGTACATACAGGAAAAAGAGTCCACACACAGGCAAAAGTAGGTTTACAGTTGTGGTTCCCTGAAACGGAGTTTATTCCTGTTTATTAATTACTGTATTTTCCTTATGAACAACTGTAAACCTGCTTTTGCCCCACTCTCTCTGCTAGCCACTGGAAGACACATACAGCTATTGAAATTTTAGGTTTAAATTGAATGTAATTACACATCTATTTACACATTTCAGGTGCTCAGTAGCGCCTGCTACTGGTAGGGGACAGCGCAGGACTGCCCGCCGTCTCGGTTCCGCTGGGCAGTGCTGCGCGAAAGGCTTCATCGTTCTACCTTTCCCACTTTACGGTCTGCTTGGGGCCGACTTGTATGCTATGATAGAGACGTCCTGAGTCATTTTTATTTCCATCTGACGCGGCACCATTTACTGAAGACTTTCTTCCCTGGTGCTTAAAAAAAAGACATGAGATTCAAATATTAACATCAAATGAACTATTGTAAAGGGTACGGTTCAGGTGGCATTTACTGCGTTTACAGCGTTGTACAACCACCGTCTCTGCCTAGCTCCAGACCGTTTTCATGACGTGGTCACCCCCCGGATACTTCCCCGCCCCTGACGGACACCGGTCTCCTGTCTGTCTCAGTGGGTTTGCCTGTCTGGACTCTTTCCTGTAGACGAAATCACGCAGTGTGTGGCCTCTTGTGCCCGGTGTCCTTCACGTGGTGTGTTTTTGAGGTCCGTCTCACCGCAGCACGTGTGAGTGGTGCATTTCACTGGGTGGCCGAGGGGCGTTCTGTTGTGTGTGTTTTCCACAGTTCGTGTGTGTGTGTGTGTGTGTGTGTGTGTGTCCATTCGTCGTCGGGCACTTGGGCGGTGTCTGCCTTTTGAATCCACAGTTCACTGTTGTGCACAGTGCTGCTGCGAGGGCTGTGTCTGCCTGTCTGTCCGTCTGTTTTCAGTTCTCTGGGGTGTGTTCTTAGGAGTAGATGCGCTGATTATATGACAGTTTAACTTTTGAGGGACTGCCAAACTGTTTTTCCCAGTGACGGCATCATGTTATCTTCCCACCAGCAACGTATGCAAGTTCCAGTTTCATTCCACCCTTGCCAGCTTGCTGTTTTTTGTTAATTCAGTTGTAGCCATCCTTGTGAATGGGAAGTGGTATCTCATTGTGCTTTTGATGGCGTTCTCTGATGACTGATGGAGTTGGGCAAGTAATGTTTGTATTACCTCTTTCTACACCTTTTTTGAAGCAATGACTGTTCAAGTACCTTCTTCAATGTTTTGTTTGTTTGTTGTTTTGTCGAGTTGTAGTAGTTACATATATATTCTAGATAAAAGTCTCTTGTCAGATACATGATTTGCAAATATTTTCTCTCATTCTGTAGATTGTCTTTTCCCTTTTTTAAAAGTCCTTTAATTTTTTAATTCATATAATTGACATACATCATTATGCAAGTATTAGGTGTACAACATAATGTTTCAATACTTGTATGTATTGTGAAGTGATCAGTTAATACACCACACATAGATATACATTTCTTTTTCTGTGATGAGAACTTAGGAAATTACTCTGTTAGAAGTTTTCAAGTGTACAGTACACCATTATTAACTATATTCACTATGCTGTACATTACATCCAACGACTGACTTACGTTATAACCGGAAAGTCGTGTCTCCTCGCCCCTTCACTCATACCTCCCCTCCTGCTCTGGGAACTGCCAGTCTCTTCTCTGTGTCTGGGAGTTAGGGTTTTGTTGTTTTTGTTTGGGTTTTGCTTTGGTTTCTGGTTGGTTTTTGTTTTTTAGATTCTACATGTAAGAGAGATCGTATGTTTAAAATGAAGAAAGGAAACACCCACTAGAGGTTTCTTTTGTTTTGGGTTTTTTTGTTTCTTTTGTTTTGTTTTTCAGCACAATCACAGAATAATCCTGAAATGAAAAACTGCAGCTACTGAGAGAGGGGAATGCACAGTGGCAGCCAGGAAATTAAATGAAGCTGACAAAAAGGCTGAACCCAATCTTGAAAGCCTGGGGGCCCCATTTTTACTCACGGCTGGTAATTTGTGGTTTTCAGAAACAGCTTAGGAAACAAAAATTAAATACCAGCTCAGGTAACCCTTTGATAATAGGATAGATATCCCTAAAATCCAGCAGGCAGACTTCCCAAACACATATTGCTGAAAATTTAAATAGAGCCTAAAAAGCAGTTCTTTAATTGAGAAGTGCCCTCAAAGTATAAAGTGGAAATAATGAGGGAGAAATCACAACAGAAACATTCCGCTAAAATTTCTGAACTAAGTATGTGAGAAAGATCCCCAAAGTTTCCATGGGGCAACCTACCAGAAAAGAAGTAGGAATCAGATTAACCTCAGACTTCTCAGCTACAAATCTAGTTTCCAAAAAACAGTGTTATAATTTTCTGCTACCAAGTGGCTTGAAACTGAGGATTCTAAGTAATTTAAGAATGAGGGGGAAAATACTTTCAGAAATCCAAGACCACGTTTCCAAATTACAGGGCGTTTTGAAAGAATTAGTCAAAAATACATTCTACTAAAATATATACTTTACCAAAAATAGTTCAGTCTGCATGGAAAAATGTATAGAAAATACATGTACAAATATGAGGAATGTATACAGATAAAATATTAGAGGATTAGAAAATAATCAAAATTGGCATGCTTCATACATTTGATTAAAAATAAAGAGTTTAGTTCAGTAAGGACTTCTGGCTAAGATGGAGGCATAGGTAGACACACTGTGCCTCCTCGCACAACCAAGATAGAGACAAAAACATTTTAGAAAAAGAATAACAACCAGAACTGACAGAAAATTGATCTGAATGGAAGTTGGACAACCGAGAAGTTGAAATAGATCCGCTTATCCAGACCGGTACGAGGGGCGGAGTTGGGCAGCCGCCCGGGTGGGGGGTGGAGAGCAGAGAGCGTTGGGACCAGGTGCGTAAGGCACCTGGGGCATGCAAGACCGCGGCGGGTGGACCGTGGGCACCCAAGCAGCAGCGGGCAGACCCCGGCCAAGGGTGGCCAACAGCAGGCCCAGCGAGGCAGCGATTGTGAGGCAAGGCCCTGCGTGCAACCCAGGGTCCCTGCGCTGGGAAACAGAGCCTGGGACGCTGATGGAAAACCCCTGTGGGGGTGGAGAGAGAGACTCCTGGCCTCACAGGAGAGGTCCTTGGAGGGTCCCTCGGGGTGCACAAGCCCACCCACACGGGGGTTGGCACCAGAGAGGCCCAGTTTGCTCGGGGGAATTGGCGGAAGGGACTGAGGTTCCACAGAGAGCGGAGCAAGGGACCATTGTTCGCTCACAGACCCCGCCCTCACATACAGCGTCACAACCCAGCGACTGGGGTGCCCGGCCCTGGTGAACGCCTAAGGCTCCGCCCCTCGTTCCTTACAGGCTCCACCAGACCAAAGTGGGGACGGGTGGGGGTGGACGACGGAGATGGCTCAAACAGAATTGGAAGCCCCGCAACCAGTTTTTTAAGCGACTGAGAGATAGCCAACCTATCAGATGCACAGTTCAAAGCACTGGTGATCAGGATGCTCACAGAATTGGTTGATTTTGGTCGCAAATTAGATGAACAAGTGAAAGCTACAATAAGTGAAATGAAGAAAAATGCACAGGGAACCAATAGTGATGGAGTGAAAGCTCGGTCTCACACCAATGGAGTGGACCAGAAGGAAGGAAAAAACATACAACTGGAAAAGAATGAAGAACTAAGAATCCAAAAACACGAGGAGAGGCTTAGGAGCCTCCAGGACATCTTTAAATGATCCAACATCCGAATTATAGGGGTATCAGAAGGAGAAGAGGAAGAGCAACCAGTGGAAAACTTATTTGAACAAATAATAAAGGAGAACTTCCCCAATCTGGCAAAGGAAACAGACTTCCAGGAAGTCCAGGAGGCTCAGAGAGTCCCAAAGAACTTGGACCCAAGAAGAAGCACACCAAGACACATCATAATTACATTAGCCAAGGTAAAAATGAAGGAGAGAATCCTAGAAGCAGCAAGAGATAAGGAGACCGTAACCTACAAAGGAGTACCCATCAGACTGTCAGCTGATTTTCAGAAGAGACCTTGCAGGTAAGAAGGGGCTGGAAAGAAATATTCCAAGTCATGAAAGGCAAAGACCTATATCCAAGATGACTCTATCCAGCAAAGGTTTCATTTAGCATGGAAGGGCAGATAAAGTGCTTTTCAGAAGGTCAAGTTAAAGGAGTTCATCATCACCAAGCCCTTATTTTATGAAATGTTAAAGGGACTTATCTAAGAAAAAAGATAAAAAAAACATGTACAGTAAAAGGACAGCAAACTCACAATTATTAATAACCACAGCTAAAACAAAAACCAAAAGCAAACTAAGCCAACAACTAGAACAGGAACAGAACCACAGAAATGGAGATCACATGGAGGGTTAGTAACGGGAGTGGGAGGAGGAGAGAGGGGAAAAGGTACGGAGAATAAGTAGCATAGATGGTAGGTAGAAAATAGGAGGAGGGCAAGAATGGTATGGGAAATGTAGACGCTAAGAACTTATGACACATGGACATGAACTAAAGGGCGGGGGATGTGGGTGGGAGGGGGTGTGCAGGGTGGAGGGGAATGAAAGGGGGAAATGGGACAACTGTAACAGCATAATCAATAAAATATATTTAAAAAATAAAGAGTTTAGCAAGAAAGACGGTATAAGATCAAATCTATAAAATAGTTCCCCAAATTAACCACAAACATAAAACCCACTTTTAACAACCAAAGTACTGAACAAGTTGTATAAGAGAAAATTTAAAATTTTCTTTACAGAGAAGATTAAACACTTGCGTGAAAGGCATCTTGTGGGTAAGCCGACAGAGCCGTGGGGAGGAAGAGAGGCGATACATGGCATGAGCGGCGGCCGGGAGGAGGAGGAGGAGGAGGGTGGACTCGGGAAACCGGGCTGTCTTGCTGGGGAGGAAAGGGATGAGGGAGCCTTGAGTCTCAGCAAACAGAGAAAACCAGTCAGTTCCAGGTGGGCTAAGTGTTCAACGTGTGAAAAAATCCTTAAAACTTTTAGAAGAACATATGGGAGATGATTTTTATGACATTAAAGTAGGAACGGATTTTTTAAATAAGACATAAAAACCATGAAGTACAAAAGAGTGATCAATTTAGCTACATTAAAATTAATAGCTTTTTTCAAAGGACACCGTAAAGGGAGGGGAAGACACACCAGAAATTAGATTTTATGTATTTTATTAAGATACTAAAACATGTACCTGAAAACAGTAATGTGTATAAAGATTAACTCTGAAAAAATGAACGCAGGGGAGAAGAGGTGCAAGACATTAGAAGGGAATTTGGAAAGGAGGTATCAAGAATGGTGGTGACTACATGTGTAAACTTCATTGGTAGCCGGGGAAATGCAAAATAAAACTGTAGTGAGACACTTCTATATTAATCAGACGGGAAAATTTGAGAAATCTGGCAAGAATTGGTGCTACACACTGCTGATAGGAAAATAAGTTTTAGCCATTTTGAGAAATAATTTAACAAATTAAAAGTTAAATACATGTTCACACTGTGATTTGTCAGTTTCACTCATGAATATAACAAATTCCTGCTAATATGTATCAGGATGCCTCTTTTAGAACATGTATTGAGTTATTTTGCACAATGATAATACAGAGTAATAATGAATGAACTACATTCATTAGTTTATTAGCTAGATTTAATAACAGATTATTGTAATAAAGTGTCGTCGAAGTGTATATGTGGTGTAATACAACTTTTATAAAGCTCAGGAACTAGCAAAACTAGTACTGTTTAGGGAGAGATATATATGGGAAGTGGGGTTCTGTCTTAGTTGGGGAATAATAAACCCAAAATTCAACATGGGTTGGTAACCTGAGGCGGGAAAGAAATAGGAAGGAAGGTTTGGCGAGTGACAAAACCAGGAGCTAACAGTTCATGGGCGTTCATTCTGTTACTGTAAAACAAAGGGCACAGATGTCACATACACAGAGCGCTGGGCACAAGTAGCTGTACAGCTGTGGGTATGCGAAAGCTTGCTCTTGCACTTTTGTTGTGTTACTTATTTGTATTACAACTGTACTTTCGCCCACCCCTTGTGTTCCTTTGTACTTGTTGAACAGAACGTAAGATAAGACAAACCAGTGGATTGGAAGAGGTGGGAGTGAGCTCTGTTCCTGACGAGAGCCGGCCAGGCTGTGCTGAGCCGGTGCTGCCGCCGGGACAGACTGGACACAGCCGGACACGCTGGTTTTAGAAGGCAGTGCGAGCGCAGCCGAGAGCCGCCGAGCAGTGGGAGTTGGCAGGGCGGGGGTTGCCAAGAGGAGGGAGATGGGGCTTGAGGCCGGTGCTGTGGTGGTCTTTTGGAGACGCGGGGTGGTCGACTCGGAGCCTGAAGGAGGCGCTCGTCGCTGTGGCAGCGGGAAGGGGAAGATGGGACCGGGAGCCCGGTGAAGAGCAGAGCCCTGGCCACCAGCCCGAACCTCGGGTGGGTCGCGTGTGCGGGCGAGCCTTCTGGACCTCTGCGCTGTCCGTCCTGCTGCTGGAGCGTCTGGGGGGCGGGGGAGGGGGGCTACTTGATCCCTGTTTTGGAGGCTGCCTCTGGAAATGGTCTGTGTGACTGGGGGGTGAAAAGGGGACCCCCAGGCTGCCAAGGCTGGGTTCAGCCTTTTTGTCACCCTAATTTAATTTCCTGGCTACACTGTAAACTCGTATCTTTCATTAGCTGCAGTTTATCACTTCAGGGTTCTTCTGTGATTGTGCTGATTAAAAAAAAACCTTTTGGCAGGTGTGTTTCCTTTTCGCACTCGTATGGAGATGTGAGCCCTCTAGTTCCGTCAGTGTTCTGCTGTGTGTCTTGAGGCTTTGCGGATTTCCCCGGGGTCTGGTTCTGTTGGGCCCCTTTCGTTTTCTGGCCCTGTGACTGTGTGGGTGTGTGGCCATTCTGGTGGGGTTAGTGACCAAGTATTAATGCATGTTTTCTGTTCTCTTCAACTGCACACCTTTTACTTTTCCCCTGCTTAAGGTTTGTGTGAATACCTTTGCCTTTGTTTAAGAAGCACACTTTCTGGCTTCATTAACTTTTATCCTTGACCTTGCCTGCCACCTTCAATAATTGAGTCAGTCTCAAAACGGATATTACGGGAGTGTACGTAGGCCGGGCCAACCTCCGCCCTAGGAAGACCCCCTGGGTGAGGATAAGGACTGAACATTGGCGGTGGGGGACACACCTCTTGGCCTTCTTGAGTGACAGGGGTTCAGGAGGTTTTTTCTTATTTGTAGTAACTGTCACTTCGGAAGATACAGTTTCATTCATTCACTGAAAACTAAACCTGAGCATTTATGTTCACATTTTAAAGGTCTTAATTTTGTTTAGCTTCCAGGAAAGAAGACAACTAAGCTTTGGGTTCCAGATGAAGAAGTTTCTCCTGAGACAATGGTTAAGGTGAGTAATAGGCATGGGTTTATTGATTTCAGGATATTTGATGTGTCCTTAATGTAGGTGTTAGCATTTCTGTTCCTGTTATAGGGGTGGCTGTTACGTCATTCACGCATTTATGTTCGTTCTGCGGCATTGGCCCGGGCCCTGGGCAATGTGAGACGGCAGTGAGAAGCCCTGGGCCTGGGGGCAGCCGCCCGAGATCTGATCTGTGAGACGGGAGTGTGAGAACCGCTCCCCGCTGCCGCTGCTGCTTAGATACCCCCTTTGAGGGGCAGAAGGCAGCGGTGGTGTCCTCAGGTGTGTTCTCCTGCTCAGTAAAGGTGACTGTGCAGGTTTGAAGACTATTTATTTTTCCCACAGGATTTGATAAAACTTAGTGTTTTGACTTTTTTCAAAAATTCAGCCTGGCTCCTTGACTGAGGAGTTCATCATAAAAGACCACTGGTCACCAGTGTGGAGAGGGTTGGTTTACTGAAACCACTGACCGTCTGTCATTTCAGACTCACCTCCGTCCACTGCCCAGAGTGTGCAGGCGGGGAACGGGTGTGCACCGTCGTCTTTGTAGTCCTAATTTCTTCTAGGTAGTGCAAGGGGTATATTTCACGTTATTTGAACAGCCTTACCGCGTTATTTTGGCTTCAGGTCCATTGTGTACGTGGACACTGTTTGTGAAGGCCTGTACAGCAGTTCTTCCTTTAACACTAAGTGGTGCCTGACCCTTGCGGTTCCAGTGCAGACCTGTGTTCTCAGCTCTGCTCGGAAGCAGCAGTTCGGTCCAGGCAGGCCGCACTGGCTGGAGGGCAGGCCCCTGCACACAAGTCGGTTCCGACCAGATGGCCCCAGAGAGGGATGTTCAGGGCATCTGACACGCGGCCGCTGGCCAAGACCCACTGAGCCCTGCGCCTTGGAGCTGCGGAAGGCTGAGCTAGCACGGGAAGAGAAGGGCACAGCGGTGCTCAGGCTCTCGGTCGCTGCAGCCTGCAGTGCGAAGGGGCGGGGTGCCGTGTTTCGGACACACAGGGCCGAGTGCGGTTCGCAGTTCGCAGGCTGGCTCGTCTGCCCAGGGCGGCTAGCAGGGTTTCACAGGGTCTCTGAAGGGCAGAGCGGGGGTCGGGGGGAGTGTTTTACAGAAGTAGGAAGAGCAGTCTTTCATTAAGTTATTTGTCACTGACCTGGGGGGTGAGGTGTGTTCAATGGAAAACATTCAAAGTTACCTTTCTACATGCAAAAAATAGTAAGTTTTTCCTTTCCTCCTTTTTTAAAGGCATCCATTAAAAATTCCTTTTTCATTTTTTTAAGCTTGATACAGAATTTCTTTGAATAGTAGCAATGTTTCATTTGTCTTTGTCTGTTGAATAGATTCAGGCTATTAAAATGATGGTTCGGTGGCTGCTGGGCATGAAGAACAATCACAGTAAATCGGGAACCTCCACCTTGCGGCTGCTGACGACCATCCTGCACAGCGACGGGGACCTGACGGAGCAGGGCAGGATCAGGTGCGGCCGGGGGCGCGGCGGCTGCTGCGGGGCTCGGCCTCCCGGCCCCACGGCGGGCGGCGGCCGGAGCGCTCCTCTTCAGCAAACGCTGGTCTTGCTCTGCGGGGATTCGTGCGCTTATGTCTCCCAGAGCGCTCTGTGCGGTGGTGCCTGCGTCCCCGGGGCTGCTGCACGCTGTGATGATTCTGAACAGTGCCTGGCTGCTGTCTTAGTGTCTAATGCGAAGAAGTCAGTGTGCGAATGAGCAACTGATGTTTTATTTTCTTGTGCGTTGATGTCTAAAGGATAAAACCAAACTGCACAGAAAACAACTTACTGAATCTGCTTCCAGAAGCGTAAATACTCACAAGACTTTTAAATGCACTTGATGTAAATCATTTAAAATATATCCGTTTTGTTTGTTCTGATTTGTTTAAAAGGTGGAGTATAGCATAGAGGTTGGAAACACAGCCTCTGGAGCCCGGGCTCAAGTTCCGCATCCTCCCTAGCACGGGGACCTTGACCGAGTCACTGTCCCCAGGCTGTCCCACGGGGTCCTCGCAGGCAGTGATTGTGATGAAGTAACAGTCACTTGTGCGTCTGAGGTGCCTGTGGCGCTGCCCAGCACGCAGGAGTTGGAAGTGCTGGTGGTGGCAGTGGTCCCTGCGGCAAGGGTAGCTCAGATTTAGACAGTCGTGTCCGGGAAACACAGGTGTCACTGATTGACTCTCTTTGGTAATGAACATGAGAGAATAGCCTTTCCCCTCATGATATATCTAGCTGAAAGACTTCCGTGACAGAGGATAAACACGCGACAGCCAGCCACTTTCTCTCTTTCCGTCTTCGTTGTCAGCCTCCTTAGGTTCTGCTCATGCTGCCCTTTTTGCATAGACTGTTCAGAGTAGCACGTTTTATCAAGCAAAGCAAATAAAAACAAAACTTGGTCAGGCATTCCACATGTACAACTCACTTATGTAGCCTCTTTCTGTCTAATTAGTTGTCTTCACCTCCCTACTCTTATAATTTATATATGCCTGTGTTCAGGATCTACCTAATAGGAAAATTTCCCTTAGAATTAATCCATTTTTGTCTCTTAAATGGGTTACATTGTTCATGTGCACATTTGGATCTGATCTCATGTGTTTGTATTCGTGGTATTCTTTAACAAAGTCACATGTGTTCTCAGATTCTGCAGCTGTATGTGAATTACATTGGTTGCACCATACCTGGTCTTCAAAACCGTAGTTGTAAAACAGTTATAGTTAGCTACTGCTCTTTATGCGAAATAAAACCCAAAGAGAAAAAGGCTTCCCTCCAGCAGTGGCGGAGTGGCTTACCGCGGAACAGCTCACGGGCTGTTGCTGGATGAGCTGAAAGTGCCCCTGGGGCGTGGAAGTTCAGAACGTCATTTGTCTTAGAAGTTCCTTTTGTAAAATAATGGTTTGTTTTTCTATCACAGCTGATACACAATACTATACTAGTTTCGGGTATACAAGTCAGTGATCAGACCTCTATATAACTTGGGAGGTTTTATTTTCGGGGAGGACTGGAGGCAGCCACCAACCACCAGGGACGACCAGCTGTGCCGGGGCCGACCCCGCAGAGCAGACTGGCTTCAGCAGGGCTCCGATGCCACCGCGTCTGCCCTGGGCGTGCCGCTCCTCTAGGTGGTTGAGGGGCCTTTGGCTTGGTCTGAAGCTGTCCTCGGGGATTGCTGACTCTGGGACTTGCAAGCAGAAGTCAGCTACTGCCTGTGCTCTGTCCCGGGCCAGGGGCTGTGGAGCGACCTGCAGAGGGCTGCTCCTTGTGCTGGGCCTGGAGGGGCCCAGGAGAGGCCACGGTGCAAATTAAGACCAGTTGCCTGGGGCCACTTACCAAGAATCACAGGGCCTGCCGAGGCCAGATGCTGCTTGTTTGAGAGATTTTAGGAAAACAGGCAGCATGGGCTAAGACAGGCCGTTTGTACGGAAAAGCCGCTGGAAATGGCTTGGGTGGGCCCGCACGGTGGGTGGGGCAGAGTCTCAGGGAATCACTGCGCCAAACGGCGTGAGCCACATTGAGGGAGACTGAGATGCGGCGCTGCCCGCTGGCTGGGGGAGCTGGGGGCTCAGCAGAGGCACATAGACCTCTGCTGGCTCCTCCTTCTGGGAGAAAGCAGTCCCTCTGGCCCTTGCCCATGCACCAGACAATTCCTTTCCTCTCCGTGTGTTCCTGGCACCCTCCAATCTGCTGCCCTGGTGCCGGAGCCCACGGCGAGTGACTCTGAGTTCGGCCTTGCTCCGGCCCTCCGAGCTGAACGGCTTGGGCTCCGGAGTCCTTCATCTCGCTCAGCCACCGTCCCCTGCTGGTTTTCCCAGGCAGGCAAGACTGGGACGTCCCTTCCCAGCATTGAAACCCTGGGCTGGGGAGCCTGGTGTGGGCTGGGATGCCTCACTCCTGGGCGGGTCGGGGGGTGCTGTGCAGCTGGGCTCGCCCTCCTGATTTTCAGCCGCCACACGGGGGTGTGGGGCCAGCCTGTTCCACATCTCCCCCCTCCTGTCTGTCATGTGGCTCGCTCTTTATGTTCTTAGTCAGGGGACATCTGTTCGGCTAGATTTCAGGCGGTTCTCAACGGTGGTGGGTCTGTAGTTGAGTTGGAGTTTCGACCTGGTTGTGGGAGGAAGCTAGAACCTCCTCTGCCTGCTCCGCCATCTTTACTGGAAGCCTCAGAACCTCACTAATGTTGTCTTTCATTCAGTCGATATTTGTGCATTATCTTAGAGAAACAGAAGAAGGGTCTTAAACCAGCTATATCGTTACATTTTGGAGGATTAAGTTATAACTTTCCCTTCTCAGATTAGTCCAAGATCTCTACTTCATCTAGCATATCTCACTGTGTTAGGAAGGGGTTGTTTAGGTGTATTTACTAGTCAAGAATTTACTGCTCTTTGAAATGTGTCCCATTCAGAAGAAGTATTTTTTTCTTAAACTTAAAAGGAGCCTCTTTGTAATGTTTGAAAAGTTGAATTCTATTTAAAAATTGTAAATGTTTTATCCACTACCCTTGCTTTCATTCTGCTTCTTTTGTACTTAGCACGGTAGTTGTAGTTGGCTGATGAGCATGTTAGGGCATTTTTATGCCTAATTTGCAAGTAAACATGTATCCAAAATAATCCATATGGAATGCTAAACATCTAACAAACAACTAAACATACAAATACATTTTTTTCTAGGCTTGGCTACAACCTGGTTTGCTGAGATGAGAGAATTAAATGACTTCAGCATACACCAATACTTTTCAGCTTTTTTCATCTCATGACATGCATAAACTAGTTACTAAAATTCTGTGACAACCAAAAAAATATATTTTTTGCCAGTGTGACCACAAAAGTAGGCAAATTTTGATTCCTTCACACTGGACAGCTGTTGTTGGGTTGGCTGTTCTCGTTTTTTATTTGACAATCGAAGGGAAAAGAGGCCCATGCCCCTGGCTAAATACTCAGGGACTGCATGCTTGAAGGTCGCTAGCACAGACTTTAAGTTCAAGAGAAGTATTTCGTAGTATTGGATACCATCTTAAATATAATACAGTGTTCAGTATCACCAAACTGTTCACTACCTTTCTTTTGGTCAAATGCAGTCTACGAAGCAGGAGTGTTCTTGTGCACACGGTTAGAATCTGACTGACATTCCTTCTTGTGTGTGTTGCAGCAAACCAGACATGTCCCGCCTGAGGCTGGCTGCGGGGAGCGCCATTGTGAAGCTGGCCCAGGAGCCCTGTTACCACGAGATCATCACGCTGGAGCAGTACCAGCTCTGCGCGCTGGCCATCAACGTAAGGAGACTGGCTGTGGAGCACAGGGGTGGCTTCAGGTGGTCTTTGGCTTAAAAAGTCCACTGTGCTACACAGATAAAAAATCCTGAGTGTTTATGTTTCCTTTGAAAAACTAATGCATGAGAAACGTTTCAGAGTTCTAAAACGATAATTTGAGTTTGAGGTTGCTAACGTAGTACAGTCGATTCTTGCTATTTGCGCTGGTTCCAAAAAGTCATCCCAAGCACTGAACTCAGAACCGCGAGCCACTGCTCGTGGGGGAGGCACAGGGCGGTCCTGTGCGCCTGCAGCCACAGCCCTGTTCCCAGCCAGCCGGTGCGCGGCCTCCGTTTGCGTGGGTCTGTTGGAAGCCGCCTTGTTGTGCGGCCGTGCATTCGCTCGAGCTGGCGGCCCACGGCGCCGTCGCGCAGGCCCGAAGGAGGCCGTCGGACGCACGCGTTGCCCCGCGAGGCACAGCCCGGCCTCCTTGCCGTCAGGAAGAGGAATCAGAGTTTCAGCGCTGTGCTTGGGAGCTAGTTTAAACAACAGTCACCAGAAAAAGGGCAAAAATAAAAACGTGGCACTGAGTAGACCACCAGAGGACACGTGTTTGTGGGAGCCGACACGAGGAGGTGGAGCGAGGCCTGGTTCGGCCGCCGCTGAAGGTGTGTAGGCAGCTCCCCTTTTCGCTGCTCAGCGCGTTGCCTGGGAAGAGCATGGTGGTGTTGCTTTGGGTCCCAGATAGATTCGGTGGGGGTTGAGCTCACAGATGCAGCACGTGTGAGTCATGAGGCTTGACTGTACTTCATTTTTAAAAGGAAGAAAAAATGCAGGAATTTACAGTTTTATAAGGACATGGTCTAGGTTAATTTCAGGTCCTAAGCATTCTGTATTAGTCAGTTAAAATTTCTAGTTATTAAAAGTGATGTTAATGGATTTATGAGGTGGGGCCCCCAAAAAAGGGGTTACGTTCTGGAGGGCAGGCCCCTTGTCATACAGGCTTTCCCCACCTGTTGAGTGTCCTAGGACCCCGTGTGTATCAGCGGTATCGTTGCCAGAGGCTGCGTTCTGCTTCAGTGAATGTTTTTGAAGACTTTCCCTGCATTTGCCCGTTTCGCAATGGGTGATTAACAGCACACCTACCCACAGAATGCTGAGTGTTCAGCAGTTTTTGACCAAAAAAAAAAAAAAAACAAAAACCCAGCGTGACCCCCCTGCCCCACCCTCCCTATTCACCAGAGATCTTACCCCCAGCAACTTTTTTTGTTTCCCCAAATGAAAAAAGTTCTCAAAGGGAAAGGTTTTCCTTGAGGAAGGGGTGAAACAAAAAACAGCAGAAGCACTAAAAAGCATCCAAATTGATCAGTTTAAAACTGTTCTGAGCAGTGGGGAAAAACATCTCGGTAGGTGCACTGCTGCAAGGTGCCTGAGGTTTCAGTGTGTTAGAATGAATACATGGTTCTTTATAAATAAATTCCAGGGATGTTTCGGGTTCCCCCTCATATAGTCTAGTCTTACGGATTCCATATTGTAGTAACATAATGTTTGAATGGTAATATATCACTTGAGAAGTTTTTGGTGCCATTTGAGAAAGTTAAAGGACTTCCGTAACAGTAGAACTGGTATTCCAATACTAGTTTTTCATCCATAATTTAGTTATTTTACACTTAGTTTTGCTGTTCTTTTTCAAACAGTCTTATCTATAAGAATTTGGCGTTTACTTCAGGAATTACTGTAATTATTTTCCACTTCCCCTTTTTCTATTGCTTATTTTTAAATTGCAGCTTATGTTTTAATTATAATCGTTTCCTCAGTGTCTGGTGCTTTAGTCTGTGGGTTATTGCAGATCCTTTATAATTTGTTTTAGCTTTGGTGTCATTACTCAGGTATCAGACTAAACCAATGAGATTTTGAGAATCCCTTAATTTTCTGATTTAGTCTTCCCCATTTAATTTTGGAGATTATCTTGTTTTTCAAGAAAGTGAAAATTCTTTAAAAATATATATTAAATTTCCTAGGAGAAACAAATCTATGTAACTGTTTTTTTTAAATTGGTAGTACTTGTAATTTGTTGATTTATCAGGTTCTTGGTCTTAAATTTCAGTATCGAAGTAGAAATAAATTTAAAAACCAAGAAATTATGGGGACGTGTTAAAAGAGGGGCTATTCCGAGTGTAACAAGTATTGCAAACCATGTCAAATGTCCACCGCGTGAGAAAATCCTTCGTTCATGTTAGCTCCCAGAGACTTCCTTCCCGGCACAGTCTGGGATGCACAGCACTGCCTCGTCACGGGTTCCGGCAGGGCGGTTCTGACTACCCCGGCTACACGTTTGCTCTGGGATTCTGTTGACTGGGGAGCATGTGTTAAGGGTCAGATTTCATTATTAGTACATAGTAACAATTCACAAACGTAGGAGGTTACCTTACCTTCTTCTAAACTAAACTTTTTCCTAACCCTCGGAACCACATGCCCCTCTTCCTTTTGAACTTGCAGACCTCAGACAAAGAGGAACCCTTGTCCCTCTTACCTCTCATCACTGCTCATCTGCCTTCAGTGTTTTCCAGATGCCGCACTAGCCCCAAAGCCGGTGACGTCGGTCTTCACTGTGCATGTCCTTCCTGCATCATTGCACACAGCTCGGCTCTTCCTTCTTGAGTCTCCCTTCGGCTTCCATCTCCTGGTTCTTGTTGCGCCGGATTTCCTTACAGGCGACTGGGAACCTCCTTTTGCCACCCCCCCACCCCCCACTCCCCACTCTCCTTGGGCCGTCTCAGTTTCTAGGTCCAAGATTCCTGCACTGCCACTTCCACTGCCAAAGAGAATGTTCAGACTCCATGTTCTGTGAATGTAGGACTGAGTTCGTGCTTCACCCAAACCTGTTCTTTCCTGACATGCAGAGTCTCGACAAACCTTCAATAAATCTGAATGGCTTTTCTTAGACCTACAAGCATGATTTGTATTTGACTGTTCGCTAGTCTTTGTATCTCATAGTGAAAGTACAGCTAATTCTGTCCTGATCTCTACTGTATCTTATTTATTCATACTTCTTAACCATTCTCATTGCTGTAACCATCATTAGCTCTCACCTAGATTATTGTGAGACTCTTACTGGCTAACTTCTCTGTCATGGTTTTTGATCATGATATTCCCCATTCACAAATATTTGGGGCCTTATATTCATAAAAAAACTGCATGTATTGTACAAGCTGCCATTCAAGTTCTTCTCATATTTGGACTCAAATACACATTTAAAAACCTCGTTCCGCACACATTACCCTTCACCTGCCCTCATTTCAGTGAGGTGGAACATTTCTTTAACGTGCCTATAATTTGCTGCCTCTGGTTTCCTTCTCACCCGCTATTTCTACACATGCACGTCACCCTTGCTTCCTGCTAGTCAAGAGTCAGACAGTCTCCTCCACGAAGCGCTTCTCGCACTCACAGCTGCACTCCTGACCCTGGTGGTGTGACCTGCTGTCCCAGTCCTGCGAGTCCGTTGCCACAGGCACCTGTGGCTTGTTGCTCTTGCTTGCCTTGACCTTGCTTCGAGCTCCTTCGAGGCAGTCTTTTATTCTGTTAACTTCTAGAGACTTCCACCTAGCTCTCATATAGGCCCTCGTTATGTACTTGAATAGAAATAAATCTGGAGGAGGAGAAGTCAGTAATAAGAATCTTACCGTTTAATAATTACTAAGCTAGTTTAGAATTTGGATGCTGCTGAGAAAAACCTACGTGCTGCTCTGTGCTGCATGTTGTTGTAGGCGCCGTAAATACAAAAGTGAGTCGGTCGCGACTGCGGCCCTCCGGAACAGAGCCTCCTAGGAACACGGGGAGTGCGCCGTGTTCACAGCACGGGGCAGTGCACGGAGCGGCTGAGCCGCTCACGAGGCGCTGGAGGGAGGTGGTTCTGACAGTGGTGTGCACCAGAAAAGGCCACCGAAAGCAAATTTTCTTAACATGCAGACTACTTAAGATGAAGACTTCATTCATAGCCTGTAGTGAATAAAAGGTTCGTATTGAACTTTCTACTGGGGGAAAATATATTTTGTGGTATTAAACCCTCGTTTTTTAAAATTTTGAACCAATTACTGGTCATAACCGTAACTGTGAAATATCAACTACTTGCTTTTTTGAGAGTGTTTTTGGTGAATTAAAGTTGTGTTATAGTATCCTTCACATTTAACTTTTATAACATAGTGAAAAGGATCTTTTCAAAAAACAAACATTGGAAGACCCCCTCAGTTCCCAGGAGCGCGTCTTTCGATCTTCACTCAGGTGGTTGAGTCTCTTTCGATGCCCCTTCCGTGTCATCATGTGCATCAGATTTCTCAGCTTTCCTCGTTAGTGCTGTCAGTTTCCTTGCATGTGATTGATAGCTCTGCTCTAATGTCACTTCAGTGACTTTTTAGAGCCACACTGCTTTTGCCATGGGGTTCCCAAACCGGCTTTGCCCTTCATTTGCGTTGGGTTGTTGGATTCCACATGATTAGTGAGAGTGACCGAACCGTGGTCTTGCTAGGAAATGCATCTAAGTCGGGGGAGGGGTGTTTGGAGATTTATTTTAATGAGTGGTCTATTCACTTGTGAATGTATTTTGATATGCTGATTTATACAAGTTGTAATTCGGTATTTTCATAATAAGTAACTGATCGTGAAGGGCCTGCCCTGTGGGAGTGATACTGCGGAAGGAATGTGTTCACTGTAACTTCGTTTCATTGGGTGTGAGGGTGGATGACAGTGTTTATGTGACAGCTAGACTACCTTTTTAAAAGGAGGTGTTAGCGTGAGAAACTAGAGTTTAAATTAAATGAAAAGATGCACAAGATAAAATAAAGATTTGAAGATAAGGGCGGGGTGTTATGGCCTACCCCATGACAAAAGGAACTTTCTAGGAACAGTGGTGTAGGTAAAGCTGCAAAACTAGGAAACACTCCATACCCTGTGTCGTTGGGTGGAGGGTAAGCTACCATTATAAAGGTCTCTGTGGGTCTCACCAAGGACTCAAAAGTCGTGTCAAGCTTTCCCCTGACTTAGCAGAAGTTGTGATCGTCTGGGTACAGGATACTGTGCTTGGAGTTCCAAGGAACGGGCCGCGGGAGGTCAGCCAGACGTGACCCCGCCGTCTCAGTGCTGTGTCCTGACTGCCCCGCAGGGGGCGCACGGAGTACTGCGCGTGTGCGCAGGCGGGGGCAGGGCCCCGAGGGCGTCGTGGCCCCGTGGCGCCGGAGGCGGAGGGGGACTTGGCCACAAGGGCGGGGGCGGCTCAGGACGGGACGCCGGGGGGAAGCGGGTCCAGCGGTTCATCTCTTGAACGGAAGGAACTCGTTGTATCTGAAATTGATTCGTCACACTTGCGTCAAGAGTGAGTTTTCTGCTTTAAACGGCATTCAGTCCTTTCTGGCACTTGCCCGCGGTCGTTACTCGGCTCACGCCGCGGCAGTCTCGCGAGCCGCAGCAGCGGCTGTCGGGTCACCCGCGGGCCGTGGGCCGCAGCTGAAGCTGTTGCTCCGCGCCGCCACGTGGGTAACGTGTGGAACGACCGTGTCTCCGCAGGATGAATGCTACCAGGTGCGGCAGGTGTTCGCGCAGAAGCTCCACAAAGGCCTTTCCCGCTTGCGGCTCCCCCTGGAGTACATGGCCATCTGTGCCCTCTGCGCGAAGGACCCCGTGAAGGAGAGGCGCGCGCACGCGCGGCAGTGCCTGGTGAAGAACATCAACGTGCGCCGCGAGTACCTGAAGCAGCACGCCGCCGTCAGTGGTGAGCACGCGGTCGGGCGTCCTCCCCGGCCCTCCCCGGGCGAGCGCCTCGTCACTGCGCCTTGTCCGAGCCGGGGGCGCTGTTACATGAGTTTTACTGTTTCCAGTAGTAGCTGCACCTTTCGGTGGTTCGTTTTTTAAATGGAGACACGTGGGTGTCTGATTATCAGCCCGTCATGTCTCCTCGTGTGACAGACGAAAGGCCGAGGGAGTAAGCAGTGACTTGGGCGGGGGCGGGCGCCTCTCATAGGACAGGGATGAGCGTGCACCTGCGCGACGTCTGGGGCTGGTGCTCAGCTGCTGCAGGTGTTGTGTGGGCTGTGCGAGTGCTGTCTTAGTCTGCGTGCTTCCTCCCACGGCACCCCTGCGTCCTGTGCCTCTCCAGCTGCCCACTTGTTCACAGGGTTAACATGCCCAGTTATCCGGGCTGGAAAGTGGGCACTTCTCACACCTTTTCTCCCCGCCCCTCGGCCACCAGACCCTCGGACGCCTCTCCCCGGCAGTCCTGCACTGCTGTCTTTTCCTGGGGTTAGCGTGACACTCCTGACCTCCGCCCCGCCTGCAGCCAGGCCGCCCCACTGTCAGGGTTACCTTTGTCGGCCAGACGGGGTCCTACCCTGCCCCGCTGGAAATCTGGGTCGATTGTGTTTTGCCCACATAATCGAGGAGAAACTCGTTAACTGACCCTATTGAGCTTGCACTCAGCCTGAGTTTCAGGCTTCGTCTCTAGCCACTCTCTACTGTGAATCCTGTGCTCCTTGCACTCTGGATTGTGTGAGATTTGCACAGCCCGCTTTTTTCTCTGTCGCCAACACTGGGGAAGTTGCTTCCCATCCAGGCGGACAGATGAAACCGAGGAGCGTGGTGGGCCCTTCCGAACCCTTCACGCTGCGGGTGTGGTGCTGCCGCGGGTCACTGGGTGCTCTCCTCCCCTCGGCTCGGGGGGGTGGGTCTCTGCAGTCGGGTCCCGCCTGCGGCGTGTGTACGCACACTGCGTGAGCAAGACGAGCCTTGATTTTCTTATTTGGAAAATTGGTATAATTGTACTCATTTCTTATGGTAATGACGAGTACTGAAAAGTTACGTATATAAAGCACTTGGCACAAGGCATGGTCCAAAGGAGCAGTCAGTAGCTACTAACTATTTTTGTCGTGGGGTGCCTGCCACGTTGAAGGGTAGCTCTGCCCCGTGCTTTGTCATGAGGGCTTTGTCTAGTGTCGCTCGTCTTTATATTTAAGGTGGCAAGCCTGAAAAACTGTGGGCACTCAGTGAGTGTTTGGTAAGAGTTTAATTTGAATCTCACTGAATTTCGAACCTTGATGCTTTTTCTCCTCTACTGACCTTAACATGAGGGATATTACACACACACCATTCTCTTTGAATTCAGGAACAGAAGCAGAGCTTGGTGCCTGATTGACACATGCTGTTCTCCAGGGTAAACGTCTAGCTGAAAGGAATTGTACCGAGTATGAGTCCTAGTCTTTCTGAACAACCTTAATTAAACCAGTTAGTGTTCTAGTTCTGACCTTTAGCGGCATATTCTGTTGTCAGTTGAAAAGCAGAAATGTTTTAATTTAAAGAAAATGTTCCTTTGTTACTTAAAATGTCCTAGAAACTATTTATTTATGTTTGTTTTTTATATCTGTTCTGTTACAGATACTATCAAACACTTCTGCTTATTAAACCCTCTACTTCTTACTTTTGTGTCATACTGATGCCGAAAGATCCACTAGTTTTTGATTTTTCTCAGCAGCTCACAAGGGAGTGTTGAGCATAAGGTTGCTCATACTAACAAGAAAAATAGATCTTATGTTTCTTAGTCTCATAGTTTGTTTGGGTCACCTTTTCCCATATGCATTTGAGAACTGAAATAATAGTCTTTGTAGCCACAGCACATGATACATTTAGTAGGCACTTTGATGTTGGGTTTGATGGATGAACCAATAAACTGTTTAATTTATGGTATACTTTAGCACTGGGTATTTCAGTATATTTTTCTTCTAGTTGTAATGTAGAACTGTTGGGATGTAGGAAATACAGGATCAGAGAGAGAGAAAGAAAAAGATTCGGTTTTCTAACCTGGATGTTTTTGTTTTGTTTCTTTTTTTTCTTTTTTCAGAAAAATTATTGTCTCTTCTACCAGAGTATGTTGTTCCATATACAATTCACCTTTTGGCACATGACCCAGATTATGTCAAAGTACAGGATATTGAACAACTTAAAGATGTTAAAGAGTAAGACTTTTTCCATCCCACTTTCTTACTTTCCAGAAGTTTTTATTTTCTTTCCTGCTGACATGGAACCTCCGTTATTATTAGTTTATTAGATTTATTTTATTTTTTAGGAATTTAAGGTTTTTCCCTTTATTTGTTCTTTTATTTTTCTTCTTTCATACCATATCTTCATGTTTCATTTCTTACGTAATTTTTTAAAACTTAATTCTGTGTAACTACTGTGCATTGCTCTGCTTCCCTACCATTTCTTTATTGAAACAGTTTATTAAAAAGTTTCCATTACAGTTCTTGTCTTTTCCAACTTCTAAAACTCTGTAGATTTTCGCATGGGGTACAGGCATACTCTCCTTTTTCACACGGAAAGCACCTTTTTTTGCAGAAACTCTTCCGCCAGGAGGAAGAGAAAGTGGTCTGATTGGCCAGCCGGACAGCCAGGGCACACCCCCACGCACCGTGCCCGGGGGGGGGGGGGCTGTGCCGCGCCAGGGTGGCGGCAGCGGTGATTTTGTCCGAGGTGGCTGTGGAGAGGCCGGAGGGCCGTGAGCCTGGGCGGGGAGCCGCAGGTCACAGCGGTAGTCAGAGAACCTGCGCGGGGCCTGCGCCCGGCCGGGTGGGCGAGGGGACTTGGCAGGGCAAGGCTGTTACCCTCTTTTTGCCACAGCTCCTCTTTTTTAAAACAAGCAGTTCAGTTCTCCCCAAATGAGGCCTGTGTTAGAGTAATTATAACTGATGAAAACTTCTAGCAATTCCTCTTAGAGAACATTGGCTTTTGAAATAGACGAAACACTCTTTGGAGTTTGCTATATATTTTTGGCTCTATCTCTAACTTGCCCCAGTCTGTGAGAAAACCATGGCACAAGAATTTATTCTGTACCTGAGACCCTAAAGGGTTTTTTCCGCTTTAGAGTGCTGCTGTTCTGTCAGGGCCACACACACAAAGCACCTTTTTTCCTAAATAGAAGTTTTTGTAATTAACATTAAAGCTGAGCTAACTTTAAAAATGAAGCTTTTTACATTTTTTCCTCTTTAAGCAAAGACAGTATGTGCACTTACGGGCCATGACTTTTTTCTCTGTGCTGATGAAGATTCTTAATTCCTGAACAAGGCAGCTGTACTTTCTTGAAGACGTCTGTTGGGACGACAGCTAGTCTTGAGTGCCTTCGGTGTCCCTTCAGGGCCAGCTGTCCCCTTAGGCAGTCCTTCCCCTCCCATCAGAGCTGACCCCGCTTTATTCTTCCTGAGTGTGCCCTTCCCACCTCCCTCCCCGGAGAGGTCAGGTTGGCGGGGCTTTGAGAGGGGTTCTTGTGAATTCACACTGATTTTGCCGATACAGTGTGATATGGATGTGTGGCATCTTTTTTTCTCTTGATTGTAATTGTTTGTTTTTAATTTTTTCCGCTCAGTGTTCATTATATTTAGAATTATTATATTTGCGTCTAACAACTAATTTTTCTTTTCTGTTTCTTTTGTTTTTTTAGATGTCTTTGGTTTGTTCTAGAAATATTAATGGCTAAAAATGAAAATAACAGTCATGCATTTATCAGAAAGATGGTAGAAAATATTAAACAAACAAAAGATGCCCAAGGACCAGATGACGCAAAAATGAATGAAGTATGTGATTATTTGTAAATAATTATGATTTCGTGTCTATGTAAGCATCAGAGTGTAGGATATGGGACTTCCGTAGTATTGGTAGACACTAGTATTGGTAGACACCAGTCTTTTCTGTTAGCAGTAAATAATCAGCATTTTGATAGTAATAATTAGACTTGCACATATAGTTACTAATACAAAATCAGAAGTAACATTGTTTCTAGTAAACTAACGAAAACAAGTCTGTTTTGAATGCGCACTGTTGTATTGGAAACTGCGCGCTGAGTCGTAGCACGTGTTGTAGAGCTGCTTCCAGTGCAGACTGTGGGATGTCAGCTCAGGCCCACTTTCCCCTGCCGTGGCAGAAACTGTACACCGTCTGCGACGTCGCCATGAACATCATCATGTCCAAGAGCACCACGTACAGCTTGGAGTCCCCCAAGGACCCCGTGCTGCCAGCCCGCTTTTTCACCCAGCCGGACAAGGTAGTTCCCGCAGAACCTGTGTGTGTGGGTGGGACCGGGGTCTTCTCGGCATGCGGTGGCGCGGGGGTCCAGCAGGGTCAGCTACAGGAAGGCGGTCGCCGTGAGTCTTTCTAACGGGTTTCCAGGCCGGAATAGGGGCCGCAGCAGAGGTCACGGAGAAGGAGCAGAGATTTGTTAGCTGGGTCTACAGTTTGTGTTCAAGGTTGTTCGCCAGTCTAAGGGCACAGGCAGAAAGGCCATCAGAGCGTGTGGCTCTGTGAGGTAATGGCCACTGACCCGAGGTGGGAAGGAGAAGGCGGGCAGAGGCCCGGTCCGAAGCGCTGGCCCCTTGACCGAGACCTGTCACCGGTGTGGGGCGGCCAGTGACAAATAGACACCGCCCTGGCCCGAGACTCGGGGGCTGCTGCAGGCGTGTGCCCCCTGTCCCAAAACTCAAGGGTGGTGGGCAGCGGCGGGGGGTGTTTCCGGGGGTAACAGAGCGCAGAAACCACCACTACCCTCTTTGTTCCCGAGCAAGTGCCAGTTCAAGTCCAGAGATTGGCCCAGCAGCCAGGAGTGGCTGTCTGCCGTTCCACACTCAGGGGCCGGGTAGCGGCAGCCGCAGTCTCTCGGGCCTCTGTGGGGCGCGCCAGTGAAGCGCGTGGGGCCAGGCAGGCCCTGGTGCTGAATTTGTATGTGCTTTAAAGCAAAAGCTGCTCTCTGTTGGGTTTTGAGCCTCTCAGATACAGAGTTTCAGTATTCACTGACTACATCTTTTTCCTTTCTTGTAGAACTTCAGTAATACCAAAAATTATCTGCCTCCGGAAATGAAATCGTTTTTTACTCCTGGAAAAGTAAGTTTTGAGAATGGTTTTAATTCTTATGTAATGGTTTATTTTAGTGTGATTAATGGCATAATTATGTTACTTTGTATTTCTTTAAACATCGGTGTATTTTAAGTTAGAAAATGTAATTATTGTCCATTTACTGGAAAGAAATAATTTTATTTACTACGTAGATGCAGGCTGATACATGAACTTATTTTGTAGCTTATAATAAAGTCTCTGGAGACTTTGAACTTAAGTATCTATCCTCTCATGCCAAGGTAAAACTCTTAAAGTGAAAAGACACCTTCTTACGTACTCCTGTAGCAGGGTTAGCGACGTGTCCACCGCCGGCTGTGCGTGCGGCTTGTTCCCGCTTCCTCGTGAGGCTGCACGTGACTGAGGGTTTGACTCTCTCTCTCTCTGTAGTTTGTTTGTTCAAGTAAGGTTCAGTTTACAGTCCTCGTTTTGCTTAAGAACAGACACACTTTTTCATCATTTGTATGCAAATACTTTGACAGATACTATATATAGTCCTTTAAATGTAAATTTCTTTAGGCTTTAATCAAATAGAAAGAGATGCACGTTTTTCATTCCAGCCGAAAACGACCAACGTCCTGGGGGCTGTGAACAAACCACTCTCCTCGGCGGGCAAACAGTCTCAGACCAAGTCGTCGCGCATGGAGACCGTCAGCAACGCCAGCAGCAGCTCCAACCCAAGCTCCCCCGGAAGGATAAAAGGGAGGTGAGCACGTCGGAAGTGCCGTCCTTCAGAGGGGAGGGTTCCAGCGAGGCCCTGGGACCTGGGACGGCGTAACGCACAGCACTGGGCGCCAGGGAGCGGGCGTGAGGACAGGCCGCCGGGCCTGGGTGGCCGCTCGGTTCACGTGGCTGTGCTCGTGCGTGCAGACAGGGCCCCGCCTCGCGCACGCACTCCGGCCTCGGGGGACTCCGCTTGTCTGCGGTCATGTGTCTGTGCAGTGGAGTGCCCAGTCGCTGAGGATGGCGAGGCAGGAGCTGTGTGAAGAGTTTCCACAGCACGTTACTGAGTGAAAAGGCAAACAGGAACAGCGTTACAGTATTTCTGAGTTTTTTGAAAGGATTTGTATTTCCATTTGCTTACATATGCATAGAACGTTTTTTGGCAGGATGCATCGTATCTTAATAGTGTTTACAGAATCTAGTATAGGAGGGAAATCATTTTATATTCTTCGGTATGGTTTAAATTTTTTTTTAGCATGTACACGTGTAAACTTTTTGTTTGAAGAAAAAAGAAAACGTTTCACACGTCCCTGATCCCATCCCGTGCCCGCAGGAGGGCCCTGCGCGGGGCCGCGCTGCCGCCCGCGCGCTCTGCTGAGGAACCGCGTGAAAGGCCGGTGCTGTCTCCGCGGTGCTCGGGGCCAGCTAGTGAGGGAGGCAGGTGTTCTAAAGCGTCTCACCAGTCTCCTTCCAGTGGATGCTTAAGCGATGAGTAGTGCAATAAGAATAAAACAAAAATACGTCTGTAGATGCCTATGCTAATGTGTATTAGTTACTTACACCTAAGTGACTGAAGGGGCACCCATATCGTTTGGACATTTTCTAGTGAATATCCTCATTCTTAAAATGACCAAGACAGTTCCAGCAAGTAATTTCTAAATTACTGGGCTTTCTCCCTGGATTCCTGGTGATAATCAAAGATGACCTAATTCACCACGTCATCTGGGCCAGAAGCCTCCAGACTGTCCCTTTGACACCCCCCCCCCCGCCCCCCCCCGCCCGCTGCCTGCTGCCGGCTGCTTTCCCTGCAGTGGTGCTGTGTGCCTCTCCTCCTGCGGTCGGCATCCATCCGTTCTCTCCAGCTGCCGTGTGTGGCCGAGGAGCCCGACCACTGCGGGATACTCTTTCTCAGATGCTGCTGGGTGACGGTTATTTCACGGCTTAGAAGTCTTAATCGGCTCCCCTGGTTTGTTTTCAGGATAATTAAATTTTACCTTGTCCTCAGCTCCTATTGTTATTGTTACTGAAAACAAACGACTTCTAATTTTCCTACAGTACTTTCTCAGTGTACTTCGGTAAACTAACTCTCACCCTTTGACTAATCTTATTTTGCCACTTTTTCCGCCCAAATCCCATCAGCTTACTAGGGCTCTTTCTAAGAGAAGGAGCTACGAGTGTGTTTGGTTGGAGAGTGGGAATGAGAGAATAATGGGTCAGAGAGGAAGTTGAGGGGCGGCCAGATGAGGTTTGGACTTTGTGAGTTTAAGCACAACTGGATGATAGTGTGGTGGAGTCCGGAGATCTAATTTGTGCTCTGAAAGATTGCCCTGATTATTTAGAGAACGGCGAAGCTAGGATGGAGGCAGAAGAGCCAGTCAGGAGTCAGCTGATAGTATTTTAGGGAAGAGATAGAGAGGGGAAGATAGTGGACAGTGAAATCTGGGACTTATTTTGATGGTAGACCGAGGTGGTCCTGCTGGGGTTAGTTGTGTGCAGCTGGGGGAAAGGACGGTTTGAGGATGTACCTTGGCTCTTTGCCCGAACCCCTGGGTAGACAGTAGTGGTGGTAACTGAGACACGAATCTGCGAGGAGGAGCCGGCTGTGTGTGTGAGTGCACGCGTGCGTGTTTTGGGGAGGTGAGGAGAAGAGGTGCCCAAGTACCAGTCTTGGCTGTGGTCAGGGTGGGATGCCCATTAGAAATTCAGGCGACTGGGCAGCTGGGTGTGCGAGTCTGTAACTCAGGCCAGCTTCTTAAGCCTGAGATTGAAGTTCAGGGCTCAGTGATGTTCAGGTGGGGTTTAAAGCCCAGTGCGGGTGAGGTCACGCAGGACAGGAGACGGAGCCTGCACGCCAGTGTGTGAAAGCATGGAGTAGGCGCCGCCTCCGCGCCGGGCACAGACCCACATCCTTGAGTGTCCTTGAGTGCACACGGGCAGGGGACTGGCAGAACGGCAGTGCGGGTCTGCTGGGGGCGGGGGGCGGGGGGAGCTGGAGCGGTGGTGAAGCTGGGAACCCCTGGCCCGGCGGAGGCTGTCGCGGTGCGGGGAGCAGGTGTGCTCGGGACGGGGGAGGGCCGGGCGGGGTCTGACGCAGGCCAGTCCAGCTTTCTAACGAGAGAAGTTTCAACGGACCTTCTGTTCCTGCTCCACTCTAGAATCCAGGTTTTTAGAAAGAATTAGGGGGAAAGGAAATTTGTGGTTTTTTCTTCCCTTTTTTGTTAAATGTGCTTCTTCACTTGTTAATTTGGTGCTAAGTGTGATAGAATAAAACCAATACTTTTCTAATGGAATGAACTTTTTTTTTTTTTTTCCATAAAGCTACATTAGAGAACAGAAAAAGCTTTTAGGTTATTTGATTGTAATAACAATTATAAATATCTGTATTAAAAGGCTTGACAGTTCTGAAATGGATCACAGTGAAAATGAAGATTACACGATGTCGTCACCTTTGCCGGGGAAGAAGAGTGACAAGAGAGACGACTCTGACCTTGTAAGGGTGAGCTGTTTGCTTTCCCTCTGTCGTCGTCGTTGCTGGTGGTGGTGGCGTTGCTTTACTGTAAATGATTTTTGTGCACTGAAACCATTTAACAGTATTCTCAAATTTGACATAATTTTCTTTTAAAGGCTTTAATTAGACATTTGTGTTTATGATTATCCTCTACCGTGTAATTTAAGTATATTGAATTTCTTGTGTTTTTTGTCATTCTACTAAGTAACCTTTTTTTTCAGGTCTTTGGACTCTAGCATGGCAGTTTCATACTCAGCCTGCTTGTTTTTTTTATTTTGTTTGCCTTTTTTTAAAAAACACAATAAGTTTAGACTTAGCCTTAGAGAAAGGAAACAGAATGAGAGTCCTTAAAGGCTCCTGCATTTTAGTGATTTCTTGAGCCTTGAAACAGTAAATAAGCTTGTAGTTGAAGATAAGAAATGCGACAGTTCTCACATAGTCCTTGTTGAGTTCCTGCATCTTACCAGCAGCGGTACCTTGTGTGAGGGATGCAGTCGGCACAGGTCGTGAGAAGACAGTTTGGTGGTCTGGGTGCAGACCCAGAGCACAGCCGTGCACTTACACACACACACACACACACACACACACCCCACCCCACCCCGGCGGCCCGCGTCAGTGCGCCCATCCGACTCGGGGGTTTGCTCTGCACGTCTCCGTGACAGCCGAGGGGGCTCTCCGAAGCAGCTTCTTTTTCCGTAAAATGTGAATGCTTACCTAGTAAGGTTTATCAGAATAAATGAATTAGCCCAGATGAATTGTTGTTACAAAGACTAGTATTGTTGATTAACGATTACTGTAAAAGTTAATATGTTTGAATCTACTAAGTTAATAAAGGTAGAAGGTTATTAATAAAATACTTCTGCTTTCTCTGAGATACATGGGGGCAAAAGTAAGTTTACAGAAGAAGAAGACAGATGATGCAATAATGAATCAGTACTACAGGAATAACCTTTGGGGCACTCACAACTGTAAACCTGCTTTTACCTGCCCTTATGTTACCGCCTCCTTGTCTTCCACGGGCCCAGCTTTGTGTAGCCAGGAAGTTTATGTTCAGTTGTTGGATCCTTGAATTGGAGAGGATATTTATATCTTCTTGTCCTAACTCTCGCCTCATGTGATAATTCTCCCATTATCACGAGAACAGGCTGCCCGGGCTGGAAAGTGCCTCCAGTGCAGGAGCTCCCACGTCCCCTCCTCCACTGGGGACCGGCCTGGGCCCCCACGTCCACTGCAGACCGCGCCCCCCCCCCCCCGCCCCAGCCCCTCACATTTGGGAAATGAGGTTTTGATTCTTAATGTTCTTTATTCTATATATTCTGTAAAACGTCTATTTTACCTTATGAAGCAATGCAAAACACAGTCTCTTTTTCATAGAACAATTTGAATTTCTGAGCTTTGGGGATTTTTCGTATGTTTATAACGAAGAAGGCCTTTGGCTGCCCCTTGTGGAGCATTGCATTCGTTTCTGAAGTACTAGAGCCCGTTGGTTTAACTTGAACTGAAACACTCCCAGAGAGGGCAGAACTGTGAGGCCCATGCGCGACAGGGGACGGGGACTGCCTCGTTTGCCCGTTTCCAGCCTCATGTTGTATTTCATGGACAGGAGTTCTTCGTAAACATTTGTGTTCAAACTGCAGTTTTACAAGTAACATCTTCTCCCCGTTTTCTGCTTTTAGCCTCAGTTTTATACACCTTCTGCTCTTAAAACAATGCAGTGAAAAGCGAAAAAGAAATGAGAGAATGGAGTGCCTTAGCAAAACACATTGTTTTACGGTGTTCTCAGAAAAGCGGGTTTCCTGCTTCCCGCTAACCTTTTCCACAGAGTAAAGGAATTAAACCGTCCTTTTAGATCTTTGGACATCCAGATGAATCCCAGCATTTAAAATGGGAGGGACACTTTAAATTCAGTTTTAATTTAATGTTTCTTTTCTCTTCCCATCTCTCAGTAAAAACAATTCATTTTTAATTTATGTAAAAAACTAAATAAATACTAACAAATTAAAACCAGTCATTTATAGGTCTATTTTTCCTGGAATGCAAGGATAGTTTAATGCTACAAAAAAATCTCTTAATATAGGGTATTGATACACAAAAGAAAAATATTAAGAGAATCTCAGGTCATGCCAAAGACATACATTTTCAAATATGAATTCTTAATAAACTAATACCAAAACAATACATCGTTAACATGCTAAAAGTTTTGTCTGTTGAAATTAGTAGTGAATGATTTAGTTGGAGTATTCTTCCTAAAGGCAAAATACTTGAAGCATTTCTATGAAAAACTAGGAACAAAGCAAGCAACCTCTCACCACTATTATTAAAAATTGTTCTAGAATGTTTGGTCATTTCAAGAAGACATGATATAGAAGTCAAAGGTATGATAGTGAATGAGAAGAGAAATTCATTTTTATTTTTGTACTGTTAAAAATGAGAGAAGTAATTCAAAAACTGCGAGTGTAGCATGGTAGCCACGTATCTGTAGGTATGTGTCTGTGTAACTGACGGTACTCCGGTGGTGGTACTTCATACTGGGTCTGCACCTGGGGGAAGGGGCCTGCCTCTCCGCAGGAACCGCTGCGGCAACAGAACCAGGCAGGCAGGGAGGCAGGCAGATCTAAACATGACCTTAAAAAGAAGTAGTGAAAACCTGTGTGGAGAAAATAACGAAAATGAGAAACAGACTTCGAGAGAGAGAAGAGATACCATGTTCTTTCGGGGAAAACTGAATTGAAAAGATGACAGCTTTTTCTGAGCGAATGTATAATGGTAAAATCTCAGTGTGATTTAAGTCCATGTAGAAGAATAAATGAGTACAAAAAAGAAGAGAAATAATGATAAGGTCAGCCCACAATACTGTGCTGCTGTTACAGTAGCCCCAAAACATTAATTTTTAAAACACAATAAAGAAAAAAGGATGCATTACAAATCAGTGATTTGGGAATAATTGTTTGGGGGTGAGAGTAGGTAAAACAGTTTAGAACCTCATCTCACACCCGATGGTGAAAAGCAGGATAAACTGATGTCTCCCTTCTCAGGCTGCCGTAACAAAGCACTGTCGACTACTGGGCAGCTCACACAACCAGAACGACTGTTCTCCCGGCTCCGAAGGCTGGGAACGAGGAGAGCACAGTGCCGCCGCCCAGTCCTGGGGAGGCTTCCTTCCCGGTGGGCGCATGGCCCGCCCTGGGTGACGTCACGCGGTGGGGAGAGGGGTGGGCGCTCTCTGGTGGCTCCTCTGAGCTCCCGTCCCACGGACTCCGCCCTCGTGGCCCTTCCCCAGACGCCGTCCCACCAGAGGCTGCGCCTGCAGCCAGTGCGTCTGTCTGGTGGGGACAGTTCAGTCCATGTCAAATGGGAAATAAAATTCTGAGATACACAAAAGAGTGTAAGAAGATAATGTAGATCAAAACACTAACTAAGACTCCAGTACACGAACGGAGAAGGGAATAACAGTAATGACATACTACAGTTAGGCCATTCAGACGGGAAATGCAGGTGACTAGTTAAACTCGTTGAAAATTACAGGTAGGTCATTTTGTTTTCATGGATTTTTAAGAGTTGAATTGCTACAAACTTCTGGAAGTTAACTTACAGATACCCGTATTTGTGAAAATGTGTATTACGTGCGTGTGTGTATGGAGAGTATTGTATGTGTGTTCATACGTATTCTTTGTTTTTTTGGAGGATTTTTTCGGTTTCAGTCTGCTGATAAATGTATAAATTCTCTGAATATAGACTAGGATTTTAAGTTTGAAAGTCACTGATTTTTAAGTTATTTTTGTTGTTAATTAGTTGTACCTGTGAAGAAGCAGTATAGTAGATTCAGATGTGTGTTTAAAACTTCTCATAAATGATATCTTCTTTGTATTTTGCAACTTTCATTTATAAAACAGTCCTTTTATGATGTTTTAAACATGATATATGATAGCTGATATGTCTTATTATATACTGTGTGGTAGAATTATCCACGTTGAGTACAAAACAGAACCCTTGTAGTTTAATATAATAATCTATTATTCCGGCATTGAATTCAGAATGTTCTTTTTATGAAATACCTCTTGCCTAAAATTTATAATTTAATAAAGTACTGGTTTGGAGAGGTCTCCGTTTGAGGCTCTCTAGCTTAAGTGAAAATAAATAAATTACCCTGATACCCCAGATAATTTTTTAATTAAAAAAATAGTAATAGCCCTGGCCGGTGTGGCTCACTGGACTGAGCACCATCCTGTGAACCCAGAGGTCATGGATTCGATCCCCAGCCAGGGCACGTGCCTGGGTGCGGCCCGGGCCCGGTCGGGGTCGTGTGGGAGGCAGCCGATGGGTGCGTCTCTCACTCCATGATGCTTCTCTCCCTCCTTTCCCTGTCTCTGAAGATAGATAAATGACATCTTAAAGAAAAAAACCTAATAATAAAAGCAAGTAAAGTTACGGTTCTGATGTATTTAAGAACTCTGCGCTTTAATTACGTTTTATGACCAAAGTTGGTAACGGCTTTTTTGCGTGCTGTTCTTCAAAACACGCTTCCCGATGCTGCTGCACTTGACACGGTGGTTTTCGTCCGCAGCCCGAACTGGACAAGCCCAGAGGCCGGAAGAAGGCGCCCGCCGCCGACCCGGAGGAGAAGCTGGGCCTGGACGAGCTGGCCAAGCTGGCGCAGGAGCCGAGGCCCAAGGGCGGGCCGCGGGGGCGGAAGCGGGGCCCCGCGGCCTCCGAGTCCGACGAGCAGCAGTGGCCCGAGGAGAAGAGGCTCAAAGAAGACCTGTTGGAAAACGAGGACGAGCAGAACAGTCCACCAAAGAAAGGCAAAAGAGGCCGACCGCCAAAACCTCCTGGCGGGGGAGGCGCAGCCAAAGAAGAGCCAGCGGTGAAAGCTTCTAAAAAAGGAAGCAAAAAAAAGTCCGGACCTTCGGTAGCGGAGGAAGAGGAGGAGGAGGAGAGGCAAAGTGCAAACACGGACCCGAAGTCGAAAAGCAAGCAGCACCGGCCGTCGCGCAGGGCTCAGCAGAGGTGAGCTCGCGGGCCCCCCGCGTGTGTTGGGGTCCCTGCTGGAAACCCAGATTGGATGCTGCCCGCGCCCGGGTCCTCCCCAGGGCAGAGCAGAGTCCCCTGAGGCCAGTGCCGGTGAGCCCACATCCCCCGGCCCCCAGAGAGGACGGGGGAGACCGTCCAAAACGCCATCCCCTTCACCACCGCAGCCCCCCAAAAGTTTGTAAGTTGTACACAATGTTACATTTCAAACCAATTTCCAGTTCTTTTGCAAAAGCTCATAAGTTTTTACATATACATAGGGCTGCATTTGAATGCCATATAGGTAGCCCCAATACACTAGGTAAGAACATTTTCATAGACTTACCTAGGTGATTGATAGCACAGTTAACCCTTTGGTGGCTTCTGTGCATTTTTACAGGTTTTAAACAAATCTTTACCTAATGAATGCCAACCAGTCTGTTAGCTCCAATACAGACTTTATGGTACCCAAAGAGGTGATAAAGTATTTTTCAATAATCACAGCATAGTGACCAGGTTGCCTTACCATTCCATACTACAATTTTTCATGTCTTTCCTCAGTAGCTTTTTAAAAAATAGCTTGTATACTTTTTGCTTTTATTGTTTTAACTGTGTAGGAAAGTTACAGGCATTGTTTTTCTTAAATTGCATAGAAATTATCACACGATGCTGATCTCAATTTATGATATATCGGTTTTTTTGTTTTCTAGTCAGATTAACACATCTGTATCCACATACAGATAGATTTGGGTGGTCACACAGTCCCGTGTCTATGTGTCAATTATAATAACAGATCTCTATAATTTTACAGTGACGGGAACATTTATGCTCTAATTTGTAATTTTTTCACTCTTTCGTCTCACTTATTTAACTGGAAATAGGGCGGTGTGTCTCTGCTTAGTCAGAAAATCTCCAGGTTTTCTCCGCATAACCCCATCACATAACTGCATAGTGGCTTGATTCTTCCGAGTTGCCAGCACACTTTCGTGAAACAGTTATGTCAGCAGTTCCTCCTCCTCCTGTGTGTCGCACAGGAGGAGGAGAGGTCGCCTGAGTGTCTGGCTAGTACTTTGTGTTTTCTTCCCTTTAATTTTTCCCTCAGGTAAAAAGCAAAGGTGAGTACATTTTCTTGGCAGCTTCAGTGTATTTGGATTCAACCATGGAAAGTCACTTGTTTAAAAAAAAATAATTTTTAAGGAATGTTAAATTCCCATGATTAATTTTATAACGAGGAAATAGCAGGGGTAAATATCTTTCAGGCTTATAACTTTAATTTGTTTATATTGGCATCATAAAATTAAGGTCTTAATTATTATCGTGTTCTTTCCTAAAATTTCACAAGTCCTTACATTAATATATTCTAAAACAAACACATACTTCTTTTAAAAATCAGCACAGAGGTTCTGTATTCTGTGTTAGCAGCCTCCTGTCCCTTTCACCATGAGGTTTTGTCTGAGAGCTAGTAAAATATAACGTGTTACATTCGCCTGTTTTTCTTCCGTCTTCAGTGGATTTAGGGACTGTTGCATTCTTCTCTGTATAATAGCCTGTATTTCCTTCTGTTCACTGTGCGGGCGGGGGGTCAAGGTATGCAAAGGCGTGGGGAGGTCCAAGATGACGGCTGAGTGGGTGGAAGGGGCACTCGCCTCCTCCCAGGACCACACAGGAGTCCCAGCTGGAACACGGAACCGTCACCCTGAACGGCCAGCACAGACTAGCTCAGCAGAAATCTTGGAACCGAGGGCTCGCAGAAGGGGCCACTTGGAGGCTGGCAGTAGGAAGGGCACAGAAGCAAAAGGGCTGGCATCGCGCCCTGTGTGGTGACCGAGCCCCCGGAGGGATGTCTCGGCTGCAAAAGGTCCCCCCTGAGGAGAGGGTGGTCTCGGTCCCGCCCTGGTGCTCTGGCTGAGAGCACCGGAGCCAGGACGAGGAGACCACCCAGGGTCTGGCAGTGAAAACCAGTGGGGATTCTGTCTGCCAGGGAGAGACTGGATTCCGCCGGGGACCCAGGGATCCCCTCAAAGGGCCAGGCACTCACCCCTGGCCCAGCCGGGGCAGGGCAGGCCCTCTCTGACGGGGGGGTTGCATGAGGAGGCACGGGCTGTGTGGCTGCAGGGAGAGAGCTGCAGGGACAGCCGCCGGGCCCTGTGCTGAGCCCTCCTCCCACCCTGCACAGTGCACAGACACCCTCTTCGTTGGGCCCCGCAGTACCTTCCCTGTGGCGTCGGCCTTGGGGGGTGCTCTGGCCCTGCCCCCTCACGCCCTCCAGAGGAGCCAGCAGTCTGGGCCGCTGGCCTGGGGACCCCAGTGTCAGGGACCGAGCTGTGCGCCCGGGGGCGGGGGCAGCGCCCCACACCTGTCCTCCAGCCCGACGCACCGAACCCGCGGGCACCCCGCCCTGCCGAGGGCAGGCTTTCCAGAAGGCCGGGGAAAGTCTGGGGTGGACGGAGCCGTATGGCCCCGAGATTGGGCGTTTCCCCCTCTCACACCTTGCCGGTGCGGAACCCGCCCTTCACAGGGCCGAGAGGTAGTGAATGTGAAAGAGGACATACAAACGATAAGAACTGGTCAGAAGTGAGGAAGACAGGATCTGAAGTGAAGAATACACTAGAAAGAATAAACAGTAGGTTGGATGGAGCAAAGGATTGGCTCAGTGATTTTTAAGGCAAGGTAGCAGCAAACACCCAATCAGAACAGCAAAAAGTGAAAAGAATTCTAAAATATAATAGTTTCAGGGCCCTTTGGGACAACGTGACGTGTAAAACATCCACATCACAGGGTCACCGGAAGGAGGAGAGGGCGAGCAAGGGGCCGAGAACCTGTTTGAAGGAACGGTGGCTGGAAACTTCCCTGACCGGGTGGGGGAAGAGGCACGCGCATCTCGAAGCCTGAGGCTCGCAACCCAGGAAACGGAATGAAAACCCCAAGGGTCCAGGACGGAAAGCCGGAGGCAGAAGACTATCCGGAGGATAAATAAATGACCATGGAGAAAACACAGTACCGAAAAAAGACAGAGGGAGTCTTAAAAGCAGCAAGAGAAAGACAGTTACCTACAAGGGGCTCTCATGAGACTGTCAACTGATTTCTCCACAGAAACATTTCAGGCCCAAGGGATAGTCACGCAATATTCAAAGTGATGAAAAGCAAGGACCTTCAACCAAGGCTACTCTGTCCTGCAAGGCTGTCATTTAAAATTGAAGGAGAAATAGTGAGCTTCCCAGACAAGAAAAAGCTGATGGAGTTCATTACCATCAAACCAGTGTTACGGGGAATGTTAAAGAGTCTCCTTTAAGAAGAAGAAGAAAAACAGGAATGTAATTATAAAGAATAAGTAGCAGTAAATATGCACCTATCACTAGTCAATTTAAATGTAAATGGCTCAAACGCTCCAATCGAAAGACATAGGGTAGCTGATTGGATTAGGAAACAGGACTCATCTCTGTGCTGTCTACAAGAGACCCACCTCAGAATGAAAGATGTACACAGACTAAAGGTATAGAAGAAGATATTTTGTGCAAATAGAAATTTTAAAAAGCTGATTTTATGCAAACAAATTTTAAAAGGCTGGGGAAGCAACACTGACGTCAGACAAAACAGACTGGACGACAGACGCCCTCGTGGGGGGCAGAGGAAGACACGGCGTCGTGAAGGGGCCACCCCAGCCCCGGAGCACCTGGGTGGGCGCGTCGTGCTGGCCCAGCAGCGGGAGAGCACAGCAGTGCAGTCCCGGAGGGAGCTGAGCACCCCACTGACGTGGACGGTGCGTCTTCCAGACGGGGAATCGTCGAGGAGACACTGGCCTTTAGTGACACATACACCAGGCGGATTGAGTTGGAATCTTCAGAGCATTTCGCCCAAAAGCAGCAGAATAGACGTTCTCTTCAAGGGCACGTGAAACATTTTCCAGGTTAGGCCACCGAACGAGACTCAGTGAATTTAAGATGAATGTAATCTGAAGCATCTCCTCCGAATCAGTGGACTGAGACTATAAATCAATCAAAAGAAAAGAAAAAAACTGAACAACACACAGCATGGAGCTGAAGAACACGTTACTGGACGATGAGCGGTTCAACACGCAGATCGAGGAAGGGATCAAAAGATGCCTTGGGCGGCTGCCCCGGCTGGTGCCGCTTGTGGGTTGAGCACGGGCTGCGAACCAAAGGGTCACAGGTCCACTCCCCCGTCGGGGCACATGCCAGGGTTGCAGGCCAGGTCCCCGCTGGGGGGCGCCGCAGGAGGAAACCACACACGGATGTCTCTCTCTCTCTTTCCCTTTTCCCCCTCTCTAAAAATAAATAAACTATTATTTTAAAAGATGCCTTGGGGCAAATGAAAATAAATACAACAACCCAAAATCTGTGAGAGACAGCAAAAGCAGCCCTAAGGGAAATCCACAGCATTACAGGCCTGCCTCGGAAACCGAGAAGAATCTCAAACTAACCTTTCCCCGAAGGGAACTGGAAAAAGCGTCGACAAACAATGCCCAAAGTGAGCAGAAGGGAGGCAGGAACAAAGATCACAGCGGAAATAAATGAAATGGAATAAAAAACAACACAAAAGATTGCCCTGGCCGGTGCGGCTCAGTTGGTCGGAGCGTCGTCCCGCGGACTGAAAGCGCAGAGGTCCAGGTCCCAGTGAGGGCGCGTGCCTGGGTGCGGGTGCAGTCCCCTGGCAGGAGAGATGCAGGCTGCTGCAAGGGGGTAACGGGCGAGCTGGGAAATTGGGGACGTGTTCTTCCGGGAAAGTGACAGGTTGATTCCCTGAGAATTACAGGACTCAGACTGGTGGAGTGCAGGGAAAGGCGCATTTCAGGTGGGGAGGCCAGTGTCTTTGGCGGTTGTGGAGCAGGAGCGGCCTTGGCAGGCTCAGGGAGCTGAAGCGTGGGGGGGGTGCTGGGTCGCCGTCGTGGTGGGGAATCGGGGCCTGGAAGGAGATCCCAGTGGGCCCGAGGGCGGGGCCCGGCGGCGGCGTGAACAGATGTGCAGAACCCCCCGCGTGCAGTGGGCAGCTCTTCGGGGGGAGTGGTGTTAGCTGTGTGTACTGTTTAAAAGGTGACTGTTACCAGAGGAACCAAGAGATGACAAGCGCTTGGAAATACAGGCGGGGCCAAGGAATGGATTTGAGGTCTCTTCGTAAACTGAGCCCACCAGGCCGGGTGGAGAGTGGTGTGCTAACTATTCAGCAAGACTGGGGGCTCTGCTCTGCTCAGCTCGGGACACACGGGTGCCTTTTCCTCGCTGGGAGCGACGGAAGAGCAGAGTTTGAGTTACGTTTTTAGTTCCTCTGTGCTGGCGGTCTCCGTCACACTTGCTTCTGTTACTTGCTTGATCTTTATATGGAACATTCTAGGGTTAAACACCGGTTTAGGGCGCAGAGTGTAAGAACAATGTTTCTTGTTTTATAAGGCAACTAAACATTAAAATGACAGTCTGAGAATTCATGAAACATTTAAATCGCTCCCTCCAATGAGGTGTGAACCGACCTGGAGAGCAGCGTGTTCACTGTGTTTTCCGTGTGTGTCACTCCAGCCGTGCGGGGCGCTCCAAACAGGCGGCTGCCAAAGAGAACGACTCCAGTGAAGAGGTGGACGTGTTTCAGGGCAGCCCCCCCGCCCGCGAGGAGGTTCCGCCGGAGGAGGCGGAGGAGGAGGAGGTCTCCCCAGTGAGTGCATGTGGTTATCGGAGCGGCTGTGTGGGAGGGCGGGTGTGGGAGTGGGGTTGGTCAGTGCTCGGTCCCCTCTGCTTAGCGCCCGCTGTTACTTACCATCCGGAGTATTCACAGGTTTTTCTTCATTAGATGGTAGCACTGTTTCCTCCACCAGTTTGTATGGCGGAGAACACATCTTCTTCGGAAGCCTGACACGAAGTCAGAAAGGATGTGGCCTGGTGAAAGTGTAAATGTCGGGTTCAAACTGAATGTGGAGAAGAACAGGAACCAGTGTGGTGCTGGCACTTCAGGCATTGTTGTGCCTTTACTTTAGAGCACTGGTGTCTGTTAAATATACTATGGTTTGTTTCGTTAGTTTTGTTTGAGTTTCACAGTAGAAACTAGAGTTAGTCAGATCATGCAGAATCAAGATCTTTAACCAAAATCAGCCTTTGGAATGAATAAAATTGGCAATAGACACTTGTTTTACAAAGGTGCTTGTAGACTGTGGTGCTTCCTGAGATACTTTTTGAATTATTTAAGTAGTGACTGGTTTCACATCTCAGATATTTCTCTTTGGAAGAGCAGTAACTGAACGTTGGAGTGAGAGCTCTTCTCTTGGCAGCAGCGACGCTGAGCGCGGGGATGAGCCCGGCCGGCCGGCCGCCCGCCCCGCGTGGGAAGGGTGTGCTCTGAGGCCAGGCCCCGGGGAGGCCCTGCCTCTGCCGGCCGCGCCCGGGCTCCTCTGTGCGTGGGCGCCGCCCGCGGGAGAGGGCGCGCACGCTGCTGCGCTGTGGCCTCGGACTGGCCGGGCGTGTTTCCTGCAGAGCGTTTTGAGGATGTGAAAATAAGGTGGAATCGTCTCCAATATCCTCATCAAAGGAAAATAATTAAATTAAAATCCCGCTCTGTTTATATTCCTGTTGTTAATACTGATCTTTTTTGAACTTAAGTTTTATGCTTTTGTTAGCTATTGCCAATCAATAGTAATACGTCTGAATTTCAGCTTGCTTATATTTATTTGAGAGGTATTAGGATCTAAACTCAGGAACTATTTTCCCAGAAAGACAGCTATAAGCCTAAGTTTGTAAGTACCAAATGTTATCTTTTACCACAGAAGTATAACTACAAAGGTATTTGCAATTGTTTTACTTACTGTTGATATTTTGTTCATTTCTTTTGAAAATCATTAAGTAGAAAAGTAATTTTCTCCTGTTCTGGGAAAAGGTATTTATAAACATTCAAATATTACATAGGTCTAAATAAGGGATGCCCAGGCAGCAAGTTAGAATAGGAGAAAGGTTTCAAGGAAAGAAAAGCAAAGAAAATCAGGAACAAGTAAGAATAATGATTGGTTTAAAAATAATAATTATTCTTGCTATGTCTTACAAATGTGTACCCATTTTAACTGAGCATATGGTGATTTTTCCTTGAAGGTACGACGGCGAAGCTCCAAGAGAGAGAGGCGATGAGCACACGTGATCAGTCTTCCCCCTGCGGACGCTGTAAGAAGTCACGTCTTGTCGAGCTTGAGGCTGCGGAAAGCCTTCCCTGCACACACCGGGCCTGAGGGGGCGGGACAGTCGTCGGACCTTCGTCTGCTGGCCTCGCACGCTGCGGTCACACGCTCGGCCATGTGCGTGCTGGTGACCTTGACTGTGGAGTGTCATGAAGGTGTAATTTGTGATGGCTGTGTAGAAATAAACTAAAGAAGAACCTTGTAAATATACTTTTCTTTTTTTTTTTTTTTTTTAATGTTTCTGACTTCTGAAGTGCTTGTATAGCTTTTATCCGTGGCTTTAAACTGACGGTGCCCAGCTGTTTCTCGGATCTGTGGACTCCGAGAGCGTTCGCTAGGGTAGACCTTCAGCAGTCCTCTGTCAGTGTTCGTATTTGTACACTCTGCAGTTTTACTGTGAAGAACTTTTTGTCCGACCAGTGGTGTCATTTCTCGATGTCACCGTTTGTTGGAGAGTTAAATGGTCTCTGTCCCTTGTGTATCTCACCCAGTGCTTACTCCCGGGCGCCCCTGACCTCCAGAGGTGCTAGCCCACCTGCATCACACCTGCCAGACGCCTCGGAGGCGGGGGGCCCCCGCGCACGTCACGCCGCCGTCCTGCCGCGGTGGGCGTGTCGACACCTCAGTGTTGGTCCCAGAGTTTTCTGCCTTTCGTGGCAATGAAAATTTTAAGAGAGAGATTTAAAATATTTTAATTTTAAAGAATGTGTTATAAAATAATGTACTGAATTCTTTATTCCATTTTATCATCCCTTTTCAGTTCTTATTAATCTACTGTATCAATAAAATTCTGTAATTTGAATTAGTTTTTAATAGTCTAGAATGTTATTGTGTATAGATATTTCCTCTCGAACATGATGTTCAGAAAATGCAAATTATTACACTATAATATAAAATCTGATATGTACACATTAGAAAAGTTCCAGTTCTTCATAAAAATGTAAAGGTAATCAGAAAGAAAAAAATTTATTGATGCAGTGTGTCTTTATAAAGCTGTTCTCGAAAGCAAGTGTTTGTATTTTATATAGTGAGTTGCATGTTTATGAAAAATGCTACAACTGGGATGTGCTCTTTCTGTAAATTCTTGTTTGGCCATAGTATATGATGGATTGTCCCATACCATAGTTTTTCATCCAGAGTTTATTACTGTACTTTATTTTGGAGCCAAAAAGATTGTTTGGGGAAGGGGGTGGGGGCGCACACCCACCCACCCACCCACGTGAGCTACTCTCGGCGTTGCCCCAGTCCCACAGTCTGGATGAGAAACTCCACCTCGTCCTGGCTGGGGGAGTGGGGTTTGTTTGCATTCTGAGAAGACCTTTTTTTTTCCCTTCATTGTGACTCTGCAAAATTACTAAAACAAATTACTTAAGGCAGTATCCTTTTACAGTTTTATAAACTGTTATCTTGAACCAAAACTTACACGTTATCACTACTCAATACCTAGCTAAATTCATTTGAGTATTCTGGGTGCTGTTCTTTATTCAGAGTTAACATTAGAAAAGAAGGTCATACTCTAAATTATTAAACTTGTGACATTGAATAATGAAACATTCTCACATAATACACCGTTATGTTTAAGGTATATTTCCAAGATTGATTATAATAGAAGGGGGATATAATAAAGAAACTATTTTGGGAAATGACAGTTTACTATTTTCCGATGTATATCACAATTGATGTGATGATTATTTTTTTTTAGAGATTTCTTCATGTTTATGAAACTGCCTTTTATTTTTGAAAAATGTTTTGACTTGAGTCCTACTCTCTCGATACTTGACCCCTCATTCACAACAGTGACCCATTCACTGGTGTTGGCGGTCGTGGGGGCTGCTGGTATCCAGGCAGCTGCTGTCGGACCAAGACACGTGGGCGTGTAAACTTCTCATCAGCTCAGCTCTCCCAAATGTGCTGCTTCTGTTTCAGCAGTGCAAAGGCATGTTTATAAACCCACAAAATAAATAATGAGGGATAGCTTTGTATTTTTGTCATTGCCTAAATTGCACCAGAAATGTTTATGGAAATATATCTTTAAGACCCTTTTATAAAACAACAAAAAAAAATGATTGTGGAGGATTTTTATTTGCATGATCATAGTGAAGCAGATTTTATTGTACATTAATCCTGTACATCAGTTCACAAAAACGTTCATTGTAAATTCTGTTCAACGCCAATGAGTCTGTGATTTTCTAAGGTGTCTGTTCCCTTTTTGGGGAGGATTATGATGTAAATTTTCCATTTTTCTGTAGAAAAATAGGTGCAATAATGATCCAAGTTTTGATGTCCCGAGTCTTCATTTTAGGGGATTATCTTATTATTGTGTTTAAACTTAACGTTTCACGTGCTGACATTTGGAGAGCCACGTACTATAGCTGAAGTAAAATGAAGTAGATACAAAACATTGATTGCTAAGAGTGCTTAGCAAGCTCTTCAGTGACGATGTTCACTTTGAAACTATGTATTGTGTAAACGTGAGGAAATACGTAGCTCACTGTAACAAGTCCCATGATGAAACCCGCGGTCCCCCATGAGGCCGCCCTGCCGCGGCGCGGCCGGAGGCCGGGCCAGCGGTCTCCGGCGTGCGCACGTGGGGCTGTAAACCCCGCTCCGTGTATGAAAGGTCAGAGCACTCCCTGTCTCTCCTCACTACCACCTGTAAGTACGGTTTCTGAGGTTCCCTCTCTGCCCACTTGAGAAATGTCAGAAATGGAAGGCTTTGTTTAACTTAGGCATATTTCCCTTACCATATAGTATTATGTCACCATAATGAACAATTGGAATTTAGATAAAGAACTTACTTTCGGACACATTTTTGGATTTTCTCTGAAGTTGAATAAACATGAAAGCTACTATATAATTGTATTATTTCATTTATGTGAAACTATATCTACTTAAATATGCTCGCTCAATGGAGCAAAGCGAATTCTGATGATGTTTAATTTCATGAAGAGTCTCTAATATTTCCTAGTAACGTTTTCTTCGAAGTTTTTGTTTAAACTCGCAAAATCTTGGCTGACAGGCTTACTAAGTACTATTTAAAGCTAAAGGACTGCGTAACTGAAGACTGTAAATGTATAACGCAGACTTTTAAAGGAACCACTAAGAAGATAAACTGCTAGTGGCGGTTTTATTCGTTCAGCAAATACTCACTGAGTGCCTGCCCTGCGCCGGGCTGGTGAGGGAGGATCAGGCCTGATGGGGACGGAGGGGGCCGCTGCCCTTGGGAAGCTCTGCTCTCCCCAGGCATGGGGGAGGGGGCGGCAAGAGAACAGGAATCAAATACACAGGGTCATACTGCGAGAAAAGTCGTAGAGGGTGGAAATGGTTGGAGAAGCGACTTCATATACTTTGAAGCGATATTATTTGATACATACAATCTAAGAGTGTACCTTTTTCATGAAGTGACACTTAAAATTTTAAAATGTCACTTGGTGTCTGTGTGAGTACGCCGTGCCTCCTTTGTCTGATGGTAATACAGCCGCACCAGGCTTGGTTTGGGTATTGTTTGCATGACAAGTTCTTTCACTTTCAACAAATGTTTGATCTTATATTTAAAGTGTGTTTTCTAAACATTTTATACTTCTGTCTTATTTTATCCAATCTTAGAATCTTTGTTCTTTCATTAGACTCTGTGAACTATTTTTTGGTGTAATTTCTGACATTGTAGGTTTTAAGTCTACCTCCCATCTTGCTATTTATTTTCTTTTTGCCAGTCTTTTTTCATATATTTTTCTCTTTTTCCTGCTTGCTTTTGGCTCGTTAAAATGTGTCTTACTGTTCTATCTCTTCTGTTAGCTTTTTGTTTATGCCTGATTGTATTTTCTTTTTTTTAGTGGTTAGTCTACAGATTGGTTATGTTTGGCTTATGATGGTCTGTGCTACATTAATGCTGGTGCCGCCTCTCTGCAGTCTTGGTGCTGTACTGACATGTTTTGTGGTGATAGATGCCACTGTATTGCTGCTTCGAATAGTGTTCTTTCTCTTTGTGCTTTTTTAAAATACAGTTTTGTGCTTCCATCTTAACTTGTTACTTTCTAGCACGAACAGCTTCTTTTAGTATCAGTTCCAGCGCAGGTCCAGGGGCGTTTAATTCCGATACTGCCGGGGAGGAAGGTCTTTGTCTCTCCTCTGTTTTCTAAGGGTATTTTCGTTGGCTACAAAGTTCTAGATTGGCAGCTTTATTTATTGGGCAGTTTAAACGTTGGCTTTCCATTTTCCTTTTGTTTTTCATATTTTCTATTGTGAAGTGAGCCCAACACCTTTTTGCGGTTTGTAGATAATGTGACTCTTTCTTGCTGCTTTTAGGATTCCCTCTTTATCTTTGTTTCAGCGGTTTGACCGTGGTGAACCTAGTTCTTGCTCACACCGTTGTATTGATCTTGCTTGGGGTTTACTGTGCTCTTGAATCTGTGGGTTGATTGATGTTACATCAGTTTTGAAAAATTCTTAGGCCTTGGCGAGTATGTCCTGATACGTCCGGGTTGCAGGTTCAGTCCCCAGTCGGGGCACGTACAAGAATCACCCAATTGATGCATAAATAAGTAGAACAACAAATCAGTGTTCCTCTCTCCTTCCCCCCTGCCTCTCCCCTTCTCCCTCCCCTTCTCTCTAAAATAAAAAAAGGAAAAAGAAAGCCCGGGCTGGCGTGGCCTGGTTGGTTGGAGCGCCATCCGGTGCGCTGGAGGATGCCCGTGTAAACACTCTGGGAGAGGTGGGAATACTGTTCGCATCTTTTAGATGTTGCAGGAATGTCTGGGGGTCCTGAGACCAGCTTGGCAGCAGAGAGCTTTCTGAGTTGTGGTCGAGCTGCAGGGAGATGACCTTGCACAAGCAGTTCAGGAGGACGCTGTGTAGGGCTTCGGGCCCCGAGGCCAGCTCAGGGCACCGCTGGCAAGATAATGAAACTCTCAATGTTTAACACAGCGGATGTCAGAAAATGAACTAGAAAGGAGATAGAAACAACCACAGACTTTGAAGCAAAATACAGAACTAATCAGTGAGTTCACTACATCAGGATTTTAGTCTGGGTCGCTTCCTCACTCACATACACCTGTGTATCTTTTTACGTGAGTAGGGTCATACTCTGCCTCCCTACACTTTGCTCGAAATATCCCTACGCAGCTGTCAGCACGTGTGAGTTCATCTCGCCCTTTTAACAGCTGCATGATGCACACCGGGTGGGCATGCTGTGGTCTGATGCACCGCTGCCCTGCGGACGGGCGTTGGGGTCCCTTCCGTGGCCCACGTTCACGGCCAGCGCGGGAAACGGCCGTGCCTGCCCAGGGCTGTGCCGCAGTGCACGGCGGGGAGCGGTCTGCTGCACAGAGAACTGGGGCGGTTCTGTGGTTTATTTAAGCTCTGCCCTACGGCCTCCCCGAAAGTGCCCCCGTGAATCCTGTTCCTAGTTTCTGTCAGTCCAGTAGATGCCAGACCACCTTGTTTGCATTTGCATTTCTCCAGTTCCAGCTGAAACGGCATCGTTGCGTGTTTCCGTTTCGATCGGCTGTTTCTAGTCTGAATTGTTTGTTCGTGCTCTTGGCCCATTTTTCTCTTCAGTTTGTCTTTTTATTGTTCTTTTTAACCTCTGGGTTAAAAGGGGTGGGTCGAGGACTTGAGCCACACTGTTAATTTTATTTCTCACGAAAAGGTGCTGCAGTTTGGGCTAGCGTGTGTGCTGAAAGTGGATTGACCATCTTTCTGCAAGCTCCTTGCATAATCTCATATTCTCTTAGATTTTTATTGTTTAGTTACCGTTGTCCCCATTTTCCCGTATTACTCTCCCCCACCCTGCTCACCCCTACCTCCCACATTCAGTCCTCCTCCCCCGTTGTCTTTGTCCTTGGGTCCTTTACACGTGCACTTTTAACTTACTTTTTAAAATTTATTGAGGGAGTGACAGGCAAACACCAGTTTGCTGTTCTGCTTACTTGTGCATTCCTTGGTTGGTTCTTGTATGTGCCCTGACCCGGGACCGAACCCGCAACCCTGGCGTATGGGGGCGGGGAGAACCGCCTGGGCTTCTTCACACTGTTGTCCTGTCCGGCGTGTGGGGGCGCTCTTCCGGCGACGTCGTGAGCTGGTCTCTCCGTCCTGCAGAAGGCTCTCCTCTTGGCGAGTGCGAGTCTGTCCCTGTGGTTCATTACGGCTTCTGGGTTCTGTGCTTGCCTGCAAGATTTTGAAAGTGTTGTCGTGTGTTTTCTAATACTTACACTTCTTTTTCGTTCACTTCATCTAGCCGGATCTGTTTTAGGATTCTTATTTCACTGATCTCTTTTTCTATGCCTGTACCAACATCTAAAGTAATTATTATACCTACATGTTTTTATATTTGGCCTGAAATTTTCCCCTAAATTTTAACTTTAATAGTGTCTTGTTCCTGACTATTCTTGTGATTTTCTCTGACGCAGAATGTCAGCTTCTTTACAGTACTTAGTCGGCCCACGGAGACAGGCCCTTTGAAAGGCCTTCCCTTTGATACACTTTTACTGTTTTCTCAATACGAATAGGCCTTGCACCTTAAATTTTTTACGGATTTTATTATAGCTAACATTTTTATTGTCATTCCTTTATTTTCTAATTAGTTATACCTGCTATAGTATGTTTTCAGTCACTTTGCTGAACTTTTATTAGTTGTAATAGTTTTCAGTTAACTACCTTGGATTTGTTAGCCAGAGAACACTCCGCAAATAACTGTCAGTATCGTTTCAGGTCGTTCTGATACAGAAGTATCATGCTTTTCTGGTCTGACGCCACCAGAGGTTATGAAATAGAAAACATCCTTTTTCCAGTCTAAGAAAATTTTTTAATTTTTGTCTAAAATAGAGTCTGGAATCGGTGATGAGTTTCACGTCTGCACGGCATTCATGTTTTGTGGAGAGTATGAATGTCATGAATCACACTGAGATTTCTGACGTGGAACCACCTGCTCCTGGTTAGGGCGGGCCCCGCGTGGCCGCGTCCCCGGCCTGAGCGCTGGAGGGCTCCCCGGGCACACACACACACACTTGTGCTCCACGGAGCGGTGAGGGCCGTGCGTGGTTTTCCCTCGCGTCGTCCTTGTTGGAGGGTTGGGGGAAGGGGTTTGCAGACCTCCTAGGATGAGTGTGAAAGTATTCATATTTTCCTACGAAACAGTGTATGTAAGAGTTGCTTGCTTCCTGAAACCCCGACAGAGCTCATATTTTAAAATTGTACGTGGCACCTTTTTAAACTTTATTCTTTAAAATGTCCAAGTAAAAATAGCTGAGGCATCCAGGACGAACTAGAGAGCACGGTGGTCGCTCTCCAGTTTAGAAAGGTGTCGGCGTTGCGCCCTGCGTGGGGGGGGGGGGGGCGGTCCTGGCGCCGGCCCCTCCCCGCAAGCCCGCCCCCGCCTGGCGGCGAGCGGGACGGTCTCAGGTGTGCTCTCAGGTGTGCGGGGCAGCGGGGGTTTCTGCCTCGTGTCTCGGGGGACAGTCTGTGATTGTCCCAACTCAGTTGCGTCACCGACACTGGGCCGCGATAGAAATTGCATCCGTCCCTTCACCGGGGGGAGCAGCTCACTTTTATTTTTAGTGTGTGTGTAAAAGGGGCCCCCCCTTTTTTTTTCTTTTTTAACAAGCACAGTGTTAAAGAGGTGTGCTTAAAGGTTATAAACCCTTTGTGCCTGGCCCATTGTACACCTGATACCAGTGTGTATCATTCCCATGCGTGTTTTCGTCTTCATTTTACATAGATGTATTTTAAAAAATACTTAAGACTAATCTGTGAAAAAGCCCCTAGCATTTGGAGTTTCGAACCCTGTTTTCCACTCAGGGCTGTGTCTGAGCTGCCGCCCTGTGGGTGCATGTGGACCTGCTCCTTCCCTCACGGCAGAGC